ATTGGTTTCCTTCATACAAACAATTACAAACTGGTATCTTACCAGTAACTAAGATCTATTTCACAACTCTCAAATTAGGTACTGAATTATTCTTTCATTTATGAAGAAAATGGAATATCATTGATAACTTTTTTTACAAAAAAGAATTAGGCAGCTTGAAATGTCCTCACATCCATTGTGTATTTGCAGCTAATAGTATCAAACAAAATTCAAATTGTCATCAATATCAAGTTATTTTATATACTGTACACCAAAAGTTGAACTTATAAAGGTTATCATGAAGTTCTGAACTTTCATATGTTTTCAATGAAACCCATTTATCCTTAGATTCAATAATTTTCAGATTAAACTAGAGCTGATCCAAAATCACACAGCTCGTAAATACAGAATCATTGTCTTGGAATATTTTGATAAAAAGTATTTGTATTAGTCCATTAGTTTGAATTTGTTTTCTTTTTCAACATTTTTTAGATTAATATTTTTTATCAGATGTGCATCAGGTAATATCTAAATCAAACAGAGAACTAAAAACAAATCAAAGGTAATATATTCATCATTGGAGAATGTCAGGGACAGGTCATGATTATGAGAAATATTTTATAAAATCTATCTGATAGAAATTAAAGATATTATAAAGTAAAGTGAGGTATTATAATTTCTTTCTACCTGGTTAAACAAATTGAATAGTGTATAATTACTAGGTCTACTGCCTTCAATTTATTCATTGTTAAATTACGTTTTTTAAATAAAGTCACAAAAGTAATTTAAAGCCATTAAAAATCACTTCAATGAAATAAAATTTGACATGTTTACATTTTGACATATTTTTTTCTTTGTAAACTTGTTTGTTAGATTGAATTCAAATATATAGCTACTGTTACCTTCCATACAATATTCCTAGCCTTTACAATTAGGAGACTGAAAAATTATCATTAAAATGCAGATTGAATTCCTTAAAAAATGTTTGTAACACTGTTATTTTGTTACATTGCATAAAACTGCCTTAAGTAGCGATTCTGTCATTTTAGAGCTCAAAAATGATAAAATATATTAAGATAGTCTTTAGAATATTTTGTATTGATATAACCATGCATCAAATATATTTTGAACACCTAGCCTACTGGCATGGAATTATTTTTGCAAAATCAAATGTCTGTAAACTATGAAGTATTTTTTGGTAATTAAGGTGAATCAATCGATAGTGATATTAAAATGATTTTAAACGGAAGTATCTCCTAGTCAATATAAACTATCATTGCAAATCTTCCATGTACACCTTCATCAAAACACCATGCATTGCAACCTCTCAAATACTTAACTCTTCAAGTTTGTTTGTATGTCCCAAACTTTAAAATGCCTTGAATATATTGATCAGACTTGCATTAGCTTCAATGTATGAAGTGAATGCCACAGATGTGTGCTTCAAATTTAAATCCATAGTTGACAAAGAGGATGAAAAGCTCATAATTTACAGATTTCTTAAAACAGAAAAATTACCACTAAAATGTTTTCTCAATTAATAGAATCTACTCAATATTCGTATATTTGTAAATGCAAGAAAATTCTAATTTAAGCATTTGATATAAGTTGTCCCAAAAGTGAATTGTTGGAACACTAGGGATAGATTAACATACAACTACCCATGATGAGTCATAGCAACATCTCACAAAAATAGGGAAAGAGTATTTTAATTTAATAAGATGGTTTCCTTTTTTGGCTTATCGACATTACAATAAATGAACAATATAAAAATTCTGATTGATAGTTTTTCAGTTGAGTTCATAGGTTGAAAAATAGGTTCATGGAATGTATTTTCAAGAGAAGTACATCAGCAAGAAAAGAAAGAAACATTGAGAATAATACAGTTCAATGACTTAAATGGGTAACAAAGAAATATTTACCTGATATAGCTTGAATGGGAACATCATTTTCATCAAAACCTTTTGAAGCAAATGATTTCTTCACTTCTATACATGCTAAATCAAAACATTGTCCAGAACACAACAATAACCACAGTAAACAGGCACAAGCCGATTGGGAAACTGTCAGCCGCATGGCGGCCATTTTTCTTCAAGAATCGGCTGCACTATCACTGTTTAAAACAACCCCGTCTGCTCTTATTCCACAATTTTAGAAACAATCACGAACATCCAATGTAAAAATCCGTTTTTCTTGTCGACATAGTTAAGAAGAATTAGTTCCAAAGCTAAATTTACAGAGAAATTTAATAAAATTGTACAAAAAAAATTCACCGATTGCTTCCACAGCGATGCAACAATGTTTGTGTTCCGCTGTTCCGTTACCCTCCCACAGTTAACAGTAAAATTCCACAATATCGAGTTATTTTTAATATTTCATTTATAACGAAACTTTTTATGAATATCACTCACCCAATACATATGGCTTCAAGTTTATAGAGCAATTACGAAAAAATACACCAAATATTAACGTGAAATCCTTGATTGAACATGTAATTCATGGGGAGGTCAAATCAACAGCTGAGGTCGCTCAGTAGACTTGGCCTACAAGTATAGAAAGATTGTCTATTCTTATAACACTAAAAGATCGAGACTAGTATTACGGTAAATTTTTCGTCTCTCTATTTGGTTGGTTTAAGCAATAAAATTTTAGATCATTCACAAATTTGACCAATGATTGGCGTTTAATCTTAGATTTACTCCACCCACTGATAGAAATCTTATATTAACAGTAAATTAAAGGCACGTGTCAATCAATTAACATTTTTACTAATTGAACAAAGTTTATTTTCTATTGATCTATTCACACATTCTGTATAAAAATATAACACTGAAAAGTAGTATACTGCACACCTTTGCTAAGTGACTACTACTAATTCAGCGGGAAATCCTTTGGATGTACGCGTTTCATCGGACTTACCCTTCATGGTGTTCTACGGGTAAAATTGTAAATATATGGTAGACCGACATAGCTTGGCTTAGAATCCCACAATACGAAAATCTCACATGTGGCCTAATGCACATTTGAATAGTTTCTGAACAGCAAATTTATCCTAATTTATCTTAATAATTTTTCATTCTTTGACATCAAGTACAGGTATTTGATCAAATTTGCCCACTTGAGCTCAAATCAATTAGCTTATCTATCATAAAGACATATACAAAGGTTTTTCACTAATTTACTGTGGACAGAATGGTTATCATAAGTACCGAAAGGGGAATGTTCTCTGTAATTGAATTTAATTGACCAGCATATATTGTGAATATTTGACCATCAAAGACAAGGTCTACGATGACCAAATTTGATAAATGTTTTTTTATGGAGATAAATGAAAGGTATAGGATAGGTTGATCTAATAATATTTTCACATGACATCGGAAAGACAATCGGTAAATCAAACCATCGTGATGTAAACCATTCCTGATACGCCGGGTATAGATAGTAGGTAAATCAACCTATCCAGACATATAGCGGGTAGATAATAGTAGGGTTGGGACAATCAGACTCGACCATAAACGCAGGTTGTTTTCCCAGGCCAAATATATTTTTTTCCATGAAATCAATTGGGGCAGTGATGAAATAACATTTTTTTGATTGGAGCAGAGCCCTTTTTCAAAATGGCCGCCAAAATGGCGACAAAAAATGCTTTCTGTGCTTCTTTCTCACTCATTATAAATTAGCATGCCATGTCATATATAATTTTATAGGTTTTAAGGGTCACTGGTTCCAATAAACATACTTTCGATCATCTACGACCATCGCCGCCATTTTTAAATCCATGATGGCGGCCAAAATGGCGACCAAATATGCTTTCTGTGTTATTTTCTTACTGGTTATTACAGAACATGCCATGTAATATATCATTTTATAGGTTTTTAGGGTTACTGGTTCCAAAAAACATACTTTTGATCATCTACGACCATCACCTCCATTTCTAAATCCAAGATGGCGGCCAAGATGGCGACCAAATATGCTTTCTGTGTTATTTTCTTATTGGTTATTACAGAACATGCCATGTAATATATCATTTTATAGGTTTTTAGGGTTACTGGTTCCAATAAACATACTATTGATCATCTACGACCATTGCTGCCATTTTTAAATCCAAGATGGCTGCCAAAATGGTGTCCCAAAATGCTTTCTGTGTTATTTATCACTGGTTATAAGGGTTATAGGTTTTTTGGATTACTGGTTCCTGAAAGCAAACATTTTATCATTTACGAATCGCCGCCATTTTTACATCCAACATGGTAGTCAAAATGGCCACCAAAATAAATTTTTTATCGCATTCCCAGGCTTATTAATATGACAAACCACCATCAGAAACCCCCGAAAATACAATGAAACAACTCGAATTAGATTTTGATAATTTATTCATATTTCAATATCCTATGATTTTATTCTATACCAGTTTACTGAATGAATGCAGATTTTAATAAATGTTCTACATCTTCTACCATATTCTCGGGTTTAAGAACGTCAGTGATTGAGCGAATAAGTTCCGAATTTGTGAACTTTTCAAATTTGAATTTCCCTGAATCCATTTTGACTCTGACTCTGCTTACACGTTTCTAGCAATTGTAGACATCGTTTCGTTTTTTTCTTCTTAAGTTCTTCCTTCTTTTTGATAGCAAGTAGCTTCGCTGCCCCAACTGTCTCTAGGAAGTCCTTCTCGAGCTGTTTCGCTTTTTGTACCTCCTCCGAATTACGCCCCCATTTCCACTTTTTCACACGTTCTTCATCTGTGCAATTCACAAAATCTTCATGGACTAGAAAACCATTATTCGCCACAACGTTTTTTCTGGAGTGTGTCGTTGTTTTGGTCATACCGCCTGCTGATTTGACTCTGTTGTCGAGTTTTGCAAATTCTGATTCACAGCCCATATTTGTGAGAGGCGCATATTTCAGTTTCTCCAAATCAGACATAGTTTGTTCTACTTCATCTTCATTCATTTCAAAAAAGTCAATTTCTCTTAGTTGTCGCTTTACGGTTTGCAGCACCTCATCAAGGACTGCACCAATCAATTAACTTTTTCCAGTTTGCGTTTTTGTAAAGTTCGTCTGCAGATTTCCCAAAAGTCGATATTGTTTTTTATATCTTCTACACTAGTGTTGGCCAATGTTGCCAGGGTTTCTAACTTGAATTCATAAGCAGGTGCACTGTCCTGACCAGAATGTGATATGTTTTCAACATACCCTGTTGTGAATGTCTTTCGTGTCTGTGTGGGTCCAGCTATTGTGATGTGGTCACCATGAAGCATATCATGACCAGCTGCTTTGGTTGCATCATCAATACCGACAGTTACTACTGAGTCGGCTTTATTCAATAAATACTCTGCTAACATCTCCAAATTAAGATAGTGGGCATCTTCCAAGTACTTTGATAAGCATTTCCGAGAAGGCATAACGTAGGTCAAATCTCCACATCGTCTTCGTTTTGGCTTAGGCGATTCACAAGCATCACTTTCTTCATCCGATGACAACTCACTCCAAATCTGAAGATGAGATACACCAATTCTGACCAAAAACTCCATTCGCGATATTTACTGTTATACCAATCAAATCGTTCGATGATATCTTGAATTGTGACATAGATTGCACCAAACATCTTACTAAGGCCTCGTTCAAAGTTTTATGTCCTGTTCGTATTTTTACAGATGGAAATGAATGTGCATAGATATTTTCAGTAGCAACTGGATCTTTCTTATTAGATCTAGTGATGGGTATTGATGCGTCAATATTGAAGCAATTGTCGACTGGATATCCAAAATCAGGATCGCTTATGTTATCATCTGTAATATCTTTGAGAGCATTCCTCACCTGATTCATGCACAAGGTTTCTTCCGTGTATTGTTCCTTCTGCATATCCATTCTCTGTATTTCAGCATTTATTTGGCGGGCTTCATTTCTACACTTTTGCTTCCTCCATTTACGAGGAACTGTTTGTGAACACGTGGCAATAAACAGTCCGTGACAGTTATCTTCATAAAAAGCAACGTCTTCAGAATTCATAACAACACCATATTCCGTTTCTAGTTGTTTCTGAAAGGTCTTATTCTGACATCGGACGTCAAAAGCACGGTTACACATTTGTTCATTGAATTCTCTAGCCTTCGTTATCCATTGTTCAGTTTTTGGTTTTCCCTGATGACGTTCTGTTTTTCGAAATTCCCTAAATTTTTCATAATCATTTTGAATTCTGATAGCTATGCTGCGAACACCCATAGGGTATACGTTTTTTGATATCCAATCTTCTTTTACCTCTTCAGCAACAATTACACTTGCATCCTTTCGACTGATGATTTTAGCTCCACCTTTGCGCCCGGGTTTACACAACGACAACATTCGACCGATGATCAACTGTCCTGTTGGAAGTTTCGTTTTTGTGAGGAAAGTTGGTTCGTCGCGGTAATTCACATCAAAAAGATCCTTTATACTATCAGTACGGGTGCTGATTAGTTTCTCCATGTTTCTTTTAATAAATGTATAGATATCACCATGGAAACATATGATGTCATACTTGTATGAAATCATATTTTTATTACATCATTATCTAACACCAATAAACATAAATTTGTCTAATTGAAATCATGGAAATCATGGGAATGCAAAACAAAAACACAGATAATGGCCGCCATCTTGGCCGCCATCTTCGATTTAAAAATGGCGGGGATGGTCGTAAATGATCAAAATAACTTTTTTCTGAGCCAGTTACCCAAAAAACTATAAAATGATATATTACATGGCATGTTCTGTAATATCCAGTAGAAAATTATTATAGAAAACATTTTTTGTCGCCATTTTGGCAGCCATCTTGGATTTAAAAATGGCGGCGATAATCGAAGATGATAAAAAGTATGTTTTTTGGTACCAGTGACCCTTAAAACCTATAAAATGATATATTACATGGCATGTTCTGTAATAACCGGTAGGAAAATAATATAGAAAGCACTTTTGGTCGCCATTTTGGACGCCATCTTGGATTTAAAAATGGCGGCAATGGTCGTAGATGTTAAAAAGTTTGTTTTTCGGAATCAGCGACCCTAAAAACCTATAAAATGATATATGACATGGCAGGTTCCAATAAATAAAAGTGAGTAAAACGCAAAAAATGTATTTTTGGTCGCCATATTGGCCGCCATTTTGAAAAAGGGCTCTGCCCCAATCAAAAAAAGGACTTTTCATCTCCGCCCCAATCTAATTTACCATAAACAGTATAATTTGCCTCTAAAAATAACATGCATTCAAAGTATTTCAAGAAAAGAATGATATCGTCACAACCCTAATAATAGGTAAATCAACCTAAGATATAAGGTAAATGACCCCATCATGGCATATACCGGGTAGATAGTAGGTTAGGTTAGGCAAATCAACTGTAGATAATAGGTAAATCAAACATCATGACATATACTGGGTAGACTAGTAGGTAAATCAACCAATCCTGATATATACCGAGTAAACAGTTGGTAAATCAACCCATCCTGACATATACCGGGTAGAGTATTAAAGAAGAGAAGTATTAATAATAGGGTGAAAGGGTCACATATTAACATAAGTATTATATTGAATATCCTGTGTGATCTCTACATCAAAATACAATTAAATATCACCTTTTAGCCCTCATTCAACACGGGAAATCATTAGAAATTAGATCGTGGAAAATAAATATTAATAGTAGTCCTTTTATAGCTTATACTACAATGGATTCTATATTTCTCAAGCAATTTCATTTTTTTAAATTGTGCAAAGTTTTATTATAACCTTTATGTGATATTATGGAGTGAAAACGTTCTGGCCCCAAACATCACCCATGTATTGAACACCCATTAAAAGGCATTTTATGGGTTTTAATATGATGAAGTCTTCAAGCACCAAGTGTTGTGTATTTACTTGTCCAAAGTTAACAATCCCAGTTATGAGGATTTAAATAAGACCTGATAAAATTAAAATAATTTGGAGTTCAATATTATTCTAATGATAATATAGTTTGTTATTGAAGAATAACTGATAACGACCAGTAAATAAATAGTCTAATATTTCTTGATTTATTTCAACTGTAATCAGACTGTCGACCCCGTCTGACTAACTTACTATTTTTAAAACGATCATCCTATTTCAATTATTGTGATAAATACATTGGCATGTTTCCACCATACGTAAATCAGGGATCTTATATGGTACTTATCTATTAAGTTTGAATTTTTAAAAAGATAGATAACACAAGTTTTGATATTTTAATTCATAAGTACATATACCTGAAAGATTTGTAAGTTACCTAATCTGTACAATTTGCACCGAATTTGGAATTGACAAAACGAATTGGGTAATTTGTGAAACTGGTGTTACCACGATTCAAACAGGGATTATATTTCAAAAGAAGCTAACGGGGCAATGAAAGGAAATCTCCTATGTTCTGGAAACAATGTGATTTGATGACATAATCATGTTCAATCTTACAGATCTTTATACATGTGTAATTGACTTTTAAATAAAATACAATAGTTTCTGTGTGTATAGACTTCTATATATCTTTTCTTTAAATGCATTTAATACAAGTCTACCACCTTTGTGTTGTCTGTTTGCCACCTAAATGATGATTTTTCCACCCCGCCTTTGGTCATTGAGTGGACAAAATCAGACAACAAAAGGAAGGGGTACGACATTGACGACATTGTTAATTAAATAATAGTTAATTTGAAAGTACCACATGCCTTTGACAAGAGAAAGAAGGTCGTGTCAATGGACAATTCCTACTAATTGAAAATAAAGCGAATTAAGCTCAAGTTACTCCTTTTTATTGACAAGGGTTTTATTTTAAAGGGTTTGTCACACATCTTATTCCAGTGTGTTTTTATTTGTTACCGACAATGTGTCAATGGATTTTACTGTTTCAATACGACATATTCACCACACTTTTACCTTTACTCTACCCTTGTGCAGACCTGTAGATATAAAGGTTTGGGAGATGCCCAATTATATAGTTGGGCCGTTAAGATATAATTACATGTAGATACTTGCAGAATGTCTCAAATTCCTAATCATACAATAAAAGTAGAATTCCTTTTTTTTTGTAATTACAAAGATGGGATATCTGTTATATATAAGGTAAGTAGATAAAGGGGTACAGAAGAGGTTTTTGGATTGGTTTTGAATTGGCCTTTGCATAGATTATAAGGGACACTGATAAGATTCCTTGAACAACATTGGATTTCAAAGAAAGCGACACCATTATCTGACGAATTGTTTGGAATTACAAGAACTACAGACAACGGACAGGACATCGGAATATGACAAGATGTTAAGACACCAGAAATTTTAAAATTAACTTCAATTTTTATATTATAAAAGTGTGGATTTATGGCTAGGTTTTGTCTGACGGGACGCTTTCCATTCTATCTTCATCTGAGATATTGAACAAATAAAGAATAATGTTCTACCACTCCCTTCCAAGATCATCTTATTCACACAGCAGACGTTTCGTCATGTCAAAGATAGTTTTACCCCCGAGCTAACGACCACACGTCTGTCGCCCATAGGGAGGTGTTCCGTTTCATTTATACCCATTGTTATCCGACCCCATCAACCGTTGGATCGGAATTTTAACAACAAAAGGAATTAGGCTAAAGTTTCATTGTATTTAGAGACAAGTTGTAATTGTAAATCGTCTTAGGTTGGTGTTAAAAACTTAGACCTAGGTCAGATAAGATTATAATGAAGTCTAGAATTAAAACGTAGTTAAAGTAACGTTAAAGGGCATAATTAAAGATTTTAAAATGTAATCTATATCATATAAACAACATGGCATAAATACATAATAACCTACACATTAGTTATACCCAATTCACATAAAAACCTGTCACCATCTTTCTTAGGCAATCAAATATTGATTCAGATTAACGGTCCATTAGTTTGATTACAGACACTTTATCGTCAATTTTTCAGTTTAGTAGGCCCTTACTTTACAGCAGAGAATTTTATTTACTCCTTCCCAACACGCAGTTGGTAATATCATCAGCTACAGCTCGACACAAGAACATATATGCAATTTGCTTCAAGATATTCAGTTCAGAATTTAATACAAGAATACAGAATGAGTTATCGCCCATATAATGATAGCTATGCAATTGCAAGCTTTCGTTGTTAAGTTTACATTAAGCAGGGGGCGTCCTTCCAATTTTCCAAAATAGAACACTACCTTCTTCTTTAAATAAATTGCAGAATTTTGTTTAATTCACATTATAAGCTTAAATTGAAGTTTTTGACTGATGGTGACTATTTTTTATGCAACCTAAAGCCATTCTTGTCATACAAGTGAACTGGGCACCACGTTTATCTTGTTCTCCAATAATAAACTCCAGTCTTGATTGTACTTTACTTTCAGTTTATTCTGTACAGCAATATCTTTACAAATACAATGAATGCTGTAGAAATGTACATAGCAACAGGGATAACTGAATTTCCATTTTAGCATCAAAACAGAAACATGAATATAGAGGTGGTGACTATTTTGAAAAGCTTCATGCAGTCTAAAAACAAATCCTGCATTATTTGAACAAAGCAATCTGGCATTATCAGGATGTCACTGTATGTTCCAATCACGTTTATAACAGATTAATCCCTTTAACTATGACAACCAAAATTATCACAGAACAAAAATAAACTAACTACAAAATTATCATGCAAACTGTTGTCATATAAAAATAGAAGCTACATTATACAAGATAAAGCTGCATAGTTATAAAATATAGTAAAGTCAATTTTAAAAAAAGCATTTTCTGTTAATTTCATGGGAATAACTTCACACTTGAAGGTCTCCAAATTTACTATTATAACAGGACAAATTAGCGCCTTTGTTTCTAGATTACAGAGCTATGGAGATAACAGAGATGTAGATATAACAGGTCTGCGATAACTACAGTAATAGATGATAGAACTGGAGAGCTGATAATTCTGTCATGATAACAGAGCTTTGCAGATAACAGTGCTATAGAGATAAGGCAGTCATGCCATGATAACATAGCTTTTAAGATAACAGGGCTTTTGCGGTAATAGTGCAATAAAGATAAACCTGTGATCACAGAGCTTGTAAGATAACAGAGCTTGTAAGATAACAGAGTTTATCAATAGCAAAGCTGTGGAAATGATCAAATCATTCATCCTGATAATTTTCATTGTGTAGACATATATATACACACATGTATACAGTTATAAAGAGTTATTTTGCAAAGGAAGTGATGAAAGCACATTTTTTCAAAGATCACATTTGCTGAAGTAGAAATAAGTACAATATTGAAATAGCACCTTTATATATTAACAATATAAAATTATTTACAATATAAAATTTTATTTTATTACAAGGTAGATGTTATGAATATAAATACAGTACCTACATATATGTATATTTCAAATTTTCTTAAGCTAACTATGCTAGCATCAAAATTTATCTACAAAACGAGGCTTTACAGTGCCTTGTGTAGATGAGTCAAGCATGCAAGCAGCTAATTAGCTTTTTGTAATCAAATAATTACCACAGTCTTATTAGTGCAAATTGGGATTCATATTTGTAAATCATAGCATAAAAATTATAAAAAGTGTGTTAACATGTGATATACAAAGCCAAATAAAAAAAGATAAGAATTGAAATGGATCAAATTCCTACTAAATTATACAGAACAGACACTAAATGCTATATGTATTTGCAAATGGTGAAATGAAAGTAAATATTACATAATGGTGTAAATATAAATTATAAAAATACAAATTTAATCAGAACTAATGAAACTAAGTGATATAAGAAACAACTAATATAAATGGTATTTGAGCTATGTTATGAGCTATGAAATAAATGAAAATTACATTGAGCTGTAAAATGAAGGGCAAATAACAGTTAAGAGCTACGAATAAAAAGTTAAAATTAAATGAATAGACAAAGATGTTTAAAATATAAACTATGATGTAGTTGATAGATAGAATTAAATATTAGATTCTCAAGATTGAACATTGAGATAATCCAAATAGCTCATATAAATAAAGGCAATATACATGTGGTTGTCTAAATATTTGCTCCAAAAGCAAAATTTGTGGTATATATTAGATATGTCAGATATATCTATTCTGAATATTTGTACAGAGAGCTGAAAATAAGCTCTTGAAGCTGATAAAGCAAATAAAAGAATATCCTCATAATATAACCTTGAAATGAAGTTTGAAATAACCAAATCAGGGATATATTTGAGCTATAGAGTAACCAAATCAAAGATTCTGGAATAAGCAAATCATTGATATACTTGAGAGCTATGACAGGTTTTATGAGTTAGTTATGAAATCATGCAAGAATGAGTTTATCTGAATAACAAAATAGCCAAGTTACTGCCTAAACTGAGCTAGGAAATAACATAAAATCTTATTTGAGCTATGAAAAAGAAGATCATAAAATGTTCATCAGAGCTTTGAAATAATCCGATCATGGACCTGGCTGAGCTATAAATAGTTGAAGAAACTAAAATGAGGTAAGAAATAAGGATGAACAGATCTAAAATTGTCTATAAATACATATATCTACAAATAATTGTTGTTCTAGATTAACTTAGTGCCATTTTCTACAATAAAACCAAGTACTCTATAATACTAAATGCTACTTTACATCACATATTCTTATCACATGCTAAATCCATATCCGATTATTACACATTACTAGATCCAAGACCATTGTTTAGAAATGTCATTGATAATCTAGAAGTTCCAAATCCATCTAACTGTATTATCTGAAATGATAAATTAAGATAATCAAAACTAAAATACAGCCGAATTAATTTGTCTGTCTGCTGAAACAATGCATATTGTGATAATAAAGAAATGTGTACTATTGCATGATAGGTAAATGCAGAAGAGTGATTTAGAGAGGAAATTCATTTTTTCAAACATAATGCTTCTGAATGTTATCCTTGATGGAATGTTATTTAGCTAAAATATAGGTATTATTTAAATTTGAAATCTTTTTTCCAAAATATGATAATGAGCATAGATAGATATATGTGTGCTTTGAATGATGCAGTTTAAAACTGAACCTTTGTCCAGATATTTAGTGAGCTGATAATATGACCACATCCCTAAATTTAACACTACAGTCTGTTATTGCTAAACTACTCCCTAGTTTTTTTTTAGCTAAATATTCAGTTTTCTTAACATTCTAAAGATTTCAAATTTCCTCTAAATAGAAGATGACTGATTCTACTAAGCTGATCAAATACTTATTCATGCAGCTAAATTTGATAAAATATGCACAATGAAGCAAATCTTTTACATGCGAATGATAGAACATCTAAGGCTTGTGCTCATATTTGAAAACATAAGAAAAGAACTTCTAACTAAAAATATCAATTAAACTAAATTTCACCCAAATATAAAATGTTAAACTAATAAAAGCAAATCACAAAAGAAATCAAGACAAAAAAAAATACATGAAAATCAAATGCACTTCATAACACATGTCAACCTTTTATATATATTTCACAAGAATATACATTTCTTTTGAAATTCTGAATTTCAAGACTATTTTGAAGCTAATATACCAATTCAAACAGAAATATGCAGTAAACTTCGATTTAAAAATAAGAGTGTTAAGTCAGCAGAGCAAAAAAGGTGGTAATGCAATCTAAAATTTACAACAATACCAGCTTGCTATGCAGTTAAACTATTTTCAGCTTTTACAAGATGTAAGCATAATTATAATCTAGTTGTAAATGCCAATCGAACAAAATACGTTTCAAATACATACCACTTCTCAAGAAAAGATTAGAGTTTTTCATTCGGTAATTCCTAATTTCATATAAAAATTGTCAAAAAATAAAATCAAAATAGCACAAAAAAATGCCACAAAATTTGAACTAATATCAAAAACAAATACCAAAAAGAGTGAAAAGTTAAGAAATAAAAACAGAACATATCTGGTCAGCAACACACACAATACATTCACATACAAGATTTTGATTTTCAAAATAAAAATCTCCAAAATATTATTAGCTATGACGTAAGTAAATGGTTAACATTTTTTAGACTTGAAGCTATAATTCATTCAACCTATTCACTCTTTGACCTTTTGCCTTGCCTTGCATATGTTTTTAAGCATTATTAGAATATTTTCCTTTCTTTTTCATAAACCCATTCTTCATTATTGATATCTTTTCAATAGATTTGTCTTATGAAGTTAAGTATAAAATGTTAAAACCATACACCCTAAAAAATCTATTCAATTTATAAAATTCAATAAAAAAAAAAATATTCATATAAATTTACATGTGAGTAACTGGAATCTAAAAACATAATAAGTTGTAGTTATTTATGGAACTTGTAGACATATTTCTCACTCTCAAAATGGGTACATAATAGTAGAGCAAAGCCTCAGTTTCAAGCCACCTTCTTTTTATTTTTCAATTAAATCAAGCTTGACTGTTAAAAAGCCATGATTAATGATAACTTGTATAAAAGGTCTTCGATTTATAAGGTACATAATATATGCTTTAGTAGTTTAAGTATGGTAATGCAAATACTTAGATGGTAAATCAATTATCAATTTTTCAGGTGAATAATTAATCAGGATAGTGCTCTGTAGAATACCATGCTCTGACATAAAACATCAACAAATTCAACTCAATCATCACACTTGAAGGTAGGCATATTAATATTGAACAGATAGTAACCATATTTCAACTGGAATTTTAGCAATGTGCAATTCCTAAAGTACGAAAATTTATTATTTCTAAACCTGTGTTCAATGCATGGCTAAGTAAGCATTGTATCCTGCTAGTAAAAATTGAAAATGTGTATCAAAATAGTGAATCATTTCTATTACGAATTTGTGCATCACTTCTATTGTGTCGCCATGGTTACACTAGTTCAATAATTATCTAGCTTCCTTTCTCCGATCTGATATTTTCAATACTTACTTTCTCTCCGAAATGTTCTGATAATCTATCAACAATATCAGTAAAACCAAGTTTCAGATGTTCATGGTATTCTTTTTGTTCTGTGGTTATTAATTTGGCATTCAAATCTAAGGCATCTTTACATGTATTTACAAAGTCCCTGAAAAAATGAGATCATACAAATTTGCAAGCCATTTTGAATAAAAAAACCCCACAACTTTCTTAAATATAGAAAGAGTTGATATCAAGATTTTTCCTTGCTTACAGACAGTGGCGGAGCAAGGTTTACGTCCGAGGGGGGACGAAATATCTGAGATTGCTCAAATTTCTAATATAGTTGTGAGATTTTTGCCCGAAAAACTTGCTTTCGGGGCTGCGATGGGGGGCGGCTGTCCCCTCTGCCCCCCCTTTGGCTCCGCCACTGCTTACAGAGAGCATCCAATAGTGTTACCTACTCAACCAAGGTTTAAAGCAATATCTATAGGAACATTTCCACTAATGAGCCAATGCTGTGATACGTGCTCTTCTAAGGTGTTGAATATAAGGGATACAGTTAATTCATAATTCTTAATGTTAAGTCAATCTAGATGCTTTCATACACTTTGTCTCTCATGTGACAAATATATAATCATATATTTAATAATACCTGAAGACATCTTTTAAAATATTAATTTTTTCTGGTGGATATTTTCCTTTTTTATCACTAGTAAGAAAACTGTCAGCATATGCTAATGGACCAGCATTTACCTGAAATTTAAGAAAAATAATATTTATCACCATTACAAATTGTCAATCAGAGCCCCCTGAAAGAAAGCTGTAAGTGTCAAGGGATTGATTGGATGTAAGCAATAGCATTTTAAATATCTGCTTTAACGAACCAGATACATGAAATGTGCTAAATGAGGAAATACCTTCCCATTGTAAAGATGATAAAATAAGAGATGATAAACTTACGGAAGGATTAACACTGCCTTGTAATTTAAGATGTAAACGTTTGATATCTGGTACAGTACAATTAACTACAGCTTTAATCTCTAGAACTTTAGTCTGCATCTCATCTATAGCTACTTCTATAGGTTGTAATACTATCTCTTTACGATTACATACTTCTATACGTTTCTTAACATAGGGAAACGTATTACTAGCTGTAATAAGAGAAAAATAATCAACATTTTAGTCTTATACAGAGCAATATGCAAAGACAAGTCTACAAGTGATCTGATATTAGTGATCAGTTATAAATTAAGGTTAAGACTGTTATTACTACTGCCTATACAGTACATTTTTATTTGATCATAGGCAAACTGTATCTAATATGTGTTTTAAATAGAACTTCAGATAGGCTAAACAAGTATCTCATAAAGCAACTATTCAGATTTTCATTTAAGACATAATGCTATGGGAATCTTGAACGAAAATACCCTGAAAGGAAGTGTTGGTTAAATCTAGGTTAATCAGTACTTACTATATAATATAGTTCTTCTTTTGTATTGCTCTTCAATATTGCCTTGTGCTTTACCATTCATTGTAAAGGGTGTTTCAAACATAAATTTTTTAATATTATTGTTTCTCTCAAAATCTGTTAATCTATCTATCAATTCTTTATCTTCGAAATATGGTGTTACATAGGTCACTTGTATATGGCAGTATTTAGAATCTAATGCAGCAGGATCAACCTAAAAATAAAATCAGATAACAATCATTTTTGATGTTAAATGCTTTTCAGGTTTTTTCCTTAACTACATAGTTTCAGTAAATTATGATGCTTTCTGAGTTCAAACTTGAGTATCACCAACTTACTACAAAAATTTGCATCCTAAAATAACACTATTTGTTTTGTGTACTTCTTGAATCTCAGTTGCAGAGTGTCATCAGGAATTCTAGAAGGGTAATATAGCCTTTGTAGTTGTAGTGAAGATAGAAAAAATATTTTTCTTTACCTTCTTTGAGTCTTTTATTAACTGAACACTGTTCATACCAAATTTATCAGTATAGATCTTTTTAATACGTTCACAGACTTGAGGTAAAGATGTAACATTAGGTTCTTTATAAATATATTCTTTACCATCTTCTTCTTCGAAATGAGCCTGAAACAAACATTTCAATATCATTTAGAAAATTAATTAAACATTACAAATATTTCCAATAAAGTTTTCTCTTGGAATATGCGCCCTAGGTCCTGACCATTTCAAATTCATTACAACCAAGTTTTTTCTTGAATTACAGGATCCAAAGATATCTTTGCACATCAAAAAGAAGCTATGACACCTATGAGCATCTAGGATTATCAATTTGAGATCGATTATCGATGGCATACTATCGTACATATAAATTAAAAAAGTGCCAAAATTCTTTCATGGGTTATTTTTGTGTCATAGAAGTATATTCTTGCTTTGATCGGTTATTATAGTTAATATGGTAAGTCTGTACTGAAGGGAAACTAAATGGAAGAGATTACGACTTGTTAACAGGGACACTGGAGAAAATGTAACTTTTACATATAATCGATTATGAAAACGGATAATCGAAATTATAAATTTGTAGCGACGATGATTGATTATTTAGATTATTTTAACCAGCCCAATCCAGGATACAAAAAGTAAGATTACCTCTTCTGAAGAGTTAAAATCATAATCACAAACCTGGCCAAAGAAAGCAACACGGAAATAAGATCCTAACAGTCTCTTTCCAGATTCCATGACCTGTATAACTTGTGTATAGGCTTCTGATAAAGTTTGGTAACTCTTGGTTAATTTATTGAAATCTCTCTTTTTCTCATATATAGGTATAATCAATTTATATACTTCTCCTAATAATTCATAACGTTTAGCTTTCTTTAAATAATCTGCTGCTTCTTCCAGGAATTCTACTAATGTATCCTGAAATTATTCATTTTAGTCATTTTTTTATCAAAAAATATTTTAAGAAACATCAGGTTAATTTTCAGGACATTTAATGAAGATAATTATTAGAACATTAAATCAAGATAATTTTTAGTAATCAAGATACATTTTGGCACATTTAATCAAGGTAAGTTTTCAAAACAAAAGGTAAAACTGTTCTAATTGGAGCTTGATAAACCACAATCTGTAAAAACATCCATACATGGACATGTTTATGTTTTCATCACAATAGATGTTATTTTTCAACTGTGTCTTTATATATCTATACTTACATCAGTATATTGAACATCCTGCATTCCAGAATCATCTTTTATACCTGTTTCTTCTTCTAATATATTAGGTGATATAAATCGAAATGCCTTACAGCCTTGTGGATAGCACCCTGTAAATATACAATTTAATTTACATACATCTAAAATCTATCATGTATAAGTTTAACAAAAAAATCAATGACCCATCTTCCGAAATTTCAGATCTTCAAAATGGTCTCAATAAAGAATGATCAATTTCACTGTTTAAGCAATACAGCAATCTAAATATCTTCTTAAACAACTGTTACAGGATTGAAATTTAGTGTGGGGTTCACATGCAATTCAACAAAGAGTTCCCTCATTGGAAGTTAGGACAGTTGTCACTTTCATAGCAATTCACATAGCAGATATCAATTAACAATACCATGATATCATTGGTCATAACTGCTTGTGAGAATGTTTAGTGTCCTTTAAACTTTTATGGTGGTTTTCATTGAATTGCAGGTAAACTGAATGTCAGATTACGATTCATAAGATTCTAAAAGCTTTTAGCCCTCGATTCAAAGCCACCATTTCCTGGTAATTTGCTAACAGCCAGTCTTCTCCGCTATTTTGTTCTAGTGATTATGACCTATGTTGTGTGAGAACTTACTACAGTGGTAATATTTTGATAGACATTTGTAAAAGCATTTACTAGAAGGTAGAGGGTTTGATTTAAATAATAAATAAGATCTAATGTAAAGTGTTGGATTTGAATAGGGATTGAAAACAAAATGTTGAGGAAGTCTACACCTTCAAGTTTATTTTTTCTGTTAAAAAACTTCACTTCCAGACATTAATTCAAAAATAGTTTGTTTTGTACATGTCTGAAAAGTGGCACATAAAACTTTCATTTTTTTTTTTTTACAAGGTCATGGATTCGTAAGAATAAACCTTAAAGGGAACACCAGTGTTTTACTTTATGGCTTTCAGACAGCTCAAGGCTGTTAATATAGCTGAATCAATTATCCTGAATTAGACTAAAACAACTAAAGCATTAGTCCTGAGCTGACAAAGTATGTCAGCCATTTTGTTAATGTGCGACACATTTTTAGTAGTTTTTTTGATAATCAAACCACTTTCAATATTATTTACAACAATTATCCAAACTTACAGCACTATATAGCATTATACTAATATTCATAGTACACTATTAGAAAACTTTGTACCAAATAATTCAATAAATGTATTTGGCAAATTCAATTTTCCATTTTACCCGAGTTTCCAATACTATTTTCATAAGCATTAAAACACACCTCGACTCAGATTAGTTTCTTACGCACAACAAGTTTTTTATGTCCACTTAAAAGATTTAAGTTCAAATATTATTTATATTTCATTTTTGGGAGCTATTTTAGTAAATACTGGGTAGTGAGATATCAGAAAAATATCTGGATACAAGATATATATAACATAGTATCCAGATAGAAATTAAATGTTGTATCCAGATACAAATGGATACAGTATCGAGATACAAAATAAAATCTTGTTATATATCAAAATTTGTACTTGTAAGAACACCATGCATATTGAAATCTAAGTCTAAAATTATTCAATCTTATCAATTTCAAAATGTTGAAATGACATGCACTGAACATCTGGTAAAATAACAAAGATAATGAATAGTGAAAGACAAAAGAACATAATCTGTATCATTCTGTGTCATCTTGACTTACGTGATTTAAGTTTTCCTAATAAATAACAAAATAATGCATTATGATTGGTACTTTATATATAGTTAGTAATTCTGTCAACTAAAGCATGCCATGGAATTTCTATATCCTATTCCTATATCCTAGGATGGTAAATAACAGTGAATGTGTCAAGATTTTGAGAAGGGAAGCAACTCTGTGTATTTATATAGACATCAATTTCAGCAATCAAATAACATCTTTCATCCTCTATAAATTGATTGGAATTATTTCGATCTATTTCGATTATTTTCTAAGTGTGTCATCTTTGTGTAAATCATAGAAATTAAGAAGGCTTTAAGCTTATCTAATAAAAAATGTGAAATATTGAAAAAGCTGGCCTACCTCTTCGCTTCAGATATTCTGCTATTAAAGCTGCTATGTGAATGTAACAATGAGCACTCTGAAAAATGTACGTATATATTGTGTAAAATACATAAAATTGTGTATATTACATGCTAAGCAAGTCAACTTATTAAATTAATAACATATATCAGAATCTTATCTAAGATTAAGCATTTTGATTGCAAGAGCTTAGTGTTTTTATTAAAAAAAAAAAAAAAAAAAAAATGATTTACTCTTTAGTCATAAGCTCCTTTTTGACCTTTTTGTAAATCAAATTCAATCTACAAGATTTCGAGTTTCGACCATATTGTTTCATTTGAACAAAAATAAAGTTTTGTTTAAGTGTTATCTTACCTCTGAGAAGTCACCATTTCTATTGTGTAGTTTAGCCATGGAATCTAACCAAGTTTTACGTAGTTCTGGTGTACTGGCGTATGATTTAGCTAAACTGTATTGTAAGTCTACCAGTAATTCTGGATCGTTCTCATTTTCTTTCATCTGAGCTGTTGCCATCAGCACTGTTCTTATCCGTTTGGTCAAATCTTTTACCTCTACATGGAAGGGACTTTTCTACAAAATGCAAAAAATTTACATAAGTCAGATTTTTAAAAACTCTTTGAATAAAGCATCAAGAAATGAATGATAAAACTTGAACAGAAAATGAAAATTGTTGAAGGATTAATGATGTATAGAAATTGGAAATGACATAAATCAAACTTGTTAATTTTAGAAGCGGTAGAATCTATAAATATTTAACAGAGAGTTTGGTGGTTATTGGAGTTATAGTCACAGTGTTGAAGTATGAGTCATACTCTGAGTAGTTCATCACAACATATTGACACTAGAACTAATACGACACTGAATACAAGGCTTCAAGGTATATTGGTGACAATCATACCAGTCAAATCAATACCAGAATCATTGCTTCCATTAACTCATGTTAAATTGCATGTTAAAATCTGTTCATTATCAGGTCAACTACATTGAGTCATGATGGTGAATATCTAATTAGAAGATTGCATCAATTTCACAGCAGAAATTTCATTTAGTTTGCAGGTTCTTTAAATTTTTTCAAATCCACTTTAGAAAATAAGCTTTTGATATCTTATCAAGAAATTTATTCAATTACACTTAAAGGGATTGTAGAGAGGTTTTCTAAAAATTTTATGTGTATAGGGCACACTGATAGCATCAATTGTCTCCAACATTCAATCAGACGTCTGTGATTCCTGCAATTCCACTTGGTATTGTAATTGCATTGCATGTCAAGCCTATAGATATCTGAATATAATCCTTATAAAGCAATATAAAATCAACCAAACACTAATCCACTTAATCAGCTTGAGATAATCTTTCTATATTACTTATATACATAACAATCAACAAGTAGGATATATCAATAGAGGTATCAGGTTTCTAGAAGATATATACTGCCCTGTCCTTATAGCAACCCTACAACAATACATAAATTTAGGAGTATTCCACTGTCTTCGTTCCCTTCAGGGTCAAAATGCCATTTTCCTTTAAATATCAAAAATCAACTATTAAGCACTTTTATAGTTGAAAAATCTGGCCTTATACTTCCTAATTCTAGGTTGTCCTATAGCCAACTGATAAATAATTGTATTTCTTTACAATGATAATGTAGTATAATTTTCTTTAAAACAGACTACAATATGACCTTTCACAATCATTCTTTCTTTCACATTTCAAACATTTAGAATAGATATCCAACTGACAAGGTAGTCAAACTATTTCTTTATAAGACTGGTAAATTTCAATATTCAAGATGTTCTGCTGCCACATGTGAGTACCGTACCAATTGTCAAAATTTGAATGCAAAATGACAAAACCCAAGTGTAACAAAAATATGGACCAAGACGGCCTAGTTCTGTGGAGATGACAAGCAACTCCACATTTGACTAAGATGTCATTGAAGATGTCCTGGTTCATTAAAATAACATAATGTACTACAATATCTGATGCATAACAAATATCTAAATTTAATCTTTTTTTCAATAAAACACATAATTAAAATATCTTTGAAGAGAAAGAAAACCTTACCTAGATTAGAAGAAGAGTCAAATCTGACCCTGATATTAAGACAGTGGTTGCCAGAAGATAATCAATATTGTGACACGATTCCACTATTATCAGGAATTGACCTGATTCTTTTAGAATTCCTCTACTATTCTACTATTATTACAATAACTTAAAAATTCCATTTATCTTTTTTATTATTGACTCTAGCTTTTAAATCAAATTAAAATTAAGGTTACAATATATATACAGTGTGAATTGTGTAGATAATATGTATATGGGCTATATGCCCAGCTTGATTCTTTTACCATTCACAATCATAGTATAAATTATTACTATTTAGAAATTTGTATCATTCACTTCCCTAAAATATTCATAACATAACTATTATTTAATTAGGTTTAGAGTTCAATATACTTTACCTTATTCAATGTCAAATATATATATAGGTAGATAAGACTTTTCACTTCCTTGTTTACAACCTTAATATTCAATACCTACATATACAGCAATCACAATCAAAGACATCCATGCTAGCTCAGTCCAGAGGTTTATCAATATGACTGATATGAATCTGAAAAGTGTCACTGATAAAGAAGGGGGATGTTGCTTTTGTAACACCTGATGTCATTCTGTAATTACACTTTCCAACAAATTTGCTTGTTCACTAGTAACTATCAGGTTATCATCTCATTTTAAAATAATCCAAAATCATTTATTCATAGATCCATTTTGGAAAATCCTCAAAGTTTGCACCACTATCCACATACAATATCCTACTAACTGGAAACTTTATAACATTTGTATAATATGTTCATACTCAAACTATTATATATAATCAACCTGTATCACCTAATCCTATCTATATTATAAGTATAAATAAGTCTAGTATTTTGTAGGGGTTTTTGGTCTTGAACCAAGTCAACCTGAACTCTATTTAAAGGAGATTTACAACCATATAAAGTGTTCAACATAAACATTAAGTATTCATTCACATGAGTTAAGTAGGACAAGGTTATGGGTTGCAAAGTAAACAATGGTTCTGATAAGTGTATATGTACAAATTTTAAATTCTAAGTTAAATTCTATGACAAACCAGTCGAAAACTTCCTCCAAGAGTTAACAAATCTGCCACCTTTTTTTTCTAAGTATTCCACATAGTTAATACACAAAAACCATTCTGATAGATTCGTTTAACACATATCTGAACACTTACATACCTAAAACTACCTTTTATTTTATATTTTCCACAAAACACAGATGAAATTTTCAAATAAGAACACTATAGTATCTAGCAATGTTAAAAACATGTTGAACACAATGTCAATTTAAAACCATTGATTAATGAAGTTTTTTGTTTGATTGTCTAATATTAGATCAGTTAAAACAATCAGGACCACTGTTTCCTACTTTAATACCAGACATTTCTAAACAGGTTACAATCAGAATACAGAATTAATATTTACATTTATTATCTAAATACAGTGTTCAATTACATACATGTACAATCAGTAGGGTTTAAGTCAACTAAATTGCTTGAGGCATTAAGAGAAAGAGACATATACAAATATTGTATTTATCATGTTAACATCACATTATGTACATGGAAAGATATATTTACAACATGTATATAATATAAAGCCACTGTCTAAAGTCTTACATACATAGTTTTAACTTATTTTTCACTACGATATTTGATGGAGCTTAATTTGAGTCAATCTTAGCTTTTTAAAGCTTAAAGTTAATCTCCATTTCTAAACTAGTTGTCCTGATGAGAATTGTATACAGAAATATCATGAGATATATATCTGAGTAATATATCAAATTGACATAAAAACCCTCTAAAATGTACATGTAAAAACGAAGGCATGAAAGAGGTGGTTTTCTGTAGATTGCACAGCAAAGACAAGAAGGTGGCATGATGAACACCCAGGGCATATAAACTCTTTGGTCATTCAAGACAAGTATTAGAGCAGTGACAAAGACACATGAAAAATTTCTTGATCTAGATAAAAATTGAATCCTTGGAAACTTTAAGAGGTTTTTCAAAGTTATGGACATTTCTAAGGAAATATTTTCCATCCAGACAACTTGACTGCCATGGAGGTATACTACTGGATTAATACATACAAAGCTTCAAAACTCATCACCAAAATTTCAATCATAAGTTAATGTTATAAAACTGAAAGTGCAAATAATTTTAATTACATGGTGCTATTAGTAATTAATTTGACAATAATATATTTCTTAATCTCATTTGAAACACAGTTTATGTTTGTAAGTAGTTATTATGTCTGAAAACTGAACATTTTCTTAAAGCAATTCATCAATTATTTTGAGATGTATTTCTTTGATATAGGTATTAAATTTTAGTAGAGAAAAGAAACCATTAAGAGACATCCTAGGTCATCATCACAATGTCAAGCTATTATGAACTGAATCTAATAACTTGACTGTAATAGCTATCTTTCTTGAATCATAGAAGTTTGTAAAAGCAGCGATTTGATTGTATTGTACGCAATCAAATACAGACAATCCGAGCAAAAATTAGTAAAAAATAAGTCATAATGTTTACAGTCTTTTTGTTAATGTTTTAATTGCCTGTATTCACAAGCATACAATCCAATCAATTCTCTGTATTCTGTGATACAAGAAAGCTGACTATTGCAGTAAAAGTATAAGATGCAGTTCGTAATAGCTTGACATTGTGAAGATGATCCAAGGTATACTTTTAGTCTAAATAATAAGCTTTAGCTGGCTGCCTGACTTCAACTAATTTACAGTAATAGAGTTTGAATTTGTTTACTGACTAAAGAAGCAGAAGATATTCTCCCCAAAATATAGCATGGAAACAATCAATTCCAAATTTGGACTGAAAGGATTTTCTATCGAGTTGCATAAGCTTAAGCTTACTTAACAGTAAGTTGAAGAACTAATCTACCACTGATATCAAATCAAGCTCAACACCTAAAAGCTTTGAGTGAGCAAAAAGCAAAAGAAAATGACACATATATTCAGTACTGGTTCTATAAACATTATAAGTTTACATTTGAAGACAATAGCAAGCTTTTAGGCTTTTTATTAGGATCCAAATCTTAGAATTCTTTTTATTTTTTCAATCAACAATATAACACAACTGTAATTTCAATACTACTTTTAACAATAATGAGTGCAAATCATAAATTGTTATTAATCAATGTAAATCCAAGCAAGATAAAAGTTTTATCAAACCAATGACTCCCTTCATTCAATTTGTATCTAGAAATAAAAATGTCTAACACAATTATATGCTGCAGCTTTCCAACAATAACCAAATTTTGACATTTTTCATTACTCCTCAATCTTTTCTCATTTATTAAACCTTGCGTCTTAATAAGACTTAATGCATATCAAGCATTGAATTTTGACTGAAGTATTGTGTCTTGTATCAGGTATTATGTCTTGTCTCATGTATTAGGTCTTGTCTCATGTATTAAATCTTGTCTCCTTTATTAAGTCATGTCTCAAGCATTGAATCTTGACTCAAGTATTATGTCTTGTATCAGGTATTATGTCTTGTCTCATGTATTAGGTCTTGTCTCATGTATTAGGTCTTGTCTCATGTATTAAATCATGTCTCCTTTATTAAGTCATGTCTCAAGCATTGAATCTTGACTCAAGTATTATGTCTTGTATCAGGTATTATGTCTTGTCTCATGTATTAATTCTTGTCTAATGTATTAAGTCATGTCTCAAACATTGAATCTTGACTCAAGTATTGTGTCTTGTATCAGGTATTATGTCTTGTCTCGTGTATTATGTCTTGTCTCATGTATTAAATCTTGTCTAATGTATTAAGTCATGTCTCAAGCATTGAATCTTGACTCACGTATTATGTTTTGTATAGAGTATTATGTAATGTATCAGGTATTATGTTAACTCATTTAATAAGTATTGTCTCATGTATTATGTCTCATCTCATGCATTAAGTCTTACCTCGATTATAATGTCTTGTCTAATGTATTAATTCCTTGCTTAAGTATTATGTTTTGTCTCATGCAATAAGTCATCTCATGTATTAAATCTGTCTTATCTTGGGTTAGTCTCTCCTCATGTATCTCGTTTTAAATATTGTGTAATGCTTTAATTCTTATCTCATCCATAAGAGATGCCATGTATTAAGTCTTGTTTCCTTATGTATTAAATTTTGTTTCATCAGGTACATGTATTCAGTCTTGTCTCTTGTATTATGTCTTGTCTCATGATGTATTAGGTCTTGTCTCATGATGTATTAGGTCTTGTTTCATAATGTATTAAGTCTTGTTTCATCATGTATTAAGTCTTTTCTCATAATGTATTAAGTCTTGTTTCATCATGTATTAAGTCTTTTTTCATGATGTATTAAGTCTTATCTCTTGTATTATGTCTTGTTTCATGATGTTATAAGACCTGTCTCATGATGTATTAAGTCTTGTTTCATGATGTGTTAAGTCTTGTCTTGTCATGTATTAAGTCTTGCCTTGTCATGTATTAAGTCTTGCCTCATGTATAATGTCTTGCCTCATGTATAATTTCTCACCTCATGTATAATGTCTTGTCTCTTATACAAGTTCTATTCTAGATGAGATTAAATAATGAAAGTGAATTTCATACACCAGTCATAAAGACTGTGACACAATTGAATTATTAGGAAATATCTTGTTGAATGTTCCTTTTGGAAAGCTGCATACAACACCTTCCAATTTATCATTTGTTGAATGAAGAGTGAAAAAGGTTTAAACAACTCTCAAAGTTTAATATTTCCAAACGCCAACTACTATGTTATACATATGAAGTCATTAATACTAGTCACTTACGTGTATTTTGCTTTTATCAACCTAAAAATTGGGTACATTTGGAATAAGCTGACATAATAATAAAAAAAAACACAACATTGAAAGCAAACAATGACAACAATGAAATAAATGGGTAAGCTTATTGGAAAAAACATAACAAAACATCACAGAAGGGTTTCTGAATTCCAAAGAATATGTAACTTATTCCAAAGGTAATTACACGCCTGCTTTTTCTAGCTTTCCAAACGTGAACAAATATGGCCTGTTGGAATCTTGGTATTCTCTTATAGATGCCAAGATATACATATTTTCTTAAATTGCACACAAACCAAATATTGGATTTCTGCTCTTAAAAGTTATATGTTAAAAGTTATAGAGCTCTGTTTACGTATATTCAGAGTCTGTAATTATCATCAATTTGGGGTAAATAACATCAGAAATTCTGAATAAATAAGACTTTGTGATTTTTTTGGACCAAAAAGAACTATTTATTTTCTTATTGGAAAGCTGGGAACTGACACAGACATGAAAACAAAAAGATGGAAAAAAAGATATACAGATTAATTTTAAAATGGACACTTACCTGTATTCCTTTATCACTATTAGCGTAATTATTGACAATAGCTAGTGATTCTTGAAATCTAGATGTACTTAAACCAACACTATCACCTATTAACTGTGATACAGATATTATCACCTAGAATACACCATGAGGAAACATATATTGAGGATAATTTTATTTCCCTGTGTACAGTGAAACTCTGTCATCTGTATATACACATTTGTACATTTCTTTAAGGGATGAAGAAAGTAGAATATTTATTTGGGGGCACTAATAGTTTCTTATTTTCAATTTTCATATTTCCATTGCAGTGTCCCATTTGCTGTTTCTGCAATTCCAGACAACACTTTGACAAAAACAAATCAGTTTTGGGGGTAATTATATTGAGACTTTCTGAGTCACATTACCAGATTTCAGACCAGAAACAGGAATGGTGGCAATAGAAGTGGCAATAGAAGGTATATTAGCGCATCAAGTATACAATCAAAGGCAAGAAAACACTTTCAAATCTTTTTAATCTATTGAATATGTGTCTGAATTTCTTAATCAAAACTACTTTTCTTTTATCTCTAAATATACAAGACTATCACACATCATAGCCTGAGAAGATAGATCAAATTATCAACTAATATTGAGTGATAAATATATTTACCTGTAGATGTACTCTAGTAAAGTTTTTCTTGTTGGTATATTCGAAATTAGTTCTCATCAATAAATACAGTAGAGAACAGGCTTCACGTCGTGTTGAGTTTAATTTAGAACTACAGCATCGTAATATCTAAAAATCACAATGGACAGAAAAAGCATTATACCTGTATTTCATTCATTTTGACTAATAAGAAAATTGCCTTCAATCACTCAGGTGAAATGAAAAATAATGAATATCATCAATAACATTGAGGATTCAGTACCTTTTCAAAGTGCAAGCTTCTTGTATTGTTTCATTAAAATGCTGTCATATCTTAATGTTATCTAAGAACTGACCCGATCACATATTAGCAGTTTCAATAACATACCAATTATATTAATACTTACAGCAAGACATAAATCACCACACATTGAAGCACTTCCTTTAAATAACACAGACTGGAACTAGAAAATAAATAAAATATTTAAACTAGCTACAGACTTAAACCTTCAATAGTACACTAATAAATACACTAATCATTTGACAGTTGTGAAGATTGTAGTTGAAATTACATAGCTTATTCATTACATGTCATTTACTTGTTGATGCAGTGGACAACTTATTGTTAGTCACCATTCTTTAGGCCATACCAAAATAACTTTCTGTTCTTCGGGATTTCTTGAAAAAAAAAAGGTACGAGCGAACGAAATTTTAAAAGTCTAAAAGTTAGTAATCATTGATTTGGTTGGTGCGATATAATATTTTTTAATTTAAAAAAAAAAAAGTCCCTTTGTACCATTAAAATTTTCCAGCATGGATGATTTTGAATGTATTCAGATAAAATAACAATTAATAGTATTTATTTGTAATCTTCCACAAAATTTCTTTTGCACAGATTAACTGGTCTTTTGACCAGCCATCATCAATTGTTTTGCACCAATCTAGCACATCACAAAATAGTTTTTGAGGTCCAGTTAAGGTTTTGTCAAAGACTGGTGGTGTAGGTTTTTCAGGAAACATTAATGTCTTTCTTGATGCCATCATAAAATCGAACACATTTTTATCACTTTTGGAAGTATTACGAACAGGTTCTTCAGACGAAGAATGAGAAGGCAAGTTAATTAAACAGTCCACAAACTTGGATTTCAGTTCATCACACAGAGAAATTTTTAACGAAAGTGTAACCAAGACACCGCCTGATTTTTCCATATTGTCCTTGATGTACACTTTTTCTGGGATCTGTGACATGCACGATTGAATTCCTGCAGATGCCAGATCATAAACATCTTTAAAAGTGTTTTCAGGCTCAACATCAAACGCCATGTATGGCAAAATAAGTTTCTGGTGTGACCTAATTTTGATTACTAAAATCATTTTGGTAAAAAAGACAAATACAAATATTAATTCTAGCACTGCATCGACCGGCATGCCTATTTCTGATAATTATCAACTTCCGGAATTTTGATGCGTTCGGTTGTCGAGAAAACGTTCTTGCTTCAGCGAAGGGCCTAAACTACTGTACGAACTCACTCTTTCAACAGCTGGAACATGTTCTACTATAATTGTCGCAAGATGTCCACAAACTGACAAACGGAAATAGAGGGCGCAATTTGTTACTCCTGCTACCAAATATTAGGCTTAGAGAAATAAAAATGAAACTAAAAATGAGAGCTAAACAATCATGTTATCTGATCAATTTAGAGTTACGGAAATACGGGCAATATAATTTTTTTTTTAAAATTAAAAATTCTTTTTTCAAAATTTTACTTACGGGAGTCCTTTTGATACATACAGAATATTATTTTTCAATTTCATAAATAAAATTTCAATAACGGAAAATCGGGTACGGAATTCCCGACGAACAGAATATTATTTTGGTATGGTCTTATGAGATCTTGAAAATATTTTGAACAAATGAAGGTATCATTTCAGATGTTGCACACTTTTTTGAATAACTATAAATATGAGAACTGTGTTTGACAACACTGGCACCTCCCTGTGGTCAGAATGATCAGATACAATATGAGTGTTCTTTTACACTTCAGAGGCTCTCCTCAATATCATATACCAAAAATCATTCAGTAAACAGAATAATTTGAAATAAGGTCAGAAAGGCCCCTTTATTTACCTTTTTAATAAAGGCTCTCCAAGCACCAAAGACATGTTTTTGAAGAACTTCTGAGTGACTGGTTTGTAAGAATGATAAATGTAGTTGAAATATAGTTCTCATTAATGTATTGTCTCCTTCTCTAGCTTCTAGTTCTTTCTGTAAATAAAACAATACCATGACAATCAACACTAAACATATCACTGAAATAACTAGATGTTACAGTGGTGTTCACATGGTTACCCTCAAAATAGGTTCAAATTTATCATAAAGACTTTTACATGCCAAAACTTTAAAGGGATTGTACAGAAGATTTTTGTATACCAAATATCATCCCCAAAACACTGACTTACCTTAAAAGTTTGTGAGAATAAAGCTAGAATATCTAAAACTATTAATCCAACTTCAGTAGCCATATTAGCTTCTTGTAAAGCTCTCATTACTCCTTCAGCATCAGAATTAGTAGGAGCTGTGGAGATAAGAAAATAACAATTACACTACAAATGACATTGCCCTCCCATTTACTATCAGTTTTTTGACAAATCTAATTATCTGTCATGTGAAATGGCATCAGCAACAAAACAATCTGAATTTAGTATAAATGTACATGAAAACTGAACCAGAAACAAGTTGTTTCTCAGAGTTTCACACTGGACAAGTTCCAGACAGCTCACCTATTTCAGCCTGAAGTTAGAAATAGAATATATCTATATTACTCTAGAATTGATTTATTGAACACTATTTAACAATAAAAATATATTGAAAATGTAAATCCAAACAAGTTAAAAGACAGATATAATAGTTTATATGATACTAACTATGAAACATGTCAAATTGTTCCCCGTACTGGCTCTGTGTACGTTCTGATGATAGGCTACCAGTATTAACCATTGATCTACGTGAGGAAGGCATTGTGGAAGCTTTCTTAGGATCAGCTATCATACTGAAATCATACATATTTTGTGTGTCATATAGTTAACATCCTTATATTCTGTTACTGATTTAGATGATGAAGACTTGCTAGCTAAGCAGTGAGCCTATGTTGGAGAGATAACTAAATCCCATGTGTCAAGAGTTCCTCCATGTGCATAGTTTGTAGACCTTGGTCTCGATTATTGCCCCATACAAAGATATTGTTTGCTATATATAATACATACCTGAGAGTATTAATTCTTTTACGTCCTTGATATCTGAATTGATGTAAACAAACTCTGAAAAATAAAACATAATTCTTAGTCAAATAAAATGAAGTTTTACATCCTAGTTTTCTACACTTGTTTTGACTATTAATGCAGTGTGCAATGAGGGCTATTTTGCTAGGACAGCGGCATTAGACTACACTTTTTTTATTCATTTCTCAGTCAAGTCTGCACCTTTACTCTTATTTCTGATTTCAATATGCCTGTCAGAAGTGTATTAAGAACTAAGAATTAAAGTTAGTCCAAGGAACATAACTGAACAATGATATAAGAAATATTACCTGAGAAGGCCAAAGAAATCTACCAAGTCTGATTCTGATGAATTATTACACCATCCTAATAATATATCTGTAAATAAAATATGATTTTTATATATTTTTGCACCAAATTATGTGTCAGAATGATCCAAAATCAATCCTAACTGTTTCTTGGGGGAGAAGATTCTCAGACACACTATTGGAGGCTTGCACCTATGGAGCTTCCACAGAGATGCTGTATTTTAAATTCGACCTTGACATTGTAATCCCAGTCTGCCTATTTAAACCACAGTCTCGGAAGGTTGGAACAGCTACTGTGTTTAATTAATTATATTTGAGCACGCTTCCGCAGGTACTAAATCAGCCTGAGTTGAAACTGTTTCACTTACCATCAGGTAAAAATTTTAGTATATATAATAGTGATACTAATAAATCTTTTATTTCTGTGATATCTAACTTATCATATCTTAATACATAGGGGGAAGGAACAACAGATCTGAAAAATCACAACATAAACTTGTTAACTGATATTATATATTTTTAAGCTAACTTCCTGTAGATTTAAGCACTTTACTTACTTTCTGTTACTAGATCTATATATTGTACTTACTTTCTGTCACTAGATATATCTACAGTACTTACTTTCTACAATTACATTTACATATAGTACTTACTTTCTGTTACTAGATTTATCTGATGTCACTGTTTTATCTGATTCATTACTACCTAAAGATGTTGTAGAACCATTCAAGTGTTTACCCATTGACATTTCACTCAGATTCTGGGGTGTTTCTGTTAAAACTGTAAGATAAATTTAAAGTATAGCAGTTCTTCTGTGAAACTCAATGCTTAAAATTTATCAAGAACATTTATGCTGTCATAATCAAAGTCACTATTATTGTAATTCAATGGAATATTTGTGAGGCTACCATACTAAAAATAATATAAAGCTTACCAGTTGGTTTAGAAATCAAAGCGAAGACAGCTGAATCTCGTTTTGGATCCACCTCAGGTTTAGTTAATGTAGTGACAGAGTTTCGTGCTGTATCAACTTTTACTGATGGTATTTCTCCATTCTGTACAGGTTTTTGAGAAGGTACATTTGAAGGATTGGCAGCATCTTTCATTAATCTTTGTCTATTGTCTAATAAGATTGTTACTAATGGTAAATACAGGGCTGCTATTCTACCTTGTTGAGACTGTAATAACAAACATAGGGTTTAAATCACGTATCATATACAAGATAACCTTGTACACTGACACCATACCACAATGAGTTGGGGGGCACTTGATAAGTGCATTCCACTTATGGCATAAAAATTAGGTGAAGACAAAATTCAAAATGGTTGTAAAAGGATAAAGAAGGGTTCATTTTGAATGTGAGACATCCAGTTCTGTATAATTCAATTGAAGCCAGAATCAGAAATAACCAATCAATCAGTTTTGATGATCAGAAAATCTTCAGGCCATAAGTATTATCTTTAAATTCTTATTCTAAAATTCTTTCTGAGATTAGAATGAAAAACACCTAATCAAAAAAAGGACCAATCCTTTCAGTTAGCCATTCTACTACAACAATGGGAACACATCACTTACTGAACCAAACTTTAAACAATGAACAATATTCAAATAGAGACCAACCTTGGTAGCATATCTATCATCAAATGAATGTTTTGCCAATTGATTTCTAAGAACAGTTATAGCACTGCGTCTAATATCTCTAGGTTCATTGAGAGCCATCTTTAATTCATGTAATAACAATCCAACAAGGTAATGTATTTGTCTATAATCATCAGATAATGTATAGTCATGTTTTAAATCTGAAATAGGAAAAAAATCACTAAAATAGAACCACTAAATCAAACTGACAAAAACAGGTGTCTCTGTGAGTTATATTTGATATATATAGAAAACTGGACAGGCATGTAATGGAAATATATTAGGGACATCAAAAATGTAAATTTATACAAGTAAAATTTAATAAATAATTTTAAAAAAATCCTCCTCCCTCACTAACACCCATGTCTTCCACCCACAAATATGACAAATATTGACACATCCAGAGACCAAGAGACAAAGGTAGTTTGTATTTTGGTTTACAACCTATATGTTTAGAGCAATTTTCATGAATAGTTTTGCACTTGTTCCAGAAAAGATTGAATTGAACAGAAAATATCATGCAAATTATAAAAAAAAAACAATGCAAATAAAATTACAAAATAATAAAAACACGAACAAGCAAAATTGTCTACCTACATATATTACAAATAAATTAAATAATTCATGTTATAATATCATGCCTTTTATATTAGATAAGATTTTCAATAAGTAAAACTTTTCTTCGGTCTTTATACTTTAAAGAAAGCATGCTTTAGATAAATCAATTGATTCAGGGAATGTCATAATAAAGATTGCAATAGTCAAGCTCAGAGGGTGAAAAGATCTTAGGGAATTTTATGCAAGTACCAAACCATATTTGCAGTAAAAGTGGTAAAGAATTGAGTAGAAAATGCATTCAGCTGAGTTCCTCAAGGTATTTATACCTACAAATCATTTCAAATTCTTGTTTCAATCAAATCTGATCGGAAGTCTTTATCAAGGTAACAAGAAGTATGACAACAGGCAATTAAAAATATAGAAATTTGTAGAAAATTATCAAGCCTTAATGTAATATAACTATAAATACATATACTAGTAAATCAAGTATAATAGAAGCATATTGCAGGATCTAAATAATTGTATGTCATATTATTCATGGAAGTCATTCATTCATGCAGACAGAAAAAAATACATCATTTTGCATACTTAATCAATCAATCGAGAATGATATAATGTTTCTTAAGCTATTTCATAACGACACAAGGCATGGCCATCTGTAGTTTATTTTTTGTCCCTTTTGTTTTGATAATTGAATATTTCTATTATTGACCACAAGTACTTAAATGCCACGTTTCTCAGGAAAGTAGTCAAAGACAAGAAATCTCATCATCAGTAAATGGTCAATAGAGAGTCCGCAACCCAAAGCCTTCAGGAGGTAAGCTCAGTTCTACATATCTATAATAATTGATGAACTGTAATATCTACTTCATACTCCAATGAATTCAGATTTTTAGCAAAGACACATCGTATGCACCAGATTTTAAACTTGACTAGAGGTCTAATCAAAATTATACCTAATAAGATATTTTGAGCAGTAACAAGAGTTTATTTCTCCTGATTCCCCTAAAAAACTTACCATTAAACCATCAAATTTGTTACTTATGAAATAAAGCTATTTCTTTAGGAAATTGAATACTAATTTCATGTATAAGCCGAAACAATAATGCGAGAATTGCTGTTATTTTTTGTTAGGGTTCAGACTATAATCATACTAGATATTTTAAAAGCATTCCTAATTAGTCCATCTAAGTTTAGTTATGTGACTCAAGATAGCCAATGATATGATGTTAATAAAAATGACTGAATCAGACGTGACCAATCACATCCATAGCAACAATTTTTGAAATATTTTACCTTCTGGCTTGATTTCTGTGAACAAAATATAGTGAACAAAAAACTTAACAGAAAAATAAACTAGAATACAGAATAAACTGAATAAAATGGCCTCTAATGTATTGTATAACCCACTATAGTGTACCTAAGTCATTCCTATCAAATACATGATCTTCATATATGGCTAGAAATCAAATAAAACAGTATAAAATATCATATTCTTACATGCTTAAATAATAAAAACAGACACATATACTTGTAATAAACACAAAATGACAATAAGGAGAATGGCAAGAGGCTAGGTTGTTTTTAAGGAAGTCTTTTAAAAAAAAGTTTATAAGATTAAAGTATTTTCATAAAGTATCAGAAACATTCATAAGAAAAAAGTAAGAAATTTTCTTATGTATCATTATGCTTCAAAAGAAACAAAATGCATAAGTCCATAAAATATATAATAAGAAAATGCTTAAATTTATTCTATTTCTAAAACATAAATTTCTCAAAATTCAAGATCCAAACTTAAATCAAAGGGTAAAAGTGGTAAAGTAAAAACATGATCATTAATGTCCTACTTGTATCAGAATCTGAACCAAGAAGAAGTTTCCTACTTCCCCCAATATTTATAATATTGAAACCTAAATGGCAAAAAGACTTATTAACAATGATTGTTGTGATACGAAATTGAAATCCAAGTTGTCAAAATTTATAAAACAACAGTCATATCAAAACTTTCAATTCCTAAACAATTTTTCTTAGCTGCTTATGGTTTAAAGGCCCGATCTACCAAATTGTTAAACAATAGAATAGGAAGGAATTGAATAGTAAACAGGACAATACCTTTAAAGTTCTTGACTAAACCTTTTCTCATTAGCGGTAGAGATAATGGTATGAAATGTTCATGACTACAGATGATACGTAAATATTCAAACTTGAATTCATGTAATATCTGAAATTAATCAAAGATTCAGATTTAAAAAAAAACATATAAGATATTACAGGGATAAAGTTTCAGATATTCAGATCAATAAAAGATTTCGATGTAAGATTTAGATATTATAACATCAATTTAATATTCAGATATACATGGTTAAATCAATCAAAGATTTAGATATTATAACATCAATTAAATATTCAGATATACATGGTCAAATCAATAAAAGGTTTAGATATAATAACATCTATAAAAGATTCCGATGTAAGATTTAGATATTATACCATCAATTAAAGATTCAGATATACATGGTCAAATCAATAAAAAAATTCAGATATTCTAAAATGAATTAAAGATTCAGATATACATGGTCAAATCAATAAAAAAATTCAGATATTCTAAAATGAATTAAAAATGAGATAAACATGGTCAAATCAATAAAAATATTGATAAGATATTCTAACATGAATAAAAGATTTAGATATACATAGCCAAATCAATCAAAGATTTAGATATTCTAACATAAATAAAAGATCTAGATATTCTAACTTCTATAAAAGATTCAGATATTCTAACATCAATAAAAGATTCAGATATACATGGCCAAATCAATCAAAGATTTAGATATTCTAACATAAATAAAAGATCTACATATTCTAACATCTATAAAAGATTCAGATATTCTAACATCAATAAAAGATTCAGATATACATGGTAAAAATACCAACAAGATTTCAACAAATAATATCAGATTCAACTATCAATTTTTAACTTAAAGATAATTTTTTATTTCATGTTTTCAAAGAATGCTTTTCCATTAATCCATAACTCTTACTGATGTCTATAAAGATCTTGTCTGTAGATTTTCAAGTCATTTTTGCCTACATTTGACCAATGGTTGCTGATCCATTCTTTTGTTGACATAATCATAGTATATATAGTTTATTTATGTTCATAAGTGTACAACTTATACATGAACTTGTACTTCAGATCCTAAAACATACTTACTCTGTGGTCACCTGGATTAAAATTCTCTATGTACTTTGATACCAGTCTAAACACAAATCCTCTATCCATCAGAGTAAAGCAGTTCTGGAATAAGATTTGGTTCAATTAATTTCGAGTTGATTCTAGACACTTCCAGCACCTGATGTTATTCTGCAACTGCATTTCACTTTCACCTCCCTTTTCGGAGAGTCCACTTAGCTCATTAGGTCCATATCTAAGATGCCATTCTTATATAAAGCAAGAAATAAGTATACAAATAGAAATTGAGAGAAAGAAATTAGTTGATGTCTAGACTTTACCTTAACAAAATTAGCCAAACTTTTATTAGCACTCTTAGTTTCTTTAGGTCTCTCATTAGCTTTCTGTAGTATATGTGGTTGAATTGCTTGTAATAAATTCTGTATTCTAAACTGACAATCGGATGAAAACCTTTCATTTCTTGGCATCTACAAAATGATTCAAAACAATATCCATAAATCAAGAAGTAGAAAAAAACAATAGTTCACAGAGTCAAGGTCTTTTCAGACTTAACTGAATATGAACATAGCTTGCCAGGCAAGGTAACATTCGCCCACTGACAGCTTGATTTACATTAGAATATTCAGCAGCAAGGCAGCTATCACCATTATGAAATAATTCTTTAGAAATGTTGGGTTTTTAATAGGGCTCTCTTAAATGATAATCAATGATTAGTTCACAATCTGTTATGTTACATCTGTTCTCATGTTTACGTATAAAAGCAAAATCAAAATACTCACCTTGACTCTATCAGTATCAATTAAAAACTGAGTCATTCCTTTTATCAAAACATCACAAAAGAAATCAGAATGTTCTAGAAATCTACAAATGAGAACAGGATCAGCATTGGCTGGTCGTAATATAGATGTTAAATTCTTAGCCAATTCTTCATGTACTGTCTTCTGTTTACTTCCTTTTACTACTTGTTCTGGTCGGAATATATACTGAAAGAAAATCATTATTATTAGTGTTGAGTGGTCATTTAACAAAGATAACAACTTAGTTTCACAAAGGATCCTTTCTCTGCCAAACAATTTGGCTTGATCTTTGATCATTTAATTTTATAGACTATCTCATTAAACATCTTTGAGAATTCTATTTTTAAAGCCAGATATGTTAAAATCAATGTATACAATAAAACTGCTTACCTTGACATATTTATCCAATAATTCTAACTTATCAGCATCATGAACCTCAGATATCACATGTATTAATACTCTGAAATATATCAAAGATTCAGATTTAAAAAAAAAACTATTAGATATTACAAATATAAATTAGATTTTCAGCTATAAAGATTCAGATATACATGGCCAAATCAATAAAAGGTTTAGATATTCAAACATCAATTAAAGATTCAGATATTCTAACATCAATAAAAGATTCAGATATTCTAACATCAATAAAAGATTTAGATATTCTTACATCAATAAAAGATTTAGATATTCTTAGATATTCTAACATCAATCAAAGATTTAGATATTCTAACATCAATCAAAGATTTAGATATTCTAACATCAATCAAAGATTTAGATATAATAACATCAATAAAAGATTTAGATATTCTAACATTAATCAAAGATTTAGCTATAATAACATCAATAAAAGATCTAGATATTCTAACATCAACCAAAGATTTAGATATTTTAACATCAATAAAAGATTTAGATATTCTAACATCAACCAAAGATTTAGATATTCTAACATCAATAAAAGATTTAGATATTCTAACATCAATAAAAGATCTAGATATTCTAACATCAATAAAAGATCTAGATATTCTAACATCAATAAAAGATCTAGATATTCTAACATCAATAAAAGATTTAGATATTCTAACATCAATAAAAGATTTAGATATTCTAACATCAATAACAGATTTAGATATTCTAACATCAATAAAAGATTTAGATAATCTAACATCAATAAAAGATTTAGATATTCTAACATCAATAAAAGATCTAGATATTCTAACATCAATAAAAGATTTAGATATTCTAACATCAATAAAAGATCTAGATAATCTAACATCAATAAAAGATTTAGATATTCTAACATCAATAAAAGATCTAGATATTCTAACATCAACCAAAGATTTAGATATTCTAACATCAATAAAAGATCTAGATATTATAACATTAATAAAAGATTTAGATATTCTAACATCAATAAAAGATCTAGATATTCTAACATCAATAAAAGATTTAGATATTCTAACATCAATAAAAGATTTAGATATTCTAACATCAATAGAAGATCTAGATAATCTAACATCAATAAAAGATTTAGATATTCTAACATCAATAAAAGATATGGATATTCTAACATCAACCAAAGATTTAGATATTCTAACATCAATAAAAGATCTAGATATTCTAACATCAATAAAAGATTTAGATATTCTAACATCAATAAAAGATCTAGATATTCTAACATCAACCAAAGATTTAGATATTCTAACATCAATAAAAGATCTAGATATTCTAACATCAATAAAAAATCTAGATATTCTAACATCAATAAAAGGTTTAGATATTCTAACATCAATCAAAGATTGAGATATTCTTAGATATTCTAACATCAATCAAAGATTTAGATATTCTAACATCAATCAAAGATTTAGATATTCTAACATCAATAAAAGATCTAGATATTCTAACATCAATAAAAGGTTTAGATATTCTAACATCAATCAAAGATTTAGATATTCTAACATCAATAAAAGATCTAGATATTCTAACATCAATAAAAGATCTAGATATTCTAACATCAATAAAAGATTTAGATATTCTAACATCAATAAAAGATCTAGATATTCCAACATCAATAAAAGGTTTAGATATTCTAGCATCAATCAAAGATTGAGATATTCTTAGATATTCTAACATCAATCAAAGATTTAGATATTCTAACATCAATAAAAGATTTAGATATTCTAACATCAATAAAAGATCTAGATATTCTAACATCAATAAAAGGTTTAGATATTCTAACATCAATAAAAGATCTAGATATTCTAACATCAATAAAAGATCTAGATATTCTAACATCAATAAAAGATTTAGATATTCTAACATCAATAAAAGATCTAGATATTCTAACATCAATAAAAGGTTTAGATATTCTAACATCAATCAAAGATTTAGATATTCTAACATCAATAAAAGATCTAGATATTCTAACATCAATAAAAGATTTAGATATTTTAACATCAAAAAACATTCCGATATACATGACCAAATCAATCAAAGATTTAGATATACACTATTATAAATTTGCCTAATGAGTGCAAATTTTACAAATAAAGAAGTACTACAATTTATATTTACCTTACAGCATTAATTGCTACATCATCACTAGAAGTTTTAGCTAATAGATGAAATAACTGATTGAGTAGGGTAGGTAAAAACTGTACATAAGTACTCACTTCTACTGCTAATAACGACTGAAAATATAATACAATTAACATAAATAGTATGAAACATTTTAAATTTGGTGCTTTACAGTTTTAAAATTTGTGAAAATATTTCATTTGAACAGTTTCAAAATAACATGTAATTTAATGTCATATGTTTAGTATTGAATATTCACAGATAAAAACCTAGTAAAAGACAACAGAGAGTGAAACAAGAATAAAAACAAAAGACAAATGATTTGTTTTAATATTGAAGATATCTATAGAATAATACTATAGTCAATCATGTATTGGTTTTGACAATGAAATTCCTTATGTGTCTGACAGAATCTTGTCCTATTCAGACAAATTAAAAGGACCCATCTTGGCAGATAGAACTGGATCAAGAAGCCTTTTATCTGGAATACATTTGATGATCAGCAGTGAAACCTTTCAAATTTCAAGTTGAAATGAAGAATATATGTACAATATCCTTTTCAAAAGAAGAATTTCAGAACTCAGAATTTTTTAGTTATGTAAGATATACTGAAGAGGTAGTTTGGTTAGTAAATTAGAAAGGACAGAATTACTAGATCTATATATAAAGTACTAATAATAATAATTAAATTAAATGTAAAATGTTGATAACTAACTCATAAAAACATAGAATGTTTATAATTAGGATACAGATAATGATATATATAACAGAAATATTTGAGTTAAGTCTTATTTGAGATGAATTTGTTGATTTGTTGTAGACCTACTGTTTGATACTGTTCCAGAACGAACAAAATAATTATGTTAATTAAGAATTGCTGTTCTACATAAAACTTGGAACATTGGATGTCAGGAAATAAAACCTTAAATATCCTCTGAAGTTATACAGCTTTAAGCCAATGACGTATATGTCACGTGATACTACTTGGTCACAGTTACATTACAAGTTGCTCGGGTATATGTATATAACGATAAGGTATAAGACTGGTGTTGAAAGGGTTAATCTTTTTTTATGATAATGAACATAGCAATATGAAGATCATTAGTCAAGCCTATATGATACAGAACAGTCTAAATTATAATACTAATCATTAATTAATATACTAATAATAACTAGTAAAACTATATATATATATATAGACATGTGACACACTAAAGTTACCTTCACACTATTCAATACTTTCTGTGGATCAGGACTTCCACCATTCTCAAGCTAGTTTAAATAATCACATTACATGTATATATAGTATCATGAAAGCTACAGGATTCCATTTGAGTAACCAAATGACCTCATTGACTAATTTTTAGGCACTACACAGAATTGGCAAACTGTGCCAAAGACAATCACATGCTGATAGCTGCCATTAGTAAGTGAGAAGTTGAAGAATAAAACTTTATTCCAATTGAGTTTAAACCAAAAATAAAATTCATGTGATAAAGCTCCAAATCGAACAATCATATTTGGTGATTTAGAGAAGACTACTATCCTTCTAATGGAGACAATCAGACAGCTTCTCTTCCAATTTATAGTACCAGTCGCACTGTTGGGTGTACATTTAGGAACCAGTCAACCCTTCCCTTCACCAGAATCTAAAATCCATTCACACTTACTTTTAATTTGTTGATGCTATTCATATCTACAGCTAAACTAGCACTATTATCTAGTCTTTGACAATGTTGGAAGAAATTGTGGAGATGTTGATCTTGTGTATATATAGTTGATGCTAATATAACATTGATTTTAAGGATCTGTTTACCACCATCTACCCATTTAATATCTGGTCCAGAAGTCTGTAACATAAAAAAAAACATAATATAATATCTTACTTCTGTTGTTACTCTTATGTTAATGATGTCTGATCAGCGTCTACTTATAGGTGAAAAATTGTAGAAAACTAATTCAAATTAAATACACACCATTTACCTCTCTATCTAGACCTAAAGACTCATGTGTTAAATAACCAGATATGTAGATAACTTACCTAGACATAGTATAACCAGCTGGTAAAGAACTTACCCCTCTTCCTAGACTTAATGATTCATGTGTTAAATAACCAGCTGGTAAAGAACTTACCCCTCTTCCTAGACTTAATGATTCATGTGTTAAATAACCAGCTGGTAAAGAACTTACCCCTCTTCCTAAACTTAATGATTCATGTGTTCAATAACCAGCTGGTAAAGAACTTACCCCTCTTCCTAGACTTAATGATTCATGTGTTAAATAACCAGCTGGTAAAGAACTTACCCCTCTTCCTAGACTTAATGATTCATGTGTTAAATAACCAGCTGGTAAAGAACTTACCCCTCTACCTAGACCTAATGATTCATGTGTTAAATAACCAGCTGGTAAAGAACTTGAGACTGCTAGTGATTTCTCTCCAACATTTACTCTGAAAAAAGAAGAAATTCAAGGTAATAGAAGGTAAAAATCTAGCTGATTATATGCAACTGGTCAACAATGAAGTTAAATCTGTCTGGGTATTCTGGAAGATTCTCATTCTGACTCTTTCCACAGTTAGCAATTTCGTAAGCACAAACTTTTAAGGCTCAGTTTCAACCAATAGTTAATGACTAATCAAATGACCTTTATCAGGTGCATAGGTTGTGCATTCCCATAGTATATAGAAATTATATTCCATAGAATGAAATCAGAGCTAACCTTCCTCCTTCTTGTAATAAAGGTAACCAAGCAAATCCTACAGGAGACTCAATGTTATCTTTCTTCTTTAATCCAGCAGCAGAAGAACGATGACTAGCTTTAGATGCTTCACAACTAACATGATAAAATCTAAATAATATATGATGTTTATCATGTAGTTGTGTTGGTAGAGCTATCTTAACCTGAAACAAATTGTAATCATATGAATCATTATTACTTATTATTCAAACACAAAGCTAAAAAGCTAGAAAGCTACGTGGTGTTCAATTTTTTATCATAAAGACCTACATATAAATTTTTATCAAAATTACAAAATAATTGATATATACATATACATCCCATTAAATGAATTATGTGTTATCTAATATCTAAGAAAATCTCTGTAAAAACCTACAATGTTATAGTAAATTTACTACACTGAGAAAATCACAATAACAGTATTACTTAATAAACAAAATCACACCAACTCAAAATCAGTCTTCAGATCATGATTATATTTCTGCATGTTTCATCATAATAGCTTGATAACTATAGATTCTGGGGTACTGATGATGAAAGGTAAACATGCTAACAAACATGCACATACATATGTGGGCACTAACTATGTGTTTATGTTTCTATTAATTTACGTTAAAACACAGCTCACCTCTTCAGTAAAATCAGGGGTTGTATTATGATGTACAACAGATGTACTGGCTACAGTTGTAAATATTGAGGTACCGGGTCGACCATAAATACACTAAATAATAGAAACATAGGGTTAAAGTGATTTGATCACTTTATTTCATGGAACGTTGACATTTTTGTGAATATGGAAAGAGTAAAATATGGATATATTTATATTTTTTATATTGCAATGATGTTTCTCAATGTTTACTTCATTGAATTTCCTTTTGCCAATACATTAACATCTAATGAGCTGACTAATAAGCTGAAATACATGGACTGAAAGTGTATTAAAACAATTTGTAGGGAGAGATCACACCAGATCAGAAATAGGCAATAAATTCACCTTTAATGGAACAGCTACATCATCATCACTATCTTTAACTTCAATACAACAAGCTATATTACGTGCCTGGAAATATACCAGAGCTTTACTTATTGTCTACTTTATGAAATTTAATTAATACTGATATCTTGAAGATCAATTAATTAATATTAAAATTATAGTGTGAGAGCAAGTCAACTGTAAATTTAAGTAATTTATGCGGGATCACCTTTGCAGAATTTAACTCTGTTGGAGAGTCCAAGTAACTATCATAGTTTATTTAGTGAATTTTTGGATCCATAACATACAACTAGACTGTTTTGACAGTCAGACATATAAAATTGGGAATTGAATCTATTTGCCAAAAATAATCTAGATTGGCCTTAGCCTTTTTCTTGGCAAATTAGGAAAAGAACAAATTAACATCTTGATAAAGCACAAGAATTGCAGATAACCTACCTTAGCAAAAGATTTTTGACTGTCAAATTTAAGACTTTTAGGATAAACATACAGAGTATTCTTATAGAAATCAAATGTAGAACATAATGAGGCTCTTTCTGGTATAAATTCTTCAATTTCTATAGATGGTTTCATTGGTGGTCCAGGGAAAGGTTTAACAGGATCCAAAGCTGCTGTCAATACATCTACAATATGAATACAATTACTTTATCAGTTTTATCAAACAAGTTGAATAACATTAACTGTCAAGCCTTTAGAACTATTCTAAAACTAGTAAAACAATTGAAGAATTAATCTGTATGAATTACAAAAAAAAACAAACTTACTTGTTATTTCATCATCAGCATTTACTTGTTCATAATAAACTTTCAGTACACCTGGTATCACTTGTAATTTACTTTGTTTCTCAGGTCTGAAAGATAATTGTATATTACAATGTATATCTTTGTGCCATCAAGTAAATATGAATGAATTCTGCTGTAAAGCTAAACTACACATTCTACAGAGATATAGCCAATCCTGCAGTCAGTTTGATATTCATACAGTTTGAACCCTGCAGATTCAAAATATATATACTGAATTAAAGTTGTTTCATTTCCAAAGAGTTTGGTATTTGTATCGATTTACATGTCAATACTTACTTTCTGAAGTCTTGTAAATTTTTGATAATTTCAGCTTCTGATAATTTATGACTCTCCTGTTTAAAGATTGGTAATTCTAAGACACCATAGTGTGTAGTACTTAAAGATCTAAAAGTAAAATTTACATATAGAACAAATATTCAAGCAATTGGTATATAATGCATAGATACAATCATTATTTTCATGAGTGTCAAATTTTTTGCACGTTTATTTGTTGTTCATATTGACAAAGTATTTTTTGAAGTATTATTGTAAACTGGCTGACCCACAAAATTAAAGAAAATTAAACTTAATTGAATTTGAAGATTTCATACTCAATAATTTACCAATACATATCATTATTCCCTAAACTTTTCCTTATAACAAAGCTATGAATATCATCAATGATCTTATTAAAATTGTTGATCATTTTGTACAAAAATCTTTATTTTGGTTAACACAACCCTTTTTCAATCTGCTTGTAGAAACATACCTCCATGTGGGGATAGGAAAAATACTTACTTAGCTGACCAAGCAAAAGGCATTTTATAATGTCCAATATGAGAACAGCACTGTTTCATCTGTTTATATATTTTACTGCCTTGTTTATAATCTGGTGGTTTAATATAGGGTTCTACAGCCTGTGATATACTGCCTTGTAGTACTTTCTCTATCTTAGCTACTAAATATACATCACTACTATCACCATATCTTCTAACTACCGAAAACAACCCCTGTAATAAATATAGTATTAACTATTACTTTTACTTACTATAGTCTCATAATCTAATTGAAACACTTTTTCTTATGCAAATGATGAAGATTACTAAAACTGTTGTCAGCAGCATATAGAGCTTTGGTCACTTAGATTTATGAATACGCTGGATATCAATTAGTCTTTAGCAAAACATTACAGCAATGATCCATTACACAAATACCCAGATCAGAGAAATTCAATCATAACAAATTACATATTCCAGGTCAATAGACTTTTCCTGATGCAACAAAGCAGATTTCTGAGCCTCTATCACCCATTTGGTTTTCCAAACAGTACAGCACATTTCTTGTATGATAAGAGATCTCATGGGTCAAAATGATTACAAAGATTAGTTAGGTTACAAAGGTCCTTTTATCACACAAATATATCATAAATGTATATTTTCCAAATTTTATTCATACATTCTTTCCTTACCTGTCTATCTGGCTTCATTAACCATTCTTCATCTAAACCATTTAAATCAGGTGCTGTATTTTTACCTTCTACAGTATGTAGTTTATCAGAGGCATGTAATATTTCTGATGGTATCATATCTATAATCTCTTTCTCATTCGGATCAACTGGGAAATCTTCTGATATCTTCTTCCCTTCATGAGCATCATATAGAGCAAATGATATGAAGAATGGTTCAGGCTGAAATACAATGCAGGATTGCCATGATATATGCTGTATACAGTGTGCAAAGTCTTTAATTATTAGCCAAGTAAAATCACAAACACTCATTCTATATAAGTGGAAAAAACCTGTCTGAAGATCCCATTAATATGTTCCTTTATTGCTAAATACATCGATATACTGAGTCTATTATGGAATTCTGTTAGACAGATGAATAGGGTGTTGGTTACATGATAACATTTGCTTGGTTACATTAAACAAATGTTGAATGTGGGTTTGAAAGTCCTCACTGAAGTTTACTTATAATTTGAGTTGGAGTGATTTGAATACTTACATTACAGGTTTTAGTCATCAAGCCTACATCATCAAGATGGACTTGTAGTTTAAATTTAAACTCCTCTAAACGTAGAATAAATCTCTCTTGATATGGTTTAGGAAAGACATCAATTTCTCCTTCTTCTTCAAATTCTTCTTCATCAAAAAAAGTTCTCTGAAAAGGAAGGATCCATATGAAAACACATAGGTAACATCCTCAAAAGATTTTTCATTAAAATTATCATTCTGAATTCCATGGTAGTTGAGTTCATATCTCTACCAAAATGTCATTGTATGACTTACACTTGATGCAGCATACTGTGAAATATAACAGTGTGAGCCTTAAATAAGAACTACAAACCCTCATATCTGGATGTATAGCAAATAAATTCTGTCTACCATCTGCTCTAGCTTTTGCTAATGATCCATCAGTTTCACGAGAATACTGAAATATAAGAAATAAAGTTTAGTATAAGAGAAGTATATAAATCAATTCTCAACATAAACTTGCATATCAAACAATCAAACTAAAAAATACTTGAATATTGAAATATTAGTACAGAAACTATCTATTAGTCGTAAGTGATGTATATGACTTATTCTCCAGAAAATGAATGAAATAAAACAGGATACTTACTTTGACTACTGGATGATTGATACTACTTTCTTTAAAATTATCAGATTTAGTAGCTGGCATACCAGTTGATAAGGTTTCCTCTATAAATACAAATACATTAAACAGGCTTTTAACTAAAACTACTGGCAGTGGAATAGCAGTTGAAAATTGTAGAATAGCAGTAGAAGATGTTATCTGCACAGGATTAGGTGTCCGTTTTCGAGTCTCCCTCCTTTAATCCAAAACACTGTCTGCAGTGTTAGATAAGCTCTGGAGTCAAATAACTGGGTTTGTTTTACAAAAAAAAATAGGTGAACAAAAAATACTTTGTTAAAATTACCTTTGATACTACTGCTAGAGATTGTAGAAGCTGTTTCAGCTGCATTAATAACACGATTTAATACAATAATCCAATCTTCCATTTCACTATCATTTTCAGCTGCTAATAAATATGGCTGGCGATCTGACATACGAATTTCAAAAGAGTACTTTCCTTTTTTAGTGTTCTGAAAGTTAAATGGCATTGATAGTAAATGGATATTAGAAAAAAAATACCTTTTAATTATGTTGAATTAAAGAAACTAATTCTGCAGCATTTTTTAGAAGAGGTCCAATAATATAAATACTCATAGTCTCATATACTTTCAAAATGGACTGCTTGAAAACATTCTTGAATGGGTATAAAAACAAACCATATCAAATATAACTATCTAAAACTGAATTCTGAATATTCCTTGTGTTTCATGTTTACTGAATACCAAGTTAAATATAGTTCAAACTTACTTTAACCACACATTCTGCTAAATCAAGATATATAGCACCTTTAGCATCTGATTTTTTATTATCTTTAAAGAATTCTAACATATATGTCAAATCTGTCTGTTGTTGTAATACAAAATATCTTCTTTTAAATTGCTGTAATAATGATAATAATACATAATAATATTCACCAAGAGAATAATATTCATTCACAAGTCAAACACAGTGATGGTTGTTGCACTTCCATATATCTTTGTACATTTTATAATCATAAATCTTTCGTCTTTCAAGATGTTATCCAAAACTTTTTATGTGCCTCGCGGACAATGATTTGCACCATACCAATTATTCATCAGACGTCTGTGATTCTTGCAATTAAGTGTTTAATGACATAGCTATTGCAAATACCCTTAAATACTGATAGCACCTTTTTCTTTCTTTTTTTTTTTAAAGAGATAAAGTTATCTAAAATCTTTACAAGCTGATATAGTTTTCTGAATTTAAATAATCTTACCCTTGTAAAACTAATGATGTTTTCTTTGCCTCCATCAGGACCTTTATATAACCATCCTTTCTTAGTTATAATAGATTCTAGTCCTCGACTTATAGTATCCTACAAATATAATACAATATATACAGACAGCACTCAGACCAATATATCAGTCACAGTTCTGGTGGACATAAATCTATTGGCTTTCAGTTTCTTTTTTACTTTTAATTCCACAAACTTTAATTGAAATTAACTGTTTTAAATGTGGTTTGCCATTACTATCCAAGTAGGATATCCCCTCCCCCTCCAAAAGATTGTCAAACCAATACAATGTCAGAAAGTCTGTAATATCACTGTTTAGGTCAACAGTATTATTAAAATATCTCTCATTGTTTATTGTTTTGAAGAATAAACTTACATCATCTTTGTCTTCTATTTCTTCTGTATCAATCTCAAATACATGTTGTGATAGAGGTTCTAATCTTCTAGCACTGAAATATAAATATCACAACCTGATAGTACAAGAATATAACAAATACATGTTGTGATAGAGGTTCTAATCTTCCATCACTGAAATATAAATATCACAACCTGATAGTACAAGAATATAACAAATACATGTTGTGATAGAGGTTCCAATCTTCCATCACTGAAATATAAATATCACAATTTGATAGTAAAAGAATATAACCAAATACATGTTGTGATAGAGGTTCTAATCTTCCAGCACTGAAATATGAATATCACAACTTGATAGTACAAGAATATAACCAAATACATGTTGTGATAGAAGTTCCAATCTTCTTGCACTGAAATATAAATATCACAACTTGATAGTACAAGAATATAACCAAATACATGTTGTGATAGAAGTTCCAAACTTCTTGCACTGAAATATAAATATCACAACTTGATAGTACAAGAATATAACAAATACATGTTGTGATAGAAGTTCCAATCTTCTTGCAGTGAAATATAAATATCACAACTTGATAGTACAAGAATATAACCAAATACATGTTGTGATAGAAGTTATAACCTTCTGGTACTACAATTTAAATTGCTATAAGTTTGTGATTGGAATTATTTTTGTATTAATAGACTACTATTGTGATAGAAGTTATGTTTGTTTTAATAAACTAATATTGTGATTGTTTTAACAAATAAAAATATTTCTACATACATTAAGTTTGTTTCAACAGACTTTTATTGTGATATAAGGAGTTTATTTGTTCTAATAAAATAATATTGTGATAGAAGATTGTTTCAACACAATAATATATTGTGATAGAAGTTATGTTTGTGTTTATTAAAAAACATTGTGATAAAAATTCCACTTGTAATACTAAATTATTGTGATAGAGGTTCTATTTGTACAGGCTTATAACTGTATTTATTGTGCTATAGTCTATGTTTGTTGCATACAATTCATGAATATATTGTTATAAAACATAGAATAAAAGACAAACTGTATTCTTGTTTATCAGTAAATATTGCAACTGGAAGATGTTTATACAAAATTAGTAACAATATTTATATTCAAACCAAAACCACCTACACAAAATTCTAACGAAGCCACTTAAATTTAAATAACTATATAATTTGTCAATTAAAAACTCATTTTCTTATGAAAAAGTGAAAACACAGGAAAACAGAAACATTACCTAATAAATTGGATTTTAAAGATTTCTATCACATATATGTTGTAATTAAAATAGAAATTAGAAATTGTGCCAGAAGTTTCTAGTTCTAGAAGGCCAATAATCAGACAAATTAGGAACATAATCTGCAAATCAAATCATCAAATAATTATTTGAAAATAATTCAAAAACAGACTCTTGTTAAAGTGATAAAGTCATCTAAATATCTACATTACCACCTGATATCCACAAACCCAACAATTTTTAATGTCAGGCCTCATTAACATTCATAGATGTCACATGCAATCCAGGTTAAAATGAGGCAAAGGCTGAAATAATGTGTGAATATGTCTCATTTGCCTACAATACCTACAGCCTTGGATACTATTGATATCAAGATGCCATGAGTTGTAGCTGCCTGTGAGAACAATTTTGTTGAATTGCAGTTAAACTTGACATTAGATTTTAATTTTGAAAAGTAATAAAGATAATGGAACTTTATTTAAGTTGGTAAAGCAAATACATAAATTACTGTGTCCCTTTAAATATTGAATGATAAAATCATAAAACATCATAAAACTCCAATTAAATTATTTAGTTAACACAAACCATTTACAAGAGTCCATTGTGCAAAAATTGTCTTTTAGAAAAGACTGTCTCATAGTATAAAAATCTTACCTTGGTAACTGTTGATAACTACCAGAATATTGTTGATATTTAAATTTAATCATATGACAATTATCAGTATAGGTCTTAATACATTCTTTCACCATTAAGCTAGTAGCTTCTTTAAACGCTGTTTTAGGTACTGTTGATCGTATTGTACGCATCTTCCTGGCTGGAGTTGGTGGCTGTAAAAAAAATAACCTTGTTTTACATGCACAGCTCCTTAGTCCAATTTTACCAGGGACTCTTTCCCTAACTTATAATAGATTTGTGTTATCTGTAAATATTTCATTGAAAATAGTCATCAACAAATTGGTACAAATTAAAACTCATAGAACAAGGTATAATTAATATTGAATACATTTAAGATTAATAATCAAATTCCTGAAGGTGAAAATAGTATACTTACAGGAACCTCAATATCATCATGAGGAAAGTTGAGCATATCACGTTGAGGATCATTATGCAATAAAACTTTATTCTTAACAACATAGGTTTCATAATCTATAGGTTCTACTAACTTTGGTCGGGCCTGAAATATAAATCAATAAGTCAATCATTATCTTAAAAAAATTCTAAATTTAACAATAAATGTCAGAAATGGATATACATTTGACTTTATGTCCATATTTGAACAAATCTTACACAACAATATTTAGTATGCAAAAAACTATTAAAGGCAAAGGGGCAATTTTACTGAAACAGTTTTCTACTATGGACAGACATTGATTAATTGTAGGATTAAGTGAGGATTCTCTCCCTTGACTCATCTTGATAGAAACATCAACATGATTATCAATGGCACTCAAAATGGCACTTGAATTGACAGAATGCCAGATGATAGCATGTCAATATTGCCAGATAGCTTTAATGAGATTAGAAAAACAAGAAACAGATACCAGAGCTAGAGATTAATTATTGAGAAGAAGAAGAGATAATGTAATAGAAATAGAGGTGTTGGTCAGGACAGGCTAACCTTTCAATTTCTAAAATAGATTAATTTTCTTTCTTACACCATCTGTTTCTGACAATCATTTCATAGATTTTCTGTTACATTATTTCTTTTATTTATACTTTTCTCAAATAAATCAAATTCAAGGACTAATCTTAATTACTATTACACACTGCAAGGTATATATTCAATTTCAATTCTAATATGACTAATATCGTTCAAAAATAAATATTTTAATATCTATAGTGCCCTAAATGAACCACTTGTTTACTAAAGAGCACATGAATTGCTATAGTTGTTACTATTCTGATAAGATAATAAGATATAATCTAAATGTATATGTATTGAGCAAAAATCTAAGTTGATGGATTTATTCCAATGTTTTATGTTTCATCAACTATAGAAATACAGTTGTTACAGTTGCCAGCTACTAAACTGATTTAGTGTAGACTAATCACTATAAGTTAGGTATGATCTAGTATTTGTTTTCTCACTTGGGTGGAGTACTTGAATAGTTGTAATACTACTAACTAGTACTTCACAGTCTAAACAACAAGTCACAAGGAAATTATCACAAGCCAGGTTTTAGTAGCAAACAGTCCTTCTGTTTGAAGGCAAATTTAAGACCCTCACTTTTCAATGGGGGAGATTATCTCAAGAACAAGAAGAGCAATATATCCTCATTACAGTGCAACATTAAACATGTAGCCTACAGAGCAATATGGAAGAGGTTATGTGACATTTATGAAAAGTAATGTAACTCCAAAGAGTAATAGTAAGATATGTTTTAACTTAAGACAATGTAATCATAAAAGTAATGTAACATGAAGAAAGTAATTAATTTGAAAAGCAAGTTTGTAGAGCAATGCAACTTGTAACAAAGAAATACAACAACCTGAAGAGCAATGCAACCTGGAGAACAATGCAACTTGTAGAGCAAAGCAACTTGTACAGGAGAAGTAGAGCAATGCAACCTGTAACAAAGAAATGCAACAACCTGAAGAGCAATGCAACCTGGAGAGCAATGCAACTTGTAGAGGTGAAGTAAAGCAATGCAACCACAATTCTAAATCTGAACACATGATGAAGATTTTAAAGTATTTTTAAGAGTTAATTTCTTGTTCTATGAGAATTATCAGACAGATATTAAGGTTCATTTAGTCCAATTAGATGGTAATTTTTTTCTAAATAACATGGTCACTGAATTGGAAAAAGGCTATAGAGGGCAGGGTACATATTAGATATGTTAACAACTATTAATACCTAAGGCTAATTATATCTCATTAATTAATTACATGTACAAGTTATTTCTTATAACCACTCAATGGCATTTACCATATTTCAGTGTTGAAATTGACAAACTTAAGAAATGTCTATAAAACTGAAGAGCAACAAATTTAGTTGCTTTGTTTGACTGTAAGTTTAAGGGCCTGCACAACGATTACAATCTTATATCGTAATTGGAAAATACACTAGGTTTCTGGCATAAAGCAAGCGTCGGAAAAAGTCTCTAAACTATTGAACAGCAAATCTCATACTTTCTGCTATACAACCATATTGCATTCCAACAGGGCCCCTGTCACAACTATTATGCACAAAGCATGTTTCTATTAAGATCTATGGGATTAGTAGGGGCATCCACTGAGGATCTTGTGGCACTCTAGAAATGAACATGCTATATACTTACTTCTGTAGCAGTAATAATATTAGCTAATGTCACATCAACACTATGTATAATTTTACCAATTGTTGAAAACATTTTGATATACATAGCCTCAGCAATGACCACATCTATTTATTCAATAGAGCACTGTTTTTTTTTCAGCATTCAATGATGTTGCTTTTCATATCTTCAGTAAAAAGTCTGCTATCTTCTTGATAGAATAAGATGGGCTTTTGTCAACAAGAACACTTCCATACAATCTTCCATACAATCCAAAAAGACAACGCCACAATTTCCTAAACCTAAGATAACATGCAAAGAACACATCTATATCTAGGTAATTCAACATTGACCTGATTCGAAAATCATAAATTTACAATTCCAGACTTTCAGGCAGTGCCATTATCCAACATTACACCAGTACATCCATAAATCTTCCATGAAATATATATTAACTTCTTCTTATAATCTACCACAAAACTAATAAACTGATTTATATAAAAGCACTTAGAATATCATCAAATTTCGTAAGTATTCCATTTGTTTTCTTCATCATAACATAATAACTTGCATTATATAAGAACATTTACATTTAAGAATTTAATACTAAACACAGGGACATGAATAAGCATGATCTCTAGAAGAATAAGCAACAATTTAATCCACAAAAGAATCCATCACACACCCTATGTACTCTCATGACAAAGTTAAAGATGACCCTCAGAGTGCAAAAGTTTATTTGACTATTATAATATCATTATTTAAAAATGTCTACATACAGGTTTTACTTGTTTTCAAACAAATCTTACATGTTTTTTTTCTTAAGGCACAATTGTAAGATTTACGCACAAGTTTGATTTGTACAATATTGTAAACTGTGCAGAATTTTCCTTAAATACTAAGGAAGTTCAAAGCCAATAATCCTTATTTCAACAAATGTATTAATAATATAAGTCAATTGAATAACATATTACTCCTGGGTTTTATCTTAAGAAGTCACCTGATGATAACTGTGTAAATTGTTGAAAAAATTGTGTGCAATAAAATCCAAGTGTAGTACTCTCTAAAATTGAACTCCATTAAAAACATATACTCCTTGTATTAATTTTATCTATGCAATTCTAACAATAACCATGGCACATAAAGGCTGGAAGTACATCTAATAAGCACAAATGCTAACAGTTAATAACTCCAAAAACTACTTCCGGGTTCTACAAAATCTATTCTTCCTACAATTAGATTTCAATTTAACAAAGTAAACTAGACAATAGATAAATGCACACATACTGGTGTAACTGATCAATTTAGAAATTGTAGAAACGAAGTCAAGTTGATGATTTAGGAAGTAAGGTTGTTGATGATGATTATGAGATATAGAGGTTAGATTATTATTTTTAATGACACCTTCATCAATCCTTATAGTAATCACATTCATTACAATTACTAAAATATGTACTTAGAGGGTGAGTCAAAAAGTTCAACTCCAATATTTCTTAACCTTGAACTCTTGACTAAGGGTCCAAATATTACACCAATCTTTTTTCGTGACAATTCACACAACTCATGTCGCAGTCTCGCAGCAGCTGAATGTGGATTTGAATGACTACCCTGTTATCTTTCTTTTTCTTACACAGAGAAAACACTTGCCTTTTCATATTTTTTTTTTGGAATAAATAATTTCTGCCTGCTGGGGAGGGCTATAGCTTATTGTCTCATTCGTACAACTAAACATAATTTTTATGTCAGCCCCTCAAACCTGCATCACTGACAAGGGGAAAATAAGAAAATAAATTGGTCTAGTCTTATTCATATTAAAAGATGAAAGCACTTATTAATAATGTTCTAAAACTGTCTAATAACACCCTTTATAAATCAATACTTTATAGTTATCAAATCTTTTTTAAACCCAATATCTGGATACAAAAGGTGTTATTTTGTTGAGTGCACAAAACTCAATGTTTTTAGTGCAATTTGAAATAACACACTTTATCATGTTGTTGTTTATGCATAACATACATTGCCAAAAGCTGAGAAAAGTCGGTATTCTAATCATAAGTTCAAATGTTGTAATGTTCAAAATTCAAAAAACTGAATAGATGATTTTGAATAGTTCTACCAGAATAATTCCAGTTGCTTTTGTGTTGGCATATTACATAATAAACTAAGTGGCACCAAATATATTTGATTGAAATCTATGCACAATAGCCTACTGATATGATCATATCCAGTTAGTTTCTTCAGGTAATAAATCATAACACGTAGAGGTCTTCAAAAGTATTATTTGTATCTATTTATCAAATTTGTTGAACTACTTATGCTAGACCATGATATTATTTGTATTCAACTATTTTAAACAAATAGAAGTTGAAATAAATATAGGTCAAGATGTATCATAAGATACTTCCTTGAGTGCACAATAAATAATATGAATGAGACATAAATGTCTTGTTAACTCTTAGTATATGTTGTGTCAGAAATTCCTAGTGACGTGACACTAGACTGAATGAGATTTCAAGTTCAATCCAATTTTGCAACCGAGTTAATATCACAAAAGACCTATTAACAGATTGAAGGAAAGTCTCTTTATGCTTGACTTATACTTGATCTGGTTTTGTCAATCAATCTTTCAGAAACATCATTAGAAATGATAGATTTTCGATAAATCTTGCCTAATGTCTTAGTTTTGACTTATATCTATTGACTAACTTTGTCAAACAGAAATATCAGCAAGTTTCTTATTATTAAGAAATGTTTAGTGGTTTCACATGTGCTGGATTTGATTGCGGAATGCCATGTAGTGCAATTAGAGTTCTAGAACTGAATATTTAAAAGCATCATAAGTTCTGTTATGAAACCTGACTCTATGTTAACTTTTAAACCTTGACACCTCAAGCAAAGAGAAAATCTAAAATTCTACAGTTGCATATCACATGTGTGTATATATATATATATATATAAAGTTCAGATTTTATTTTAAATGTACCGGGTATATGATACATAATTGTTTGATTCAATTTTTCTTGCAATAATAAAAGAACAGTATGACAGAGTTTTGACACTATTCCACAGAAAAGAATATATATTAATTATTCAGAGAATCAATAATAGTGTACCAAGTGAACTAATATCTAATTTTCTTTGTTGATTAAAGTCTATTGTTAATGGTTCTATTACCTCATATTTTATAATTTTCATATTTCAATAGATGAAATCATGGCTACCCTTTGTTATAAACAATTTTCTCTTATTAAAATAATATATGAAAATCAGTTTGAAGTACAAGGTTAAGGCACTGGCTTCCCAAGGTAAAAAAAAAGAGTCTAAATAAATTCATTGAAAGCGTGCAATGGACAGGGGTCTGAGCCTAAAGACAATAAATGGCCGTCATGGTTAACTATCTGAAAACAATGCTCTGTAAATTTGAAGTGAAGCTTAGACAGCAGATTGACTAGGCCTATTTAAACTAAAATTGTTTATCAACATTTCAAGTCTATGACCATAACAATAGATTGTGAAGTGTCATGCATACTTTTAATTTAAAATTCATTTTCAAACAACCTTTAGAAAATTGGCATTCACTAAACTCTTACTTTTCTGAAAAATATTGTGATTTAACATAGTTAACTGTTACACACCCATTTTATATACGGTATATAAACTAACAATCTGAGTTACTGTACAACTATATAAACTCTATGGTAAAACATACATTATACTACAGGCAAAATAAAACTTTTATAAATCTTTGCCAATTCCCATCTGTTTTTATCACAAATTGGTGCCAAACTTTCACTGCTTTGTAGTCAATAAATATAATGAATTACTGATAGTAAAGCCTGCAGCCTCAAGTCAAGAATTAAGTCAAATGAAACTAACAATCTTCAGTCATGACAAATTTTAGGTGTGGCCTTCATTAATTTTCATCATTTTACTTTGTACAGCTGCTGATGATTTTTTTTTTTATAATTAGCTATGGCATATTTGGACATTCTGAAAGGGGTGCCAAGTTGAAAATCCCAGTATCAGAGTGTCATCAGCATTTTCAGTAGTTTGAGCTCATAACAACCACCACAGAAATTATCACAATGGAGCTAGTTCTGTCAGTCATTGAATTCATCTCCAACTTGCTCTGGGGAAAAACAGAAAATTCTGCCATTGACGTATATGAAAGAGTTACAAAATGCATTTAGTAATAATCATCACATTCATTTATTAGTGCATGAACATTTGTAAAAATATTTAAGAAACTTTGAAAAATAAAATGTGTGAAGATAAAAGCAAATTGCCTTTTCACCCTTCTGAATATTAAAGACTACCATAACCTTTTTAATAAAAGGTTAAAATGTCAATAGGAAACTACTTATAACATTCTAGTCTAAGATAATATAGGCTAACATGTGGTAGGCCTATCATCATAATGTAAATATTCATGGATGGTGTTTCAAACTACAAAAAAATGTCATATAAAAAGCTTTAAAACCTTTCTCTAAAAGACAATTTGAAAATTGTCAAAAAATACCCTTAAGAATTCACATGTAAAGTTTGAAGTTGCATTAAATAATTTTCCATGAGTGTTAATCCCAAGATGTAATATCATAAGCTTTAGTTTAAGTAGACTTAAAGTATTTGTTTTATAAATAGTTATATTTAGCTTATAAAGCATTTCAGACAAGAGAAAAATGTTTTTCTTGCCTTAGAAAATCAAAAGAATAGCCTTATCAGATTTACATGCTTTAACTTTAAGCTTACATGAACTAGATTATAAGTGGATTTTGTTGACATTTTTTTAGATAAGCATATTCATGAGTAGATAATTCACATTCTTGTCTCATCCTTTATCTACATTTTAAAAGGATATGCCTACTAAACTACATAAACTTATACAAATGCAGTTAGAGCTAAACTGTTTGAACTAAAGAATCCAAATTATCATGACTTAACACCTCTTCTTGTAAATATCTTTTACCTTATTTCATGCAATTCATGTTGCTAATTTATCTGAATCAGCATCTCCCCATTATACCAATGGTAATAATATAGAGTTTGATAATGATGACAAGTCATGCATGGAATTTCAAAATGAAATGTTCACCAGTGACATAAGCTCCATATATGATAAAAATATCTGTCCATGGGATGTCAAACTAAGGATGTTCAACTACCTTTCAAAAACCTGTAGGGCCTAGGCCTACCTTCAGTCTCCTGATTTTGTTCTTAAACTTATATTGTTTTGTCCCAACAGTAGCCTCACTTCCTTCAGATCAGATGTCATTGACATTAAGACAAGTGAATAAGTGATAGTGAGAAATAATGGAAGAACTGGGATTGAGAAAGAAGAACTTTGGTTTATTGTCTGTGTCACTGTCGGTCTATCCATCTATGATCTATGTATCTATGATCTATGTATCTATGATCTACAAGTTTCCTATGACTTACGACTGCTGTCAGTGTCAGTGTCAATGCGTAGACTATAAGTCGTTACTTACTTCAATACTTGGGTTGGGTGAAATAAATGAATAGTTTACCTGAATTGCACTCTCTCTCAAGGCAGTAGCAACATTGTGTCTTATTTTTGCTGCTTCTCCTTTCTCTTGTCTGTTCTTTGCGAATTTTCTTTGATTGGACATTCTTATAGATCACAATTATTTGACAGATTCATGTTAACTAAACAACGACGGAAGTAGTTTGATCGTCGCCATTTTTCTCTCAGTGACCAAGGTCTAAGGGGAAGAACTCTAATTAAGATGCTCATTGATAAATACCACGTTTAATGTGTCAAATCTTTGTTTTCAAAACATGCACTTGAATTTAAGTACTATCCCGATTCATTCTGCAGAAAAAGCAATTTTAATTCGCAGATTGATGTTTCACCTCAAATTAAGCAATAGTTTAGACTTCCATCATGAAATTCATGTTTTCGGTGGTTGAAGGATTCAACATTAGGCTACATGTCTGTGCAAAATAATATGATAAAATATAATGATGAAAGCAGGACAGACATTGCATTCACCCTTGATCAAGGAAATGTTGAGAAATATATGCCCCTTATAATTAAAGAAGCTATATTATAATGGGCCTATTCCGACAAATCTGGCCTATCCGTTCGTCGGATGTGATATAGGCAAGTTCAAAGGGTCCGACACAAACTGTCCATTATTGATAGCTGAGAATTTTCACCATAACAAAAGTTAAGGTGTGAAAATTTTAGGTATCTCTATAAAATGCTGACCAATTAATAAGTTCATCAAAAATTATAAGATTACTGGTGTCGTGTGGGGCCTAGATTGTTTGGTCATTTAAGATGGAAAAAGTTATGTAAAATTTGGCTTTCTTTTTCTTCAATTTGGTCTTCCAAACTGTATCAACAGGTCCAAGCCATCAAGAAACTCATCCGACATTGTACGACATGCGACCAAAAATTATTATCTCACCGCACGATTAGGTAATGTAAATCAAGGCTATTGTTTATACATTTGGTCACAATTTGGCTACTGTTGGCAATTATTTATGCACCTCCTTTAGTTGTTAAGTCGAAATCACACTTGTTGTTTTAACAATGTTCTTGGGACGGAAAATAAAAGTGTCCTGCTGATGAAAAACATCACATTCCAAAAATTTTCCTCAGATTTGCTTTTGGAATTCATTCTGATCTAAGAGACTCCTTTTGAGATTTATAGGGACATATTGTATTACCGTATGTCTTGTTTGCTACAATTTGACCTGATATGGACTTATTTAGATCCCAGGTGTGTCTTGTAGGCCTTCATTTATTAAATTATAGGCCTAGGCCTACTCCAGAATATCTCATCAATGAAATAGGCCTACTTTTATCAAATAATTGTAAAATCTAGAATTAGTCCTAAACATTCGGTATCTATCTGCCTCTATAGTTGATTAATGTTTGTGACAGCAAAGTTCAATCAACCATAGATAATTAACAATACGTCTTATATGCCTTATCAGTTTGTCCATTTTGAACAGCCACTTGCCAAATGGTAAAACAAATTAGGCATACACAGGGGCTTGAAAAATATGGACCGGCGAATAATCATTCCATCGGGCCCTTGTTCACTGTGACTGCTCCCCGCACTTTTTTTCAAAATTGAAATCACATGACCGACTTCAACAAAAAAAGTTTCATCAATATTAATGATTTATAGAAATTTTTACTTTTTGGAATACTTTTCAGGAATATTGTAAAGCCAATTCAATCGGTCGAACCCATGGTGGTAATCCACAGACTCTGTACTCAAACTGTTAATTTTCGCCATGAAATGTAATAAGACTATTTGTCATGTGAAGACAGGCGAAGTAGATTATTTTCAAATGAAGATGAATCAAATGTTTTATTTGTAAAGGGTAATGTAGCCTATGTTCCATTGTTGATGAGTGATGTGCATAATTGATAATACTGTACTGAATTCTAATTAATATACATTAGTATAATTATCATCAGATTATATTCGAGACCCTATGTTGCCGACCTTTTCTATTGTTATTTTAACATGTGCGCCAGATGTAAATATAACCTTTGACCTGAAGTATAGCTGTTCCTAGCGATTTGATTGGCTGAAATCTTGCCTCATTCCCACGTGTATTCATGAAGCCGCCTGCAACAAAGCAAGTGTTGATGTGAAACCGGTGACAAAAGTAAAGTATACCACCGGATTTTGGCGTCAAACTTGAACCGAAATGTCCGGATTCAAATTAGGAATTGTTCGGCTTGGAAGGGCTGCGGGAAAAGTGAGTATTTGTTGTAGAAACCTACGATAATTTAATCTGATACAGATAGATTATCGATCGCCTTGGTGGTTGTTTTATCAACAAGCAGATGACATGACGATGGAGACTGCTGTTAAAATAACAGAGACAATGACAGGACATAAACAAACCATCTGTTCCTAACATCTACATTCGTTTGTAAACCTGATTCCCTCTCTTATGCAACCCACATATTGTCTGAGACCCTTGTAACCTTGTAAGATGTATTAATAATGTGTTGATATGTCAAGAGTAGGCTAGGTTACAAAAAAAAAATACGAGTAGGGCCTACCGGTAGTAAGATTTGGCTAGACTAGATGATAAGTATTTGATTTGCTTGGTCAACCCATTATAGACCTATATTAGGTTATCTGAATCAATTTTTAGGAATTAATTGTGATCTTAGGTTCTTTGCTTCAGTGTGTTGAGAGAGGATGATGTCAATATTTCCAGGCCAATTAAGTTAACATTCTTGCAATTCATGCATAATTTTGATGATATGGTAACTATGAAAGAGAAAGATAGGTTGAGAGTAAATTTTTATGATTATGTTAACAACCTCATTTGCGGTTTATATTTCCAATCATTAATGCCAAGGTAATCAATGAAACCAATGATTTAAGGGAAGAATGTGCCATAATTTCTTGTTACCAATCATATGTTGGATTGGGATGTTTTGAATTATTGGATTTGGGATATTTGTGATACATGTATGTGACCCCTATGTAAACTAATGCTCAAAAGAAAGTACCCACTAGGTTTGACCAATTGTTAGGAGAAAACAAAAGCAGATAGAAATGAACAACTATGTAATTCCAATAGAATATTCATTTCTACAACAAATTTACACAAATTTGAGTAACAGACAGCCGTGTTTACTGTTCGACCGGCACACAAAGACAAGGGGGGTCGGGTTTACTTTTACAGAAATTCAGAAGGCAAATTGTCTTTAAAAAATAATCAATATTTATTTATCAATTAATCAATTAATAGCAAGTGTGACTCCCATTAGCAGCAATGCAGGCGACAACACGTCGACGCATTGATGATGTAAGACGTTGGATGACGTTAGGCGTTATTCTTTGCCATTCTTCTACGAGACATTGTTCCAGCTGTTGAGCAGTGACAGGTTGCGTCGGTCGATTTCGGATTTGCCAATCGAGGTAATCCCATAGGTGTTCAATCGGATTCATGTCGGGAGAACAAGCTGGCCACGGTAAAACAACGACGTTGGCGTTTTGCTGTATGTGGCCTTGCATTATCGTGTTGAAAGACAATGCCACGGGGTTGTTGCCCGATAAATGGTAGAACAACTGGTCGCAAAATCTCGTCTCTAGACCTTTGAGCATTAAGGTTGCCACGAATAGTCACAAGTGGTGTTTTCCTATCATCGCAGATCCCTCCCCACACCATCACACTACCGCCTCCAAACGCTCTGACTTCCTGAACACAATTTGGTCTTAAACGCTCACCTATACGTCTGTAAACACGAGCACGACCATCATTTTTGTAAAGACAAAAACTACTCTCGTCCGTGAACATCACACGTTGCCAATCACGAATCTGCCATCGCCGAACTCTCCTGGACCATGTCAATCGACGACGTCGGTGTTGAAGTGTCATGTGCACTCCTCGGTAGGGGCGACGTGCTCGGATACCACGTTCCCTCAGTCGCCGGTACACTGTGTGTCGACTGATACGATGCCCCAATGCCGCCGATGCCGTTGCTGTTGCAGTAACGAAACGATTCCTTGGATGAATTGTCCTGATGTGGCTGTCCTCACCTGGCGTTGTGACACGTGGTCGACCACTCCTAGGCCTGTCTGATGTACTGCCTGTTTGCCTCAAACGCTGCATCAATTTTGTTACAGTTTTTCTGGAGCAGCCGAAGGTTCTTGCGATCAAGGTGATGTTTGCTCCATGTTGCGCCATTCCCACAGCTCTTTCTCGTTCAATCCGGCTCAAACGTGGCATACTTTTTGTGTTTTTCTTTATCCTCTGTTGCTAACTTGTCCAGTAAACCGATTTATACCCTCATCATGCACGTGCATTTCGTGCAACATCAGAATTTGTCGCTTTTTATTTTTAGCGTCGTTTGCGTAATTCGTTCACTTTTTTCATCATTTTTTCATGTGAAATTTTGTGTTGACCGTGTGTGAGATGTATTACAGTGGTTTAATCACTTTATTTTAATTTTTGTTAATCGTACTGTAAATTATATAGGTGGGTACTTTCTTTTGAGCATTAGTTTATGTGATACAAACTCCTCACTTCTGTATGTTGTTCAAGTCTTGTATCAGATATTCATTGAATAGTAGGAATTGTTAATATTAATCAGTATATTCACTTCACTCTAACATTTAAAGCAGGATTGAAGTGGGAGTATTAATTTTACCCTGAAATTGTAGTAGAACCATATGTTTTGCTGTTGTTAGGTTGAATACAGACAATAGGCTAACCATGATAATGTTTTACAGAATAAATAAATACACCTATATTATGTCCAGGCTGGGTGTGGACTACAATATTATGGAAACCATGTGAGATTGGACTGAGATGAGAGCTTTCATATTGTGTAAAAAACTGTTTGTATTGGTATAAGTTCAGGTCGAAAACTAATAGCTATCAGCTTATTCTACATACATTATTTTTATGTGTTTACCTCCCAAAACCATTGTTAATTTGATATGCTCTGTACTCCAAAATTGATGTTCCTAAGACAATTTATGCAAGAAGAATGTTTCATTTAGATATTACCGGTGTTTTTTATTTCTTTTATCTTATTGCACATATATTAATTGTCCTCAGTTTTTCAAATATACTATTGGATGTGAGTTTGAGCTATTCAGCTAGAATATAATGGTAATGGTAATTCTTGTCTAATTAACTAGTTTAGTATAAATAGGTTATTATATTTTTTGAAAAGTGTTTAAAATCGATGGCTTTACTCTTTAGAATAATTAGCACTCTCATAGTAATTGGTGAGTCAGACTAAGTAGGAGGTTTCAGGTTATAAAAAATTCTCATATATCTTGACATTTGTAATAAGTATGGTGGATATTAGTTCAGTCCTATTACATATGTAGATTGTATAAAATAATTGACATTTCTCTACTGATTTCTATCTGTCAGTACATATTGATCTCATCACCAGCTATCTCACCTATATTCCAGTATCTTATTATTTATCAAATTTTTGTGTAAAGAAAGTGTTCTGCTTTTGTAAATTGGATCTTTTACTTTTGTGTTCTTTTGAATTCTGGTTAATGTCAATGCATCATAAATGTTATTGTAAATGGAAACAGCTGACCGATACACACAAAAGATGTTTATGAGTAGGGTTACTTAGGAAATTAGTAAATAGTTAAAAACATTCATTATTTCAATTTCAAGTAGTACTGTACAGTACTACAGATGTCTTTTTTTATAGTTGTTTCAGCAGTTAATGTATACCATACTTCATTGTCAATGCCAGGCCTTTTCTGCATGTAAACTTGTGTCTTAGATATTTTTATTTTATATTTTCAGACAAAATATGCTCTCCTTGATGAACGAGATATTTCTTTGGTTGATAATTATGCATTTGAGGTAAGAAATATGAAAAAATGATGATTAAATGCAGAATGGCATAATGTGACTTTTAAAGGAATTGTAAGGAGGTTTTTCTATAAATTTTTATGTGAATCAGTTTCATCATCGTCAGCAAACACTTTGTTTTAATGGAATTTCAGGAACCACAGTGTAGACATCTTTTGGAAAAATACACAAAATGTTTTTTTAAAAAAACCTCTTTACAATCCCTTTAGAAGATTGAATTTTGTGAGACTGGTGAATATGACCTACACAACATCCTATCTACTTGGGACCGTACTTGTCCTTGTTACAAATTGTTTGACTTGTGGGATACTTAGTTTAATTGTTATAGTTAAATAGTTGTATAAGGAAAACAAGGTTTACTGAACTGAAGAATGTTTACTCTAAGATAACTATAATCACTTGTAACTATTTGATGTTTAAGGCCAAAGTAGAAGTTAATAAAGATGGAGATGGTGCCAAGATATTTGCTTTTGCATACGATGTCACCAAAGGTAGATCAACAGGACAATATTTACATGAATTATTGTGGTAGGTTAATCTCTTGTTTGTTGACTATTCAAACCACCAATCCTGAGACTTGTTCTATATTTTACTACCAGCATGTTTATAGCTCAGTAGCAAGTTGAATTGTTGTCTGCTACTAGGTGAAAGAAAGAACAATTCTGATGCCTGTGAAAGGGCTTTCACGAATCAGCCTGGTGTCAGCTTTCATCCACTAATAAGTTTACCCACATGTACAAGAAAAGTAGAAAGTATCTGATATGCTAGTATGTTAGGCAATGTAACAATGAAACAGTGTTAACTTTACAGAAGAAGTTTAATATGAATTCCTTTCAGCTGAGTTAAAAGCTTATTTCTTTTTTCTTTTGAATTCTTGATTATTATTTTATTTAAACATTGATTATTTTCAGGGAGAAACACAGCGGTGGTATAGCTCAAGGTTGGAAGGTTATACATCGTAATGGTGTGACAGTTGATAACAGAATGGAAAATTTAGTGTTACTAAATGATAAATGTACTATACCGTCCAGTGAAGAAACACCTAATAAAAATAGAGAACAGAGTTTATATTGGATAGCTGTTCAACAACTACAAGCTGATCCTCTAGAGGAAGTTCATGTTGGCCTCAATCCTTTAACAGTATGTATCAAATTACATTTTGCTGCCTGCTTTCCATTTTGAGCTATTAAGACACTGCTGCCTAAACAGTGTTAAGTGTCTGAAATCATGAAGATTAACATAAATCACTAAAACTTTCATGCTAGAACCAAACTTGATTTGAATATTTGGCCTTCATTAATGTTCAGAAATCATCACACTAGTCCAGTTATATCTTAAATCAACTTTGGGTTGTGATGTCATGTGACTCATATGATATTATAATGGGTTCAAAATTTTAATATACAGTCGAGTAACCTAATTTCGTGGAAACCTATTATTCGTGGATTTCCGGAAAGGATTAATAATTTACATGAGCGACCTTGCGCGACCTCCGCATTAGCTTGTTTTGATAAACATGGGTTTTCTGTACAATATCAGCTAGTAGAATGAATCCAGTAGTTTCAAGCAAGGTAGCTTGTATTAATGTATACTTTGACAAATACTAAATGGCGGATTTCACTTATTACCAAATGTCACCATTTTTTATCGGCCGAATTTCCTTATAATCCCAAGAGGTAATTGGAATTCCAAGTGTCGTCTGCTAGAATATAATCCAACAAATGAAGTCACATGATCAACTAGCGGACACAAAGTGGACCATATTCTTATGTTGTTTCAGTGACTTTTAGCAATAAATCATGCTACATATCTTATTTTGTCAGTCACTATTTTTTTTTAAAATCGTGGTTCTTTGAAGGAATTGTCACTAGTTATAATGAATTAATATTAAAGATAAATACTAAGAGAGGTTAATTATACCACCCGGTATCCATACAACGTGTTTTTCTCGACTTATTTATAGATCAAACATTGTACACGAAAATAGGTGACGCATTCTGCCGCCGTTGCCGAGTTGGTTGCTTATGAAATATGGGTCAAAGTGAAGGATTCATAAAGAAAATCGAAATAAACCAATTTTAATTATTTGGTAGAATATCTGAGGAAACCTCTAAGACATAAAATTTTTTTTTTCGTTTTTTTAACTTTGACGAAATTCGGTGTTGAATCCTTATATCCACGAAAATAGGTTACACCACTGTATAATAAAGCATTTATAATTTTCCGGTTTTGCCTGATTACAATTTGTGAGTTATGTCCCATTTTATGTATAATTTGACAATTTTATTATGTTTAATTTTAGCATTCAATAGATCCTATTTATAACAGATATTATAATTGTAATGGTGAAATTTTGATAACTGAAGGTAATATTATTTTATTATATGAACTGAAAATATTTCTGATTATTCTACTTGCTCTTGTTTTGAATCATTAATCTGATATGGTGTATGCAGGGAGTTAAAATTCTTAATTAAAGACAGATTTCATATTTTATTCTTATTTCTTAAATAAATCATAATCATAATCATAATAGATGCACAACTTATTTCTTACTCGATTTATTTGATAGTTGTGTCACCAATTCATAGTGATTAGGTGTCTAATAGACAAGATTTATGAAACTGATATTAAATTTATATGTAAACTGTATTTACATTTCACAGAAGATGCATGTGTATATTACGAATGTCACTACCCCCCTTGTACCAATATAGAAAAAGATATACGAGAATTTAGTATATGTGGTAGATGTCAAGAAGTGAGGTAAGTTGTAAATCAAATTCACATGAGCCATTGAATCTTGTGGATATTTTTAATTAACAAATCCATAGCCGCTAAAAAGAACAATTGATCAAAAACCATTAGAACTTTAATTAAAATTTTCATTAAACTGAAACTTGTGAATTTTGAGGGATATCGCTCTCTAACTTGAAGGTAACAGATTTTGCAAGCAGATTTCCAGCTTGGGTGAGATAGTTGGATAAGTTGGTCACTTCGATCGTACAATAAACCAAGACCCATTTGTGCCTTAGGCTATGCATGTTAAAGGTGTGCAACAGTTTGATATAAAAAAAAGAAGGTTAATGCCTTTGTCCTGGTAAAATTATTCGCATTGCCAGCCTTCATTAGCCAAGTTAGCAGGATGTATGAACTATTAGAATTATTATTAAATATTATAATTGTAGGTATTGTGGTACAGCATGTCAACAGAGAGACTGGCCTGTTCATAAACGATATTGTCGAGAAAGACGACATTTATTATATAGAGAACGATCCCCTGAACGATAATACACCTCTAGTTTTAAATACTGTCTCTGTTGTTTGCTCAGTTTATTGTGATAGTTTTTTTTAACCTGTCTTCTAACTCTTCTAGTCCTAATGACATTTTACCTAATTTATTAACCTTGACCAGTGCTGGAGGATCACCCATTATCATGAAACTCATATGGATGAGTTGTAACTTACTATCAAAGATTGCTTTAAGACCTCTACTAATATTGACCTGTTGACATTTAATGTATTTAGTGCTTTTATTTAATATTGTTACTAACACCAAGACTGTGTACTAAACCTGTGTTTTTTGGAGATATTTTTAACAATTTAATCAATCTAATCATTGTGTGAGACTAACATGTGCCATTCAAGTCATGTTTATGAGAATATAACAGCTGATGGAGAACTAGAAAAACTGTGAAATCCACCTACTTGAATTCAAAATCTCATGTCATTGACTTGTCCTATGATCTCAAGATAAATTTGACCTGAATATTGTTTTTGTGTTAGTGCATTCACAAATAACATGCTTATAGTTAATGTTGTTTCTGTTTCATTGTATTAATCTACGTGTTTCAATTAAAATCTGTTACTGTAAAATTATAACACATGAAGAAGTCTAATTAAAATTAGACACACTTTCATTCCGTTTTTATTGTTAATATAGGGCAGAAATTTGATTGGTGAAAGCAGGGGTCATAAGGTTTTTGCAAAAGATTATTTTGATCAATATTCAAGAGGCCTGTCTTTGAACCCTAACTGAAGTGGCTATATGAAAATAAAAGGTAATAAAAAACGAAATGAAAGTTTGGTTTAATTTATTTAGACTGACACATAAAGCATTATTTAGTTACTTTGTTATAATCAGATTCAATTACTAATGCATATTTTTTAACGATTTTGCTATAACAGGCTCAAATTGTAACTATTGACATTAATATAAAAGAACCTTGTAATCTATTTAATTATCTCCTATTGTGACATAATTTAGTTGTATTCTCTACTTTTAGATGCTCTAATAGAATCAACTGCATGTGCAATGAAATAGTCAGTTATATAATTTGCCTTAAGCTAAGATTCCATATACATGTCATGCGGATCTGTCATCCGTCATACGTTAAAAATCAAAATGGTTGGTCTAAGAGGGTATGATTCCATATATGTGGAAGCGATAACCGTCAAATAGTCTCTGTCGTGCGTCAAAAAAATCGCCGGGTATAGCGATTTTTGACGCATCCATACGCCTTCCTGCATGGAGATTTTCCAAATGTGACGTATTTTGTGGGGATTTTTTTATGCACCAAAGCATCCATCTGTCTAGAAGTCGATGCTTCAAAAGAAAGATAACGCATACGTTTAACACACATATGGAATCATATTTGACACATGACGGATCCGCAAGGGCCATTTATGTTCGCATGACACTTTTATGGAATCTAAGATTTATTTAGTTATTGTATAATTTTTAATTGGTTTGTTTTTTTGTTTTATCTTTTGAAATCCATGACTTTACACAAAATTAATTACTTTTAACTATTTGCACCAAGTGTCACGATTTTTATTTGAAGAAGCGCTATATGTAGCAGTAAGTCTTCATGAACAGAAAAGGGACAGTAGATGCAAAGCAACATAAATTTGGAATTATCAAGCCCTTATAAAAAGATGCCAATTTTTATTCTAAGTCAGTATTTTCTACATGTATATTACTAGGTTTTAATGTAGTCAAGTATAACTACTAAAGCATTTATTTATTTGTTACTAACCTACTAACATTTAGTGTATGATGTTAATTTGAATGTCCTGAACATTTAATCCAATTATCTATCACATTATTCAACTAACCACTGTTATTGTCATTGTCTTGCTTTGTGAATTCATTTTTGTTGATCATTTAAACTTATTTGAAACCTATAATTGCAAATTAATGTTAATAATTTTTAAGTAGTAGGTGTTTGGATTTGTTAATTTATTTCAGTTAGTGCTTTGATTATAGATAACATTAAGCTAGTCTATGATATTATCATACATTCCAAGTTCTTTGTGAATATCTATTCAGTTCACTCGCTTATACATTGCATAGAAATGACCCATTTGAAAGGAAAATCTGGTGGTGCATTTGTGTACAATTAAAGAAAAGCTTTGGGATTACTCAAGGTCAATTTGAGAAAGGTTAAAGGAACAGCTTTAAGTTTTGAATCTATTTCATATTATTACTAGTCAACATTCCATTAGATGCAACTGTCAGGAATATAATAGCATGCCATTCAAATATTCCAATCATTGTTAGGCCAAAGAGTATATACACCATGTCATTATTTTCTTATGTTGATGTAATTTGTCTGTTAAAAGTGACTTATTTTAATATTAGTTCATTATGTTAATGCATGAATAAACATGTATAATAATTCATTCATATTCCCCATTACTATTGAAAAGCATAGCTAATTAGATTGAATGCAATATATTAATTAGAAAGATTATAAATGCAATCTATAATTTAAGTTTAACCGTTTTGCAATATTGTGAAAAGAAAAAGTGTTGGTTGTTTTATGAAAGGGATGATAGTCTTAGAGCCTATAATGTTTACATTCCAAAATATTGAATTGTTGTCCAGGAGGTTCTCTGCTGTACCAGAGATTCATATTGTTGTCGTTTATGTTATTTGTTACTATGACAGATTTTTTATATTAATTGGAACATTAAGTAAATTCTATTTTAAATTTAAAGATCTGAGCTACTAGGAAAAATTAGTGTAAAAATTATATTTGTGCACATTCTGGTACAATTCAAACACATTCATAAGGGTCTCTATTTTGAGGAAGGGAAAAAAGCAATGAGCACTTAAATCCCTATTTCAAAAAAAAAAAAAAAACGAAAAAGTTTGTTTATCTTATTTCCAAAGTAATGACCAAATTAAACAAATAATGTCAGATTTTATTCTTCATTGAATTGAAATAGATTGTTGTTATGCTTAAAACTGCCTGGATGTGCACTAATACATTTGCTGAATGGAATATTTAGCAAATTAGGATTCCTGTTTTTTTTTTATCCCATATTTAAATTAATAATAAACAGTTAAACGAAAAGATCCTATTAGTAAGTGAAACCCTTAATCTTATTAAGTTAGATCCTGTTTCATCATCTTTTATATGTATCATCACTGTTATTTATTAGATTTTATTTATTTCAAAACATCCCTTTTATTTAATGAATGAAAATGTTGTTTTTTTTACATGAGATGAGAGAGTTAAAACTATGGTACCTAATCCTCTAGCAGGAGTCAATTCAGCTGGTTACTGTATGGATAGAAACTAAATAGAAAAGCAGATGAACCAGCTTATCCAAATATTCTCTGATATGCCCATTTATGCTTTGATAGTATTGACTTCAATCTGAATCTAATGCAAGCCTAGTAATTACAAACTGATAAGATCCTTTGCAGAAGTCAGTGAAAGTGGACATAAATCTTTTGTATTGTAAGAACTAGATCCTTTCTATTTGTAATGCTATTGGGTATACTCAAAATATATTTCACTGAATATATTGTGCACCCCTTCTGTATGGGCTTCTTATGGTGTCAAATCTGCGTCTTATAATACCCAAATATACGGTACATTAAATGACATGATTTGCACTATCGATTTGTGCCTCAAACACTGCATAACATCATCACAAAGGCAACAGACTGAATCTGGTATATATTTTAATAAAGAAAATTAGAGTAGCAAATTGTAAACACCGTGATGAATTCAAAATTTAATATTCAATGTAGGTACATTTTAACCAGCAGTTTGGTTAGATTTCACTTTCAATACGTACAAGATGGTGAACAACTGAAAAAGATAATTCAGAAAACATGTTCCAATATGATAAGGTAACAGAAGAAGTTGGCATGTTTCTTGCTGCTATTATAAAATGAGTTACGAAGTTAGAGGATACGCCTGTGCATTAATCTTGATCTTTGAAAGATAGCTTCAATGACATGAAATGATAATTTATCCAAAATAATGCGTAGAAGACCACAAGATACCACAATATACAAACCTCTGTGAAGTAATCTTCGAATTCAAGTTTTGATACTTTTCCATCTTCTGCAAGAGTAATAAGAAAACGGCTCAACGTGAGGAAGAGGGTGACAAGAGTAGGTTGGGTAAATGTTGCAAGAAATACAAATTCGAGATTGACCAGCATAACTTTGTTTTTCACAACTGATGCCCATAAATGCATTCTTGATTAAGCGAACATGGAAAGTAAAGACGGCATAACTTACTGTTCTGGTCGATTTTGTGGAAATAAAGAGGTAAATCTGAATCTGTAACATATCCACTCTTGTCCATGTCTAATTCCAAAAATAGACCTTTAGCTACAATGGTCACATTAGGTTCTCTGGCAGCAAATCCGGCAATGAATTCAGCTTCGGATACTTTACTATCCTCTGAAACAGTTAAAAAAAATATTTATTGGCACTTTGATTGGAATGCATGTTTCGGCAACAGTATAGTATAGATTTAAAGTTTGTATAAGGATTGACCGATAAAGTGGGGGATGTAATAGTTAAAATTATGATTTGCAATCCATTTGTAATCTGGAATCTAATCAAGTAGGGAATAGGTGACCTGTCCAAGCCACTTTCTTTTGTGAAGAATTTGATATGTTAAAAAGACCAACAAAACCTAGCTGTTTCTGAACTAAATGATTCCTTTTTAAAATGAAGCTAATGTTCTTACTGTCGGTATCATATTCTACGAAGAGATGTTTCATATCATCTTGATCGAATTCATTATTATGATTGGAATCGGCATGATCGAAAAGACCTGCTGAACTTTTTCTTACGATGTCCTTAAACTTCTTCACTACATCGACTGTTGATCTGAAATATTTATTTATCTGTTATTAAAAAGACTGCATGACAATGATGTTTTTTAAGTAGACCCTCAAGAAATCTGTGAGATGGTCACTGTCAAAATATCTTTGACCCCTATAGGAACCTGGGGAAAGCATGTAGTTACATAGAGAATAACTTCAAATTCTAAAAGATTACTAAGAAAATAGTCACTCACGGTGTTGTTTGGCTGTAAGCTATGGCCAGAATACTAAGGAAGATCAAAGCTCGCATAATGGATTCTACAAAATAATTCAAGATCATGAAATACAAAAGAGATTAAATCGCAGGAGCGAGGACGACTATCAAGGAATCTCTCGTGCCCATATAAAGGTATTTTTATAGTCAGATAATGATTATGACCGTAATGGCGTAATACTTTTTGAAAAGACGGAAAATAAGAAAACAAAAAATAGGTGCTCACCGTCTGTCTGGATCAAATGGTATACTACTTGTGAGAATACAGCTGATATTTTGTGTCATTTTATAGGTATGAAATAGATAAGATAATAAAACATAACGTAGGTTAGGAACTGATAAGGAACCTGTACGGTGTCTTTAAGAACGTGTCATCTTCAAAGTTTTTATACTCGCAAATCGATACAAAATCTAAGTTGTTATCTTTAGTAATGCACCTTAAGACCTTGTGTAATTTCAAAATTTGAAAATGTCTGGAGACAGATGATGAGAATCAATTATTTCCAGTTCTTTAGTACCATCAACATAATCATTCCCTAAATAGTACTTCACAACCATCAACATAATCATCTCCTAGTTCTTCACAACCACCAACATAATCATCTCCCAGTTCTTTGCTACTACCAATATAATCATCTTCCTAGTTCTTTACTACTCCCAATAAAATCATCTTCCTAGTTCTTTATTACTACCAATATAATCATCTCCTAGTTCTTTACTACTACCAATATAATCATCTCCTAGTTCTCTACTGCCACCAACATAATCATCTTCCTAGTACTTTACTACTACCAATATAATCATCTACTAGTTCTTTACTACTACCAATATAATCATCTACTAGTACTTTACTACTACCAATATAATCATCTCCTAGTTCTTTACTGCCACCAACATAATCATATCCTAGTTCTTTACTGCCACCAACATAATCATCTCCTAGTTCTTTATTACTACCAATATAATTATTTCCTAGTTCTTTACGACCACTACCATAAACATCTATTTCTTTACTACTACCAATATAATTATCTCCTAGTTCTTTACTACTACCAATATAATCATCTTCTTAGTACTTTACTACTACTAACATAACCAACTCATAGTTCTTTACTACTACCAATATAATCATCTTCTTAGTACTTTACTACTACCAATAAAATCTCTTCCTACTAGTTCTCTACTACCACTAACATAATTATCTACTAGTTCTCTACTACCACCAATATAATCATCTTCTTAGTACTTTACTACTACCAATAAAATCATCTCCTACTAGTTCTCTACTACCACCAACATAATTATCTCCTAGTTCTTTATTATTACCAATATAATCATCTTCTTAGTACTTTACTACTACCAATATAATCATCTTCTTAGTACTTTACTACTACCAATGAAATCATCTTCCTAGTACTTTACTACTACCAATATAATCATCTTCATAGTTCTTTACTACCACCATCATAACCATCTCCTAGTTCTTTACTACTACCAAAATAATCAACAACATAATTATCTCACAGTTATTTACTACTATCAATAAAATCATCTTCCTAGTACTTTACTACTACCAATATAATCATCTTCACAGTTTTTTACTACCACCAACATAACCAACTCCTAGTTCTTTACTACCACCAATATAATTATCTGCCAGTTCTTTACCACTACCAATATAATCATCTCCTAGTTCTTTACGACCACTACCATAAACATGTCCTAGTACTTTACTACCACCAAAATAATCATCTTCTTAGTACTTCACTACTACCAACATAACCAACTCTTCGTTCTTTACTACCACCGATATAACCATCTTCTTAGTACTTTACTACTACGAATACAATCATCTCCTAATAGTTCTTTACTACCACCAACATAATTATCTCCTAGTTCTTTACTACTACCAATATAATCATCGCCTAGTTCTCTACTGCCACCAACATAATCATCTCCTAGTTCTTTACTACTACCAATATAATCATCTCCTAGTTCTCTACTGCCACCAACATAATCATCTACTAGTTCTTTACTACTACCAATATAATCATCTCCTAGTTCTTTACAACTACCAATATAATCATCTACTAGTACTTTACTTCTACCAATATAATCATCTCCTAGTTCTTTACTACCACCAACATAATTATCTCCTAGTTCTCTACTGCCACCAACATAATCATCTCTTAGTTCTTTACTACTACCAATATAATCATCTACTAGTACTTTGCTACTACCAATATAATTATCTCCTAGTTCTCTACTGCCACCAACATAATCATCTACTAGTTCTTTACTGCTACCAATATAATCATCTCCTAGTTCTTTACTACTACCAATATAATCATCCACTAGTACTTTACTACTACCAATATAATTATCTCCTAGTTCTTTATTACTACCAATAAAATCATCTCCTAGTTCTTTACTACTACCAATATAATCATCTACTAGTTCTTTACTACTACCAATATAATCATCTACTAGTTCTTTACTACTACCAATATAATCATCTCCTAGTTCTTTACGACCACTACCATAAACATCTCCGTTCTTTACTACCACCAACATAATTATCTCCTAGTTCTTTACTACTACCAATATAATCATCTCCTAGTTCTTTACTACTACCAATATATTAATCTTCCTAGTTCTTTACTACTACCAATATAATCATCTCCTAGTTCTTTATTACTACCAATATGATTATCTCCTAGTTCTCTACTACTACCAATATAATCATCTCCTAGTTCTTTACTACCACCAACATAAGCATCTCCCAGTTCTTTACTACAACCAACATAATCATCTTCCAGTTCTTTACTAAAACCAACATAATACCACTGCATCTCCCAGTTCTTCCTACAACCAGCATATTCATTTCCCGGTTCTTTACTACAACCAACATAATCTTCCCCTAGTTTTTTTTCATTTCATCTCCTTGTTCTAAACATGCTAGTATTCATCTTCTTGTTCTTTACTACAACCAGAGTTATTATCTTGGGCTGAGCAATATACCCGTATCACGTTAAATACCGGTAAAAAATGTTAAATCGTTAATAATATCATCTGCTTAAAAATATCGCCACATCGTGATATTGTGCGGTAGCTATCATGATATATCGTCATTATTTTTCTCCAGTTAAGATCATCTAACAATTTCAACAATAAGTAGAGGCAGGCCTAATTTTATATTTGAAACAGATGTTTAGAGATATTTAATGTGTTTTTAAGATAGAAAATACATTTTTTTTTCTTCAAAAACCAGCAAAAACCATAAATAAGAAATATCGCTATAATTATACCCATATCATGATATTAATGCTTAATATCTTTATATCCACTTTACCCAATACCACTAACATAATCATCTCCTTGTTCCTTTACTAACCTACCACCAACATAATTATATAGTCAATGAGTCTTTACTTCGACATAATCATCTTCTAGTTCTTTCTACCATATAATAGCCACCAGCATAAGTCTAGCTAGTTATGTAGCCTACAATAATTATATAAGTCCAGTCTTCATGATCTTAAAAGTTACTCGAAAGCCGAACTGTCTTGGTGCCCATTAATATGGGTTCTACTGTAAATAATTTTGCTGATTTTAAGGGAGATAATTTATCAAACCGGAAGTATACTGACACCATTGGCCATTGCGAAATTTAACTTTGTTTACAACATCGGAATGAAAAGTTTTCCCATCCTATTGCGTTTTGAATGCTTGTCAAATTGAAACATAAATTGCATAAGATATCTGATAAAAAGACAGTCAAAATGCCGTTCGTTGCAACTTGTGGCCCCAATGAAGTCCTAGTAGTTTCTGGTAGAACATTTTTGTTTTCTTTTTCAGTTCCGTAAACTAAATTTAGTACCGGTACAGGTTTGAGTGCTACACATCAATATCATCAGAATCTGATTAAAATTCAATGTAGGCCTAATTAATACTTATCAATTGTTGCAAAGGTGTAAAAGATCTCTGCCAGAGCTGAGATCTTACTTTAAAATGAAATTTTTTGTTGGACAAATTAAAATGGACATACAGTCGAGTAACCTAATTTCGTGGAAACCTATTATTCGTGGATTTCCGGAAAGGATTAATAATTTACATGAGCGACCTTGCGCGTCCTCCGCATTAGTTTGTTTTGATAAACATGGGTTTTCTCTATAATATCAGCTAGTAGAGTGAATCCAGTAGTTTCAAGCAAGGTAAAATGTATTAATGTATACTTTGACAAATACAAAATGGCGGATTTCACTTATTACCAAACGTCACCATTTTTTATCGGCCGAATTTCATTATAATCCCGAGCGTTAATCGGAATTCCAAGTGTCGTCTGCTAGAATATAATCCAATGAATGAAGTCACGTGATCAATTAGCGGATTCCGTGTCAGCAGAAAATTTCTATGGAACACAAAGTGGACCATATTCTTATGTTGTTTCAGTGACTTTTGGCAATAAATCACGCTACGTATCTTATTTTGTCAGTCACTATTTTTTTTTTTAAATCGTGCTTCTTTGAAGGAATTGTCACTAGTTATAATGAATTGATATTAAAGATAAATACTAAGAGAAGTTAATTATATCACCCGGTATCCATACAACGTGTTTTTCTAGACTTATTTATAGATAAAATATGGTACACGAAAATAGGTGACGCATTCTGCCGCCGTTCCCGAGTTGGTTGCTCATGAAATATGGGTCAAAGTGAAGGATTCATTAAGAAAATCGAAATAACCCAATTTCTATTATTTTGTAGAATATCTGAGGAAACATCTAAGACATAAATTTTTTTTTTCGTTTTTTTAACTTTGACGAAATTCGGTGTTGAATCCTTATATCCACGAAAATAGGTTACACCACTGTATTTGATACACATTTTTTCTTTGTCATTTTAGGGTGTTTCAAATCAAGACCCCAGTTTATTCATGGTGGTAGAGCTTTTATATGCCCAGGATTACAGAAAGTTGAAAGGTATTATTTATGTAATATTAAAATCTGATAATGGTCAGACTACAACTGTCTGACTACTTTGAGCTTTAAATTGAATCTTTTTTTTTTCATTTCATAAATATTCAAAATGAAATGTTCAACTTTATGCCATTTGTCTTAAAATGTTTTCGAGGCCATAAGGATGTAAGGTTCAGTAATTTTACATTTGAAATAAAAACACTTCCCTCCCAGAAAATTCATGTAAAAATTCCCCTCTGTAAAAGCATGTTTACGAATAGAAACTTTTCCAGTGGATGACATTTTCATCAACCCAAAGACAATCAAAAACTCTCAGTAGTATTTTGTAATTGATATTTCAAGTCATTCAATGATCACTGGCAAAATTCAATTCAGAGAGTAGTGTCACTTGACAGATATTATTAAATTCTCTAATACAGGTTGAAATGGCAACTTAATTCTTGTAATTTTCCCAACTATAGCTGAATCACAAACATTTTGTAAGTTTGTGAAATGACCTTTAAATAGTTCATGCAAATTTTTGATTACTTTAATATGGACATAAGTACATTTTTATCATTTTAATTTGTTGTTAATTTTTTTTAAGGATTTCTGTTAATACCATGACCTTAAATCCACATGTTAAAGATAAAAAAACATCAGATTCAATACCAATTGAAGTTGCTGTTGTTATTCAGGTATGATATATTATACAACACTATACCAAGCCTTATGTTTGATAGCCAGATTTTCTTTCATAGAATTATGCTTTTCAGCGCATGGTTTGCGATCACTTAAAATCTAGCAGTACGTTAGTATACTATAAATATTGCAATAGAAGTTACTCTACGACTATTACGCAATTAATTTAAATAATCCTTGTTTAAAGGGACAATTACGCCATTTTTTACCAATCGTACCTTAGTCTCAGAATTAAGAATTTTTTCACTAAGTGTTAACAGCTCACGGTCCAAATTTGAGTCTTCAAATCCATATGTGTCCAGAATTATCAGTGTTTGAAAGTTGAAAAGACAAGTCGCCTTTCCTTAAGATACTGCCATTTATAGAAAAGACATCTATAGAAATAGCAAAGAAATTAAGATATTTTTGAAGGAATAATGCGATGTTTGTATATTTCTAGTACTTCTGAAGACTATTTACTATTTACTTTTTTTTGTTCTAGGCACGTGTTGTCTCCATGAATGAAGAAATATTAAATATGGCTGTTGAAAATTTTCTTTCTAAATCTGAAGATGAAATAAAACGTCAGCTATTAGCCTCCAGTGAAGCTCTACTTATAACAACTATTTCAAATTTTAAAGCAGCGGTAGGTCTTGTTGCCAGTAAATTTTAGTATCAGAACGGTTTTCGTGTTATTGCTTGTTACTTATGAAAAAATTTGTTTTTGATCACAATAGATACTACTGTTTTCATCAATTTGAATGAAATTTGGTTTGAACATTTATAATGGTGAGATCTTAGTCAAGTTTGAATTTCCCAATTTTGTGATCAATGGAATTTGAGTTATTGCCCCTAACTTGGTAAAAACGCATTAATATTTGTTGGCTTGTTAACCCAAAAGAGGCGACAGTTTATGTTCAGAATTTTATTAAGTTTTGTGTGTACAAATTAGATTTTTGGTATGATTTAACACAAATCGGTAACCACCCTTGTTATACTGAAAATGTATCAGGAGAGTGGGCGTATCTTGCTAGGCAACCATTTGTTTATATGTGTATAGGAGACAGTATTAGCATCAATTTGCACCATTTTGAGTCAGATCTTTGGGTTCCTTCAATTCCACTTAAACTAAGCGTTTTGTGACGTCATTATCTCCTAATCTGCTTCTACCATATATGGCCTTTTGCAATTAGAGATGTCATCAAACACTTTCTTTTAGTATAGTTGCAGGATCCACAGAATGATTTCTGATTGAAAATTGGAATGGTGCCATCAGTGTCCCTGATACACATAAAGAAACTTAAAACCTCTTTACAATCCCTTTAAGTTTATCACAATAAATGGTTTCAGAATATGTTGTTAATAAATAACAAGATCCAATATTGGGACTGGATTATTTACACAAACTATTTGATCTCATAATGAAATATATTTAATATTAATAAATAATCACATATGTTTCAATATTGACTTTTCTGATTTTTTACAGGATATAAAAGACGACTTTAAAAAATTCAGTAAAGCTTTATTTGAAGTAATATCTGAAGAGCTGATATTTGTGGGTATAGGAATAATAAGTGTTACAGTTAACTATGTAAAAGATGATAATGTAAGTTATGATAAAGTAGGTCGGTTCAAGTAAATTTATGCAAAACATAAAAGCAAATCATGCGAAATATGAAAGCAAATCATGCTAAACTCCCACTTATAGTGGACGTAGATTTCTGTCACATTCAAGCAGTTATTACCATTTTCACTTGCAGATATTGCTGATAATGCAAAATTAATAGGTACAGTAATGAATTATGCAAGACATTAGATTTCAATTTTGAAAAGTGATACAGATGCTTTTAAGCTCATTCAGTTTTTAAAGCAACTATTCCCCTTTTATTTTACTTTTCTTTTGTAGGATTATTTCAAGAACTTAGCGTTAGAGAAAATAGCAGAAGCTGTCAAAAAAGATAAAGAAGCAGGGAAAACAGATTCATTTGTCAGTAAGTTTGATAGGAAACTGAAAGAATTTGATGAAAACAAGAAAAAAGAGGAAGGCTCCAGTGAAAACAAGAAAAAAGAAGTTGAGGATACAAAGGAAGGAGTGAAATCAGAAGATGTGATTATTTCCTCACCTGATAGAGTTGAACAAACATATGAATTTAAGACTCTTACCACTAGAGAAGAGCTTTATAAAGGGTATGATTGGGGTGCTCAATCAAATAAAGATAAAAAGGCTTTAATGAAATAATTTTTTGATAATGAAGCTTTGATAGTTTTTAAATCCATCTGATACTGTATGTCCATCCATAAGTCTTTTACTGTTATATTTCTTATATTATTCAATGGATTTGTATATTTTGTAAAACAGAAGCCTGCAAGAGTCAAGTATTATTTGATGGAACCAAACTTCTTTTTTTTTTTTCATATACAGAAATTTTCCCAGTAGTTGGAGATCTTCTTAAATCATGTCCAACTATGATGTCAGATCTCTGTTTTTTGCTTTAAGAATGTCATTAATTTTGGCTTAAATGTATCGTTAGCAATTTCATCAAAGCAAACTATTTGAGGCAGATATTCTGATCATTTGAAAATGCAATTTTCTACAAAAATAGGAAGATAGTACATAAAGTTAAGTTTGCACTAATTCATCTTTGATTGGTGTTGCTGTGAGACAGATTATGATCTGCAAGCTGTTAGGACACTTAAAATGATAGAATCTTAATATCCATTTTCCATGCTGATAAAGCTCTAATTTTTAAAACGAAATTTGATGTTAGATTTGTCTGTAATTATAATATATAATATAATGTAATATGTAATATAAAATATAGGCAGATCGCTTTTGACATTCTAATGTGCAGTTATTACTGATAGTTATTACACTAGATGTTATCTTAAAGGGACAGGTGTCCTATTTTGGGCGGTTGATTTTAGTTTTGAATATATGTAAATAGTCTTCAGAAGTAGTAGAAATCTACGCATAATTCCTTTAAAAATACTTAACTAGGAATTTTACTCACAACTTCGATGGTGAGATTTAACACTATCAGAGATTGGTTTAGCTAAAAAAAATCGCGTTTCTGAGACTAAAGTATAATTGGTCAAAAAATGGCGCACTTGTCCCTTTAACAAACCGGTTATGAGGTTGTAATTTCTGTCCTAAAAGTTATTCTTATATTACTATGAAACTTTGGATTTTATTTTTGAAGAGCGATCCGAAGGGTTTGTCTTGGCTCCTTCTAATCTTTATTTTTATATTTGTTATACTCATATGCTCAATTTACCTATATATAATGTATTAATGTGTTTTGTGTAGGTTTTAGCTTGATATGTATCTTATAGGCTACTTGTAATGACCTATCTACTCTTGCTTAGCTTCATATATGCATTGCTTTTGTATATGCTTGTATTTAAGATACTACTGTTACAAATGTTATGGTCTAAGTACATTGATTTTAAGTACATAATTATATTAGTTATGTTTTTATGCTCATTTAATGATATGATATTATGTAATAATGTCTTATATTATGATCTGTGAATATTTGATGAAATTTCGGAATAAAAATGATAATGATACTATTTCTTTTCTTTCTTTATATCTTATAACTTACAGAAGATGGAAACAGAATGAAAGCAGAAATCTTATAATTCTCTCTGATAATTTTCTGAAACCTGATTATTTGTGACCTATGATAGCTTGACCTGATTTATCTCACTCTCGCTAAGGTTTGGAGTATGTGATGCCTTTAAAAGGATTGTAAAGAGGCTTTTCTAAATTTTGTTATGTGTGTCGGAAACACTGATAGCATCAATTTACATCATTCCAATTTCAATCAGACTCTGTGATTCCACTAAAACTAAGTGGTTGATAATGTCACTAATCGGTAAGGCCTTATGTGATGCAAGCATGTGTTACAATTAGAGATGTCACCGAACAATTATTTTATGAAAAGACTGAAAATTGGAATGGTGCAATTGATGCTATCAGTGTCCCTGATACACATGAAAAATTTAGAAAACCTAACAATTCCTTTAACTTCGAATTTCATATAATGTCATTCATAATATTTGTCCTCAACTGTCAACATGTTATTTTTAGTCCTTAATGGGCCAGTAGGACTATTCAGAGGAGAAATCTAATTAATTGACCTAAATTCTCCCAAACAAGAATCAAAAATATCGTCGCTATTGAAAATGTATGCCTACTACAGCAGTTGCTCAGAAGATTGCAAGGTCACTCCCCCCAACCCCCTCTCTCTCCCTCTCTCTTATATGAGAATTTATTCAAGGTTGGGTCTAGCTATTTTTACTTCATAAGCTTATTGTTTGGAAATAAATTTTGCCTGGGGCTGAGGTCAATTAAACCAAATGAAAGGGCCTGACAACAAGTAAATGATATGGAATTCAGTAGGCCCTATTTCAATGAAATTTGCCAATCAATAAAGTTTAAACTTAAAGCCACATTTTAGCCTATAAACAAAAAGACAAAAATTGCAAAATCTGTTATAGGAAAAGCGTATTTCATAGTAATGAAATATTTGGGATATTTCCACAAATATTTCGCAAGAATGTATTGCGATATTTATAAAATTTCAGCCAATCAGAGAACTCTTATTTCGTCAGTCCGAGACAGTAATCTCTTGGGGAAAGGCTGGCCCGAAAATTGTAATTTGTGTTTTCGTATTTGATTTGGTCCAAATTTTTATAATTTCAAGATGGGTTTCGAAACTTGTGGACCAAACGAAGTGATGGTATTAAGCGGTATGTATATTTTGCATTATCTTCTCTGGCGTCCCTTAAAAACAAGTGTACATGTCAAATGCTAAACAAAATAGGATCTCAAATATTGTATTGAAAAGCATTTCGCAACATCAACAATAACAAATGAAAGACGTTAAATATTTCAATGTTTTAATATATTCCGACCGCTATAGTGTTTGTAATTAACAACTATCAACTTGGAAATCAATGGAATGCTTGCAAATGATCCTTTAAAGAAGAAACCGGTATTATTTTGGAATGTAGGTCAGCTGGCTTGTCACTGTCTAAGTTCAAGGTCAGGCTAATTAGTGGAGGAATAGAGACTATAATTTACAAATAGGCATAGATCCAGATCCATATTAAACTGAGATGATATGGACAAGAACTTTCCTTTATTGTATTATTTTACTACATGAATGATTTAATTACTGTACAAGTAAGATCAGACAGTGTTATTTTAATATAATTTAATAAGCCTTTCAGGCCTTACTTAGGCCTACTGAGGTACTGAATGGTAGAGACTCCAGAGAGCCCATAATAAAAGGTACGGTAAGGGTAATAGTGGGTGTTGCTGGTTTCTAATTTAACCAATATCAATTATACAGGAAATCAATAATTAGGAGTTAAAAATCTATCATCTATATACTGATTCAGAAAAAAAACTAAACTTAAGCTTAAATATGTAATCTTATATAGATCTGTCTTTAAGACTGAAGTCCATAACTCAGCCTTTAATTGTTTCAGCCTTCTGTGGTTTTGGTACGGTACCAGTAAGCTTATTAAAACTTAATTTATAAAAAGAAAATCAAAAAATGGCTTGAACACCAGTTAGAATTATGTTGACAGGCAATAATTTCTTTTTTAGGATGCTGCCATGATAGATCTGTATTTATTCCTGGTGGTCGGGTGTTTGTCTGGCCTATGATTCAAAGGTTACAAAGGTAATTCTGTTAAGATGTAAATGGTGATACGGCATAATCTTTTTATTACATTCATAGAAGCTTGGGGCTTAGTTTACCACCTTTTATTCAAAGTTTATTGATATTTTGCACAACCAAAATTGGCTATTTATCAGGCCTTGAATATTCGCAATATCTTGTAAGCTTATAGAAAACTCCATAGATAACTTATCAACAATTTTATTTTACTGGTGAAAGTATTTCAAAATCAAGATATCCTGAGAAGTTATTTTGCAAAAATAGCATGTTACTAATGAGATAGTGTTAGGGTGTATTGAGACGAGTCTCAATGAAAGCACTGGCCTAGGTCACAGAGTAATAGATAAGTCTATTAATTATATGAAAATTAGTTAGTCATTAGTATGATTTTAGTTGAAAAGACACAAACACAAAAATACACTGCATGTTATATAATATACTGTATAAGCCATGGCACCAGTCCTGAAATAAGTATTCCCTGAAATCTAACTCAGAAATAGATTAATTTATTGATAGAACATGATACATTTATATTAACAAATCTATGCTCCTAGGATGAATGGACATTGTTCAATGGTTCAAGTCTACCGTGAAAGAGGAAATTGCTAAGATTTTGATTTCTTTTGTAAGCTACAACCAAACGTTTTGTGTATACATGGGGAAATTTGTTCTGAAGTTCCGTGTAATGGCGTTTGACTATTATGGAGGCTTTGGTAGCTGTAGAATCAAATGTCGTTATAAAGGGTATTATCTGGTTATCATGTTGAATGTTGAGTCCATTTATAGTGATATTGGTACTCTAATTCATGAATTATAGTTGTTTTGTTGTGTATAATGTTTTGTTATGCATGATATAGCTTTTGTCATAACAATTGACTTGATTAAACCTGTTATGTAACTCTAGTAACAAAGTTTGACCAGTTGTAAAGGAAAAAGATAGCTTACCAATTCTACAACAAGAAAAACTTTTAACTCAATGTTTCACATATTCTTCACAATGACAAACTATTACAAACCTGGTCTTATACCTTGGCATTATTAGCCATTTTTCTTGCATCACAATAGTTTGTTAAATACAGTCATTTTATTGGATTGTATTTAGTGATCAGAGTCGTCGACAGAAAGACTACATAACCAATATATAAGGTGTATTTAAGGATTCTGATTGTCTGTATTTGTTAACATACAATCCAATCAAATAGTTTCTGATACATTATATGTCCCTCACGATGTCAAGGTATTAGAAAGACTTTGTAATAGCTCAACATTGTAGATATTAAATAGTATATTATACATTGTGTTTCTTAACCTATGACTATATCTTGCAAACAATAAGCTTACAAATATACATATTGCAAATTGTGATTGAATTGACAACTATTGCATCTTTATTTTGAATTGAACTGAACATTTGCTTTAAATTCTACAATTCTTAGTCAAACAAGTTCTAAAGAAATAAAATAAATATTCATTTCTGTTTAAGTGGCAGTGTATGCCTATTTTAAGAGTGTGTGTCTTATGAATATCTACAAGGATTACACCGTCTACTACCAAAATTGACAGTAATTATTTCTATAGAAATTGTAAGAGGAAGGTCTTAATTTCTCTTCAAGAATTCAATATTATTATAATTTTGGTAACTGAAGGAGTGCAGTCCTCTAACAAATTTTTAGGAAAGAATTGTTTTCATTCAGTTGGTTTTTGTAAAGATTATACAGAAAGATGGCTTTTGATTCTGAGGACTATATTTACTCTATTCTAATTGTTTTTTTTGATGCTTCAGTTTTTGTTAACTTGTTTGTTTCCTTTTTCAATCAGAATGAGTCTGAATACTTTGACACTAACAATTGAAAGTCCTAATGTGTATACAAAAGAAGGTGTAGCTATATCAGTTACAGGTATAGCACAGGTAAGTAGTAAACTCTCACTGGTACCTACTATCACTCTGTCTTTTAACTCCTGCCTTGCTAACTTCAGTCTGGTAATTAGGTCCGAACATAAAGCATTGTATGCTATCTTGGCTTTATTTCAAAATAACTTTGTTAGATAAGCTTATTCAATTTCCCAAATTTCAACCAAATCAAGCTGCTGATATTTTGATTATATTTTAAAGCCAAATAAGGCCTTGAATTTAATTATCTACTAATCCTTTGCACCCACATATAAATATCTCTTTGAATACTATCAAATTCTTTTACAGACAAAATGCTTGATGTCCCACCAATTGCCAGACTTGATGTTTGTTTTATTATGTATTGCTGCATGTTAGAATGTTACTAATGCTTTGTTAAATGTAATCTGTTTTGTTACTGTTCATGATATTTATTGCCTGTCTGATATAATGCTAATGTTAGTACAAATTTGTATTGTGGTGATCATGTTTGGTGTACATTTCAGATTACATTTAAATACTATGACATTGATAATTCCATCACCAAATGTCTATACACAATTAGGTGTAGCTGTAAGTGTTACTGGTGTGGCACAGGTGAGATTGATTTCAATGATCACCAAATTTTAAAGTTTGGCCAGAGAATCTGACCAAGCTCTGATGGATATTTTAAATTTAAGTCTGAACTATATTTGACTAGGAGTAGAACATTTTTCAATTAAAAAATCTTGATTAGCCTTAACAACAATTTTTCAGTTCACCAAGAACTTTTATACTAGGCACAGGAAACTTTCCCTTAGTTAATAAAAAAATTGATTTTTAAGTTAAGATGAATAATAAGGAAATCGTTGACATCTTAAAATATGATTATATGAAAATAATTATATTATGTTGGCATAAGATGTTGACCTTAAAATTCCAATGTAACTTGATTGTTTTAAACAATTTTTGTAAGTCACTGAAAATATAGATAAGACCGTTTCAATGAACAGGACAATACAGAAGGAACATAGGATGTGTTTGACAGACATTGCTCTGGGAAAAAAATTTAAGATTGTAAGTGTAAGAAAAATTCAGTAACTAGCTTTCTAGGTATGGCAGGGTGTTTTTCCTTTTTCATAACATTTTAAAAGAAAACATTCTCATCCACAAAATAGAAGACTAAAAAAATCTAGTTTATGAACTAAATTCGACAACTTCCATCAGAGCTTGTGTTAGTTTCTTGAATGATGGAGCTTATTTAATAAATTATTAATGTGTAGTCACTTTATATTTGCTTGATTACATTGTATGCTTGTTAGCTTTAAAATCAAATTGATGGAAGTGATAATTATAGTCAAAGATTCTTACTCCGTTGCAAATCTTCAAATTATCAGAACACATATAGCCATCCCTATTATTTCAAGGTACAAATGCACGTTTTAGTAATTAGTCATGCAGATTTGATTTAATACTCCAGGGATTTTTTACACTAAATAAAACAACCTTGTTGCTTCTCACTATCTACTCTTAATTCCATGGGTGACTGGTGAAAGGGTAACCTTGCATGTTGATGGTTGAAGGTGTTAATACCCCTCCTAACCTTGTGTTAGCTACATCATTGTTCAGTTAGGCAATTAGCATAATTTGTATTATGCTAGTGATGCTAGATAGTTGAACATGTACAGCAAAACCTCTAGATCTCTATTATAATATCTAATGGCTAAAATTGCTTGCTTGTGCTTCCTAACTTTTATTGTTGATACTTACTAGTAATATGATCAAATTATATTTGAAAGGAATATACTGACTAGAATACTTGTAATTGGAGAAAACCTGTTAATTTGAAAATTACTTATATAAATAATTAATTTATTCATTTGCTGCTTTTGATTTCATGAATTTGTTATGTTGACATAGAGAAATGATAATAATTCTACTATAAATGTATTATGAATTGTTCAGGTTGCTTTCATACATTGTATTTTAATTCAAGGTACGAATTCAAGGATCCAATGATGAAATGTTAAGAGCAGCTTGTGAGTTGTTTCTAGGAAAGACAGAACATGAGATTCAGACTATTGCTAAAGAAACATTAGAAGGTCATCAAAGAGCAATGATGGGAAACATGACTGTTGAGGTAAGTGTTGAGATTAGGATTCATTTGTAAGTTATTTAACCAAGTAATGTCTTAGTTTTTTGGAATTTTACAAGGAATAGACTTTTCATTTAGATATACAATATAACAAAAAGGTGATAATGTTTAAATTGTGATTGCTTGGAATCAGATATGAAATTTGATATAATATATCAAAACAATTATATTATATTTATGTTGTTTGCATTTGCTGAAGCCTGTACTTATCTGGTCTATTTTACATTAAAGGAAATTTATAAAGATCGTAAGAAGTTTTCTAAAGCTGTATTTGAGGTAGCTTCATCTGATTTAATTAATATGGGAATCACTGTTGTCAGCTATACTTTGAAAGATATAAGGGATGAGGAGGTATGGCTTAGTTTTTTTTTCTAAAATTTCATAGCTTTATACCAGAGTTAATTTTTTAACAAAGGATTTGTCAATTACAAGTAAAAGACAGTGTTTAAGGTGGCAACACTTTTATACTGCCAGAGGTTAAATCTTTTATATTTAGAATGATATTCATTATAACAGGTTCAATTAATACAGAAGTCTATTTCAGGGATATTTGAATTCGTTAGGTTTAGCAAGGACAGCTCAAGTAAAAAGAGATGCTAGGATCGGCGAGGCTATAGCAGTTTGTGAGTCAGGCATTAAGGTGATTGAAAGTAACGTGCATGTAGATTAGAATGAATTGCCAATAGACATGTAGTATGATAGCTGGCAATTCATTTGTTGTATTGTGATTTTTAGTTTGTTAATTTAAGTTTATTTTTGTTATTTTTCACTCAGGGTTATCTGCAAGCTTTAGGTCAGGCCCGTACTGCTCAAGTCAAACGTGATGCAAGAATTGGGGAAGCTGAAGCAACCAAAGAATCGGGTATTAAGGTATTATGATACAAGCTCATCATTTTACTAACATAAACTACTGACATTGGTGTTGAGAACAGCAAATTACATTATCTAATTACTTTCTATTATTATTATTTGATCATGATATATTTTTGTTTAAGTTTTGTAGTATTGATATATTTCTGTAGCAATGTAATGAATCATGTGTAGCAATGTAATGAGTCATGTGTAGCAATTTAAGAAATGAAAGAAATCCATTTATGTGGCACATATTAAATTGTCAATTTGTAGTCTAAATAATTTGAGGAGCATGTCCCTCGAAGATGACTCTTTTAATGTTGTACTGCAAAATTTAGATGCGCTTTAGTAATTGTTTGAAAATTTATCCGTGTTTTTCTTCTTCTTTCAATAATTTAATTTATTTTATTAGGAAGCGGTTGCAGAAGAAAAGCGTATGGTAGCCAGATATGCTAATGATATTGATATTGCTATGGCTGAAAGAGATTATAATCTGAAAAAAGCAGCTTACGATCAAGAAGTGCAGACAAAGAAAGCTTCAGCAGAATTGGCCTACGGTTTACAGGTATGTCACATCCTTCAATATTATGTTGAAATCTAGGATATGATGTAAATTAAAACCAATCCCTTACTAAAATAGCTACAAAATTACCAATTTTCAATATGAAGGTGATATGAAAGTAAATATACATCAGGGAAGCAAAATGAAAGCTGAAATCCAGACAGATTTCAAAGACTATGATTTTACACTCCTTATTTCAAATGGGCAATGCACTTCTGTTATTGTGACTGATTAGATACATATTTTAAGTGTGGATATATTATCTTTATCAAAGGCTGCTAAAACAAAACAGAAGATCCGAGAAGAACAAATGCAAGTTACTGTTATTGAGAGAGCTCAGATGATTCAGGTTCAGGATCAAGAAATCACCAGACGTGAACGAGAATTAGAAGCTACCATCCGTAAACCAGCTGAAGCTGAAAAATACAGAATGGAAAAAATTGCTGAAGCTAACAGAGCTAAAATTGTAATGGAAGCACAGGCTGAGGCAGAGGCCGTTCAAGTAAGTTTTGTATCTGATATTTAGTCTACACAAATTTATGGTCTGTTCGTATTTCAAATTTATTCTTGTGATTACAGAATGCAAACCTGTTTATCTTGAATGATTTTGATATTTGAAAGTCAATGGGCAGGTTCTGAACACATATAAATAGCATAAATTCTTGAAATATACCTTAAACTAGTAATTTCACTTTCTATTTCTCTCTTTACTGGTTTCTCCTCTGCTTCAATATCGTACATCTAACCTCGAGCTAAATGACAGCAAAAGTTATGCTCTTTTTACATGTTGAGTCAGTTTCTTTACTAGCAAGATTCATTGTATATGACTGAATAAACCCAAGTTCTATACTATATAATCTGATCTAATTTTAGTTGAAAGGTGAAGCTGAAGCTTTTGCTATTGAGGCTAAAGCTAAGGCTGAAGCAGAACAGATGGCTAAAAAGGCTGATGCCTGGAAAGACTATCAAGATGCCGCTATGGTTGATATGGTTCTCGAAACATTACCAAAGGTAGAGTGTTTATTAGAATTTATTCATGGATTGAATGTAGATTTTTTTGTGTTTATTGGTTCAAAAACACAGAATATTCACTCGAATTCTCGAATAGTCGAATTCATGGTAAAGTATGAAAATACAATTAGAGAAATTAATATGCTTTTGCTCAAATGCCCACCAATTTTACTTTTGTAACTAGATAAAGCAAATGGTATGATGTAAACTAGTTTCAAAAGCTTTTCTATGTGGCCAAAGCCACAACTTTAAAAAAGGTGTTTGTTTTAGCAATGTATATTTGTGCTCTTCTAGGTTGCTGCTGAAATCGCTGGACCATTAACCAACACCAAGAAAATAACTATGGTATCCAGTGGTAAGGGAGATGTTGGAGCTATGAAAATTACTAATGAAGTTATGGGTATCATGGAGAAACTACCAAGTGTTGTTGAAAATCTTACTGGCATTAATATTCAAAAGGTAGGATTGATATTGAAGTAATGTAAACCAGATGTGGATTATCAAAATTATTATTTACAGTGAGCAGATGATAACAAAACTGAGCTAACTATTTGAAATGATATGGATGCCATTCTGAACCCTTTTCCAACTTGTTTTATTTAACATCTGATTGATTCCATGGATCCTGAACATGTAGAATTCATCATTCCGGCAAACCTCTTCATTCCATTATATATCAAAACCGTTTTCTTTCTTCAGAGTATGAAAATAAGTCAAAGAAGAGGTTAAGTTTTCGATGAAGGGAATATTTTTTATAGCCATGGAAAAGATTCCACCAAAATCATAAAGAACCAATAATCATAGTTTATATGAAATACAATAAAGAACAACATAATTTTCAACATTTTTTAACTTTCAATTTTATGTCAATTAATGTTACCTGGTATTTTACTGAATATGTTTTGTAATTATTTTAATATAATGGAACAGTTGTATATAATGTTTTATATTTGTCATACCTCATTAATTGTCATAACTGTTTAAGCACATATAGCAGCAATACTCGAAATATTATATGGTGTTATAAAACTGAATGAAGTGAAACCCTCTTAAATTAGAATAGCTGAAATGTGTTCTTGAAAGTCTTTACAATTATGTGATAACACCTTTTATTCCTAATCGTCTTATGATTTAACTTTGTTAATATATCTATTCATTATTATGTTCATTTATAGAATCATTGATGTCAAAATTTCAATGAAATTCAGATCAAAATTAAAAATCTTGTAAGAGTTTCATGTCTGCATGATCAGCATATTTGGGATATTTGTTGAAAATGATGCCAATTAAAGCTTTAGAGTTAAGTGAGTGCATCACACATTTGTAAAGTTGTGTAATTCTTATATTTACTGTTAAAATATTACTAATTTGGATGCTCAATATGTTATGCTCATCTTACATTCAATTTTGATTCAATAAACTTTTCACAGAATGAATCTGCATTTTATATCAGAGTTTTATGTATAAAAAAAAAACTATTAAAGGAATAGGCAGCATATTCAACATTTTTAGGACCACAAAGAGATTTAAACAAAACATTAAAACCCGAAAAATAAATAAGCAAATAAGCTTGCTTTTTTTGGAAACAATATTTAAGTCATGGAATGAAAAAGTAAGGGGTCTGTGCATTGGCATATGTAATGTGTCTATAAGAAACGTCACTTAGGCAGGGAATCTGTACAAGCTCAGAAAATCCATTGCTTTTCTCATACTAGAAATTAAAGATCAAGATTTTTATCTTTTTACAAGTTTCCCTTCATACCATTACAGGCCTACTATATTTACAAATCTTAATTCAATTTTTTTTGTTATTTATTTTTTCCAGTATTATGTATTTTTTTTTATTTTAGTCATGTTAGCTTGATTTATTTTAAACATAATATAATCATTTAATGTTACAGTACAGTTCATACCAATAAATACTTTAAAATCATCAGATTGTGTTCATTCTATTAAGGGGATGTAACCCTTTAGCTATCTTTCTGTCAGAACTCAAAACTGGTCATAATATATACCATTCCAAGCAGAGAATGATTTTCCTTCCAACATTCCACACTGAGAAATGTTTCCCATTCCAAAAGGATTCAGCATGAAGTCTTGATATCAGTCTAACCATAACTTTTGAGTCTCCATTAAAGAGTTTAGAGCAGAGGTGGCTCATTCAGTTAGACGCTTGCTTGCTAACCTGCAGGTACGGGGTTCAATCCTGGCTGCGGTCAAGGTAATACCTTCGGTATTTTCAACCTGATTTCCCCTTGTCAGTGATGCAGGGCAGTGGGTTTTCGTTTCTAAGCGTTTGGAGGGGACAATCAGCCGAGGCCCCATGTACAACAGTCTGGCTGTGCACATTAAAGACAACTCCTCAATTGGATACCGAAACAGAACAGGCTAATGCTCCTGTCACGGCAAAATTTCTCTCATTGCACACCGCATGACATTTTCCATCTTCATTAGCCCACTAGGGTGCAGAAAAGTAGGATGTAAAATACCATTCAGTTCATGTTCATCAAAAATTGTACACCATTGCCCTATGATTCTTGCTCACATTGCGCCTCGATATATTCTTTGGCATAGGCCCCAAAGTTGTCACATTTAGTCGAAATCGTCAGTTGCATTTTATTCACCAGTTGTCGGTGAGTTTTTTCAACTAGGTGAAAACCCATATGTAAGTTAATGTATTATAAGACTTACCTTTCTGGAAAGTTAAGTTTAAGGGTCCTTAAGAGAAGGTGTCCTTTAATGATTTTGAATCAACAATCAAGATTTTATCATGCATGGGATATGTAGTATTAGACATATCAGTGCCATTTTGTATCATAAATTAAATGCATAATTTAATTTGGCATAACTTGGCTTTATCATTGAATTTCAGTGAAAGAATCTCCCATCACTCCCATATTTGACTCACTGTTGTATTCTATCATGACTTACAAAATTAATATATCTCTTGATTTTTATAAGGACTCCAATGGTCAAATAATGAGTATGAGAGTAAGAGAAACCTTACGATTCATCATGTTCCTTTAGCAAAGTTACATGATGATATTATAATACTATTATTACATTATATCATGTAACCTTGCTTAAGGAACATGACAAGTCATATAATCCTTATCTTCTCCATTTAAAAATGAAATGAAATGAGTGGAGTTTTACGTCCTACTTTTCCTACTTCTCCATTTAAACCAATAACATATATTGTTTATATCCTAACAATATGTGCTCACTAGGAACGTGTATCTTCCCAAGATCTCTGTTCTTGCATTTTCATATGTTTGGTAGCAAGATTTTTGCATCCTGTATCCCTTCCTTTCAGGATATCATGTGGCAATATGATGGAATAACACATATATTCGTTTCATTTTATTTTCTCATTATATACACGAGTATTATTTTTAGTTAACCGGACAGGTGCCTGCTTGAAAACGTAAACAACGAAGATCGATTGTAAGTTGTGTTTGATTGAAAATTTATAATGTCATATCGCTCAATCACATATACGTTACGGAGTTTAATGAATTTTTAGGGAAATAATATTGTTTAGCTTTTACTATTTAATAAATGCTCAAATGCTGATATTTACTCATAAATTCACACCGTTTCTACAGACGCTCTTTTGACTTTTAACAACCGAACATTTAAATTTTCAGTGGACAAAGTAGTCTACTTGTTTTCATCAGGTCATATTTTCTTATGAACAGTTGCTAGACTACTCTCAGACCACTGTGAGCTCAGAATTTATATTGGATATATCTGAAAACTGATGTTAAATATTCTTGAAATAACAGAAGACATTTTTCCTTTGAACTCGCAGTAGTTTGACTTGGAGCACACACAGGCGTAGGCCCTAATACTTTAAGTATTATCAACAGTCTAAAGATTTAAAGAAGAACACTGCAGAAATTTTATTTTAATGAAAATTTTAGAAACACATTGAAGGCTTATTACTCGTATTGAAATTAAAATTTCCATGAACAATTTTGTGAAATTGTGTTTGAAAAATGTGTGAAATTTGATATTTTTCATCAAAAGAATTCTGTTATTTTTCTGATCTGGAATATTACATAACCAACAAATGTATCATGTGATTTCTACATTTTTCAATATATGATAGGCAACAAACAACAAGACAGGTGCAAATAATTGCCAACAGTAGCTAGATTATGACCAAACTTCAATATCATGTGATACAATGATGCCACTTGATCCTGTTTTTCTTAATGACCTAGCCTCTTTTAGATCTGAAAACTTTGATATATTCAGTTACATAACGTTAAGGATAGAATTCAGTTTATTTTGAAATTAACATTTTTATTGGCAGCTCCTTGTGTGATTACCATTATATTATTCCATTGATTTACATTGAATCTGGTTGACAAGTGAACATATTGGCCTATTTTAATATCATCCCTTGTTAATCCATATAAGGACTTGTTAATCCTAATCTCATTATTGTCTAATATCAACTACATATTGTTTTGAGAACAGTTAAGCTTGATTAGTCTAGCTATTGATAGCTATAGGAGCTGATAGATATATACAGCTATTGTTTATTGTGAATAGTCTTCATATTACCTATAGTTTAGTTGAACATCATCCTTGTTTAAAGTTAAGGTTAGTATTGTAAGTTATGTTAGCTTGTTTTATTTTGAATGGTTTTGTCATTTTGTAAAATCCTGTTCTTTCGCTGGATGATTTTCTCATGAAATTTGTTATGTGACCACTACTTTTGAGGGTCTGAATTACAATTTGAAATATTCGATGCAGACTTTAGATCAAATTATTGTTGTATTTGAAGTAAGTCTGAGTATGTGTTGTATGTATCATGGATAATTTTTTTGAGGTCTTGTTGACCTTTTTTTAGCTTTGTTACAATAAATAGTATATATGCAGTAAATCAAGATATTTAAGATCCTATATTTGATATTCTGTGGCAGAAAAAATACATTGTTGCACACTGTAGCAAGTTATGTTGAAAATTTGGTTTGTAGCTCTATAGAGTGAAAATAAAGTATTTTTAACCCACTTTTAAACTTGAAAGTATAATTTTGGGTGAAAATTCTGTTGGATTATTGTTTTAAAGACTAGGACTGCCCCTTTATCTATTTATTTATCTATTACAAAGCATTTATAAAGCGCTTATCTAATAAAAATTACTCTATTATTTGGTTATTTGAATCATCACAACAATAATATCATATATTAAGGACATTTTTTTTTTAGGCTGTATATTATGAATGTATTTGTATTTGTATATACTAGTAATTGAACTTGTATTTATGTTTCAGAAGTATGAAGTTATGACTGTGAAACAAGTAACCAGTATTATAAAATGGCGTATTTAGGATTAAGTTCAGATTTTGATGTTGATGATGATGGTATCCTACGTGACAACAGTAAGTTTCTTTTTTTTTTTAATTTTCTAAATAGAAAACCTTCTAAAATTACTTTAAGATGCAACCATTAATCAAACATCAAAGTTTTAACATTAACTATTGAGAGAAGAGGAAACAAAGACAAGGGCATGATGACATATTCAATGATATTTAAAATTCTTAACCTTAGATGATTTCTCAACAATAAATTACAACCGTAAATCTTCTCTATTTGGTCTTCAAGGTTATACAAAAACAATTTTGTAGAATAATTTGAGGGGATAATATGGCTTGATATCTTTGAGCTTATTTTAGTTTTTAATTCAACTGTTCAGAATGGGAAATCTAAGATGGAATTTGTTTACAATTACAAAAGGGATGTAAAAAGGAATTTACTATGTATGATTAGTATGAAGGACAGTCATAGTTTCTATTTGCACCATTTTCTGAATTCACGTCTGACTTCATTAACTCAAAGACAATTTGGCTTGACTTCATGTTACAAAATCTTATAAATATAACTGGGTGTGAAATCTACTGTTGATCTTTGACAATGTTTTTGGATCCAGCCAAAATGACTAGCAAGCACAAACAACCTAGATTTTGCTCATAAAATGTCAGAAAGGTTTGATTCAATGAACTATATTATATTTAGATCTATATTATATTGATACAAGATAATAGTTGGCCTAATGTCAAGAATGTACCTTGTTGTTCAATAATATGAAGTTCCATTTATTATTTGACTGAACTATTTTCAATAACCTATTGTAAGATTAGACTTACAAGATTTTTTTCTATTCAGTTTATTGTGTGGATAGTTTTGTACTAAATTTACTCTCAAAACTTATTTCTTTACTTACAATTTTTTGAAAATATTATGAAAAAATCTGGAATCTGGTGCCATATTAGCAAACACTACACTTTGCTAAGCAAATGTAATATTAAGAGTTTTATGGTATTGCAACTTTCCTTAAAATATCTTAAACAATGAAAAATGCATTTTTGGTCACTGCCCTTTTAACAAATTGTAATTTTTGGTTACATCAAATACATTAATTAGGGGTAATTGTATTCCTCAAAATCACCGAGTTCATTTCTGCCAAGGTTTGCCATATAGAAACCCCGCCCAATCTTCTAGCTTCGATTTAAAAAGATATAGTGAGTAACAGTGATAAGGACTGACTGTTTGCATTAAATAAAGGGGATGCTCCTGTATGCAACAGACTGCACATTTAAATTTGCATCAAAAGTAGGACGTAAAACTCTACTCATTTAATTTCATTTAAATTTGCATCGTATACATAATTCTGGAAGAATTTCAAGATGACTTTGAAAAGTAAATTTTTGTCCATCATCACACAATACAATGCCCAACCTTCCCTAGTCCATCTAGAACATTAGAATGTATTAAAATCAGAAATTTTAAGATATTGAAAGCCCAATGATATATAGGAAATTGATATTGTCTGGTGTATATTTAGAGTTTTTATCACCACAACATGTATCTAGTGCTAGTATGACCTATAGGATATACTGGTAATTAACTTTCTCATTTAAATATAACGGATAATGTCAAGTATAATGGAGGGTTGGTAAGGATTTTATTATTTCAAACTCTGTCTTTAGTCAAAATAGTTTAGTATTTAAATGCATAAAAAGTTGCTTTGTGTTTACTGCAATGTCGCATTGAAATATTGTACATTTCTGTAAGGATTTCTTAAATATTTTTGAATATAAAGTTTATTTTTCAAATTTGACTTAGTCACTGTCAATAACATCTAATTGTATATCAACATTACAACAGGAAGGTCATATTCAAAACCGGCAAAACAGAAGGCATAACTAGTTTATTCAAAAACTGAATACTTAAGAAAAGAGGGAGCACTTTATTCAAATCTGAATATTGAAAGAGTGCACGAATTCATAATCAAAAAATATAGTTATTTAACTGAATATGATTGTATCTCCAATGTTTTCTCAGCTTTAATATTTTAACAAATGACTTCCAATAAACCCAATAAAATACATTAAGAAGTTAAGTTATGATTGTTGACATATATCTATATAACTTAGAAACATAAGTATATACAGGACTATCATATAACATGTCAATATTATATATCTTATTTTAATCAAATCTATAATATCTAAATTCATTTCTTCAATCTATTTGAATTCTGTAGATGAATTGTGTGTCAGATTGGCACACCCTTAACTTAAAATGGAACATATCAATACTGTGAAAATGAGAAATTTGAATCATAAATGTCCTGAAGAGATGTCCACTGGCTAGTTTTTGTAATAATCTCCTGGTTTATATTTATATGCATACAGCTGGTCCTTAGTTGATGTGCTATACGGTACTAAGTTATGCTCTTTCCATTAAACAACCTTTTCATTTGCCAAATTAAGTGGATAAACATATTTACAAAACACAGTAAAAATAACTTTGTAGAAGCATGATGATTGGTCGGTTTAAAAATTAAGTGTAATCATGAATATTTATTACCTAGGTCCCAAATACAAGGTTTTCCTGCCATTATGAAACACAGTAGAAATATATAAAAGTTTTGGACATGGTTAAAAGACTATGTATGAAACTGATTGTAGACTAAAAACCATTATGATATCTGAAAATCTGAAATTATTAAGAAACAATATAAAAATTCTTGTCTATAGTAAATACATTGAGAAAACTGAGTACTGGTATTCGAGAGATATATTATTATAGTGTTTTGGTCATGTAGTACATGAAATAAAGTAAGATTATATGATAAGAAATGTTAATTATATAGAGAAAACATGAAACAACATGTTAGATTAGCTCAATATACTAGATACCTTGTTTTAAAGGGAAAACATATAGCTCATACAAAACTAATTTTAGATAAAATCCACATATTATGAAATATAAAATGTAGAATACATTGAATTGAATTTAATTATTAAAAATGAAACAATTTGAGAAATTTAGTCATGACTGCTCTTTATACCACTAGAATACCAAAATCATGTCGTTAGTACTGACCTAAGGATTTGATCAGACAAAATGACTAAAACATCTCAAGACTTTGTGTATATGACGCTTTGACCACTGGTCATTAAATCAACCTACCAATACTCTACAGTATTAAAACATAAAAACTTATATAAAACCTGATAATGCTCTATCAATATATGATTATATTTCATCTTACATTGTACCAGGCTTATATCTTACAAATGTGCATGTAGAGCTAGTTTGATATTCTGTTATAGAATATAAACTATCATGAGTAACAAATAACTGGTATTTCTATTTGACTTTCAAATTCTCTCTGTTATGAGATCCTATTTATGACAATTCAAATCTTGACCTAGTCCAAATGTTGGTTTATTAATAAAAACCTATTGTATTTACAGTACTTATAGTAACACCATTATTATACTTATAAAACTTGTATACTTTTAGAAATGTTTATGTTAGTTTACCACATTGACAAAGTTTGGTTGTAAAATACTATTTTTGATGTAGTATGTACTTTGATTGAAATTCAATTATTGTATCCATGGTTTGAGATAATTATTCTGACCAGGTTCATTTCTGCTCAGATTTTGTGGTAAGAGATTTTTCATTGTCCATTTCAGGTTTTCAGCTAGATGAAGATGGAATATTAAGGGATGACTTTGATGTGTTTACCAAGGCAGGTGGTCTGTGGACAGATTCAGGATTTGGTGGTGATAAACATTCCAGTCAGTCAACACTGAGACATATTAATACAAGTTTTGATGATGATGATGATGTTGATCTTCATCATAATGATGATAGAAGTATAAATATCAGTGAATTTGAGGCATCCAAGGATGATTTAGATTTAGATCAATATTTAAATGCATCTGGTAGACATGGCTTACAACAAAGTTATGATGGTCCACATCGTTTAAGACAGTCAACTGATTGGTTTCAGAAGGACCCTACAGACGAACAGGATGATTTGTTTACAGAAAGTTATTGTCAGCAATTACGAGATCTTGGTGTATTGGTCGATGGTGATGACTTTGAGGACAATCAGCATTTTTTATTGGATGAAACTGATCAGGATGGAAGTTTGCATCATGAAGATCTTTATGTAAAGAAAGGTGCTGCAAGAGTAGCCTCTTCTCATGAACAGATGCGGGATAGCAACACTGTGAAAAATAAACCTTGTGAAGAACCAAAGAATAGACATCTTCCTATAACTAGATCTAACTCAACTGTAAGTAGTCGGTCTTTCCCAGAAATCACTCCAGAAGAAGCTGAGGAACTTTATACCAATAGATCTTATAAATATGTTGATAAAAAATCAGCCTTTGATTTCTACAATAGTACTGGTACATCCAAGGATTATGATGATGAAATATTTTTTATCACCAGTCGCATTCCATCAACCAGTTTAAACAATCTTAAAGAGTCCCAGTCTATTTCTCCTAACCAGTCCAACACCAGTACAAGAGCAACAAGTCCTACCAGTCCAACAAGTAGTCGTCCACATTCTCCTTACAGTAAAGAAATCTGGAAGCATCAATCCAAAAGTCAGGAAGATTTGAAATCCAAAGGGAAATCAACAGAGGAATTAAATGTAGAAGTCCCAGAACGTGCTAATACAGCTACACCAACAGAACCAAAATCACAAAGAACTCTGTCAGCAGCTAGTCAAAATTCCACTGCATCTGAGAACTTAACATCACATTCTAAAAAATTACCAAAAGCAGTTTCTCAAGAAAGCTTCTTTGACTCCCCAAAGACCCCAAGATCTGAAAAAATGCCTAAGAGAATTTTACCAAAGCCTAATGCTATTGACGAGGAAGAGTATAAGATCAAATGCAAAAGCACAACAAATATTTCAGGAAAATCTGGACCAGTGAAACCAACTCACATGACCATATCAGAAATTACTCGTATTACAATGGATGAAACAGATGATCCTGATGGAAAGGGCAAAGGTGAACATGTGGAATTATCAACTAAATTAAAACAAGAGTTCAATAAACGTAAGCAAGCTACTGAGCTTGTACAACAGCTACAGAAAGACTATGATAGTTTGTTATCAAAATACGCTCTAGCAGAATTGACAATTGATCAAATGAGACTAGGTGCTAAGATAAATGTGTATGCTGATTCACCAACACCTAATCAGATACAGATGTCCAGTTTATCAACACCCCAATCATTACAGATGATTAATCTGGGAGGTGGTACACCAGGTCGTGGTCTGTTATCAGCTTCACCATCTACCAGTAACAGATATCTCAGTCCCAATATGGGTAAGTTCTTCTCTTTCCTTAAAATATATTGATAAAGTAATGGTCATTGATAGTGTTCATTGAAATTCTTGAAGTTTTCCATTTTTACTACTGACATGGCTGTGGTCTTCATCAGTAAGTAATATCCACTATCCTTTGTTAGAAGTATTGATTACGGTAATTATGTATAGGTTTTACTAAGGGTAAGGTTGATTTTATCCTGGACAATGCAATTGACCAACTATCTTTTTCTCTGGCAACTTAATTTTCTTGATTAAAGAGAGTATAAACTTAATTAATTGAGTCAGACTTTCAAATAGTAGCAGTAGTAGTTCCGTTTATACCTTACATTTGTAGAAGTATTAAGGGTTTAGGCTCATGTCAAGTTATAGAATCAAAATGTCAAATTACATTTTACTAGGGGACAGATTGTGTTAGGGAACGGTCTGAAAATAGTTTACTTTCAAATTTCCCACTTCTTTGTCCACAATATATATTGTATTCGACATATTCATCAGAAAGTACTGAAACAGGATTTTGGTCATATTGATAAGGGTAATATTATGTTGTGAGATAAGCTGAGGATTAAAGATTAAGATTACTCTAATAATAGCAAAGTGTTTAGACATGATATTGTAAAAATTACCATGTATATGCTCATAGATTGCAAAAGAAATTTTGAGAAATTATACAAAAGTTATTAAATTTCTAACACCTTCATCAGACTTTATTTTTGTTTGTTGAAAAAACTAAACCAGGTAAATCAGTTTGCTAAGCTATCACCAAGATATAGTAAAAATGTCCAAGTGTTAAACTTATGTTTTACCAAGTATTAAAGACATGACTGATATATGATATATGCCTATATTGATTCTACAAATTACTAACATATTTGAATAAGATTAATTCATTATTTATGAGCATTGCTGATTTGGCTTTAATCCAAGGTTCTTGACAATCCCTAGGAAATTATTGGGTCATGATTAATAGGATATTAACAGATGAAAGGGACAATAACTATTTTGTATACACATGATTTTTACACAATATATATTTATTAATTGCATGATTAAAAATTTGGGTTTTCACCCCTCCTCAAAATAATAGAAAATGCCTAAAGAAAAATCTCTACTTTTCAATTTCTGCAAAATGTATATAAAATTTTCATTGCATTTTACTAGTAATTTACTGTCAATGACATCACAAAAAGATGTGGTAAAAACTTGATTTAATTATTTATGTGATATTTGTGAAATATGTGACATATTGAAGAAGGTAGTGATATTTTTTATGTGATATATTGAAGAAGGTAGTGATATTTCTTTATGTGATATATTGAAGAAGGTAGTGTTATTTTTTATGTGATATATTGCAGAAAGTTGTGATATTTTTTATGTGATATATTGTAGAAGGTAGTGATATTTTTTATGTCATATATTTTAGGAGGTAGTAATAGTAATGTATCTAGTGATATTTCTTTGTGTGATATATTGTAGGAGGTAGTGATATTTATTTATTTATGTGATATATTGTTGAAGGTAGTGATATGTATTTATTTATATGTGACATATTGAAGAAGGTAGTGATATTTTATATGTGACATATTGAAGAAGGTAGTGATATTTTTTATGTTACAAATTGTAGAAGGTAGTGATAGTAATGTATTGTATAATTCATTAGTGATATTTCTTTAACACATTCTAAAGAAGGTAGTGATATATTTTATGTGATATATTGAAGAAGGTAGTGATATTTTTTTATGTGATATATTGAAGAAGGTAGTAATAGTAATGTATTGTATAATTTATTAGTAATACATGTATTTCTTTATTTCACATTTTAACGAAGGTACCGGTAGTGGTATTTTTTGTATAATATATTGTAGAAGGTAGTAATAGTAATGTATTATATAATTCATTAGTGATATTTCTTTGTCACATTCTAAAGAAGGTAGTGATATATTGAAGAAGGTAGTAATAGTAATGTATTGTATGATTCATTAGTAATACATGTATTTCTTTATTTCACATTTTAACGAAGGTACCGGTAGTGGTATTTTTTGTATAATATATTGTAGAAGGTAGTAATAGTAATGTATTATATAATTCATTAGTGATATTTCTTTGTCACATTCTAAAGAAGGTAGTGATATATTGAAGAAGGTAGTGATAGTAATGTATTGTATAATTCATTAGTAATACATGTATTTCTTTATTTCACATTTTAACGAAGGTACCGGTAGTGGTATTTTTTGTATAATATATTGTAGAAGGTAGTAATAGTAATGTATTATATAATTCATTAGTGATATTTCTTTGTCACATTCTAAAGAAGGTAGTGATATTTTTTATGTGATATATTGAAGAAGGTAGTGATATTTTTTATGTTACAAATTGTAGAAGGTAGTAATAGTAATGTATTATATAATTCATTAGTGATATTTCTTTGTCACATTCTAAAGAAGGTAGTGATATTTCTTTATGTGATATATTGAAGAAGGTAGTGATATTTTTTTATGTGATATATTGAAGAAGGTAGTAATAGTAATGTATTGTATGATTCATTAGTAATACATGTATTTCTTTATTTCACATTTTAACGAAGGTACCTGTAGTGGTATTTTTTGTATAATATATTGTAGAAGGTAGTAATAGTAATGTATTGTATAATTCATTAGTGATATTTCTTTGTCACATTCTAAAGAAGGTAGTGATATTTCTTTATGTGATATATTGAAGAAGGTAGTGATATTTTTATGTGATATATTGTAGAAGGTAGTAATAGTAATGTATCTAGTGATATTTTTTATGTGACATATTGTATAACGTAGTGATATTTATATATTTATGTGATATATTGTTGAAGGTAGTTATATAGTTTATGTGATATATTGTAGAAGGTAGTGATATTTATGGTAGTTCATCTATAACTAGTGGTATATTTGACAGTAGATCAACTTCACGCAATGATAAAGTAGGTGGTACAGAAACACCAGCCACTCTACCAGATCAAGATAGAGCTGTACAGTCTGGTGCCCAACAAGTAAAAGCTGATTTGTTGTCCAAGACTAAGAACCTAGATAATCGGGTAAGACATGCGGTCATGTATCTTGTTGTTTTTTCATTTACCCTGGAAATCCCCCAACACAAACTTTTTATTTGATAAATTAAATTTACTAGTTTTGATGAATATTTAACATTTTGACACACTAACAGTTTTCAGTGTTTCAATTTATTATAGATTGGAACATGTTTCTTGTTGAAAAATTCTATCACTTAACTTTATACCCAATGCACCTTATAAGATAAAGCACACAATGTTTACTTACATCTTTTATACAAAATGAACTTAATTGACACTATGAAAACATTTTTTACAGAGAAAAATTGCACTTTGATATTAAAAATATTTCTCATGGTCTGTCATCTGAATAGTTTGATTTATTTTGAAAGATGACATGTATGTTTTTTTTAAACCTGTGAATTAGGTGTAGCAAGGATTTTTACAAATAGTTCAACCTTATTGTGTATGAAATGCCAGCCCTGTCGCCAGGATTGAATTGGTGCTGGGGCTCAGATTTTGTACTCAGGAAATTTGAAGAATTAAAGGCCCAGAGAACTCATTTCTGACATTTTTGAGGTGCCAAAAACATATCAAAATCTATATCTTTTTGATCTTGTAGGCCTACAAAGACATTGTAAATGAATCAATCTGCTGAACTGAAGAAGGTTTTGCTGGGGCTTAATTCTCACTAGCTGGGGCCCAGCCCCCACGGACCCAACCCTAATGAGGGACTGTGAAATGCATAGCTTATCTTGGACACATTATGGTCCTTATCCCATGCACATGTCAACAGCTTTACAGCTTAAAATGCAAAAAGGGAAACAGACAAGTTTTGAAATCAGTTCTGGACTTTTAAACGTCTACAACGGAAGGGAAACTTTTTTTTATTCTGGCTTCTACCTTGTAACATGCCTAGTTACATATGTTTTTAGAAATTAATGGGTGGGCATAAAACCCTATTCAGAAATTCTAATGGATGCATAGTCACCTAATCTGTTACATGAATTTCAGATTCAATCATTTGAGAATCTGGTGGGTAATAATACATTATCAGTAGAAGATAAAGAAGAGGTATTTAATAAAATCAGAACAGATCATGAAGAATTACGAAGACAGTATCTGCAGTCCAAGGAAGATTACAATGTTCTGCGAAGATCAGGAGCAACATCAACAGATGCTAATTTTGATGATGACAAGGAACTTGAGGGAGAACTTTTTAAATTGGGGATGAAATTTGATGAAATTCATGCTGAAGTTGACTCTCATTTCAAAGAAAATAAAGAACAGCGTCAACCTTTTCAATCCAATAGACTAACAGATGCCATCAATGGTGATGATGATGATAATCAGGAGAATGCTATAGATCAGTTTAAAGCTAAAATACATGATGCTTCTGCTGGTAATGATTTAGTACCAACTAGACCAAATACCGAATTTGAATCTAAGTTTCAAAGATTACATGAAGAATATAATGCGTTAATGGATAGATATCAGAGATTAAAACAGATGGCCCAAACACCAGATCGTGATAAAGAAATAGATAATCTAGTCAGAGTGAGTAGGATATTTAAACTTGGCATTATTATCAGAATATAAAAGAAAACAAATAGGTCATTCTTTTTAACTTTGTTATCATCTCTTTAAAGATTAGTCGTTTCTTATCTCTCTATACAAAGTTACCATGCCATTAATTATGTTACATGACTAAGTTATTAGCACTAGTTATTAGATATCATTATCAGAGCTATATAGAATAATTTATTATGTTAAAAAAAAAACTTGAATTGAATTTTGATATTTCTATTACCATTGTCGTTTTCCAGAAACTCAAAGT